TGACTTTATGGCGTCTCCTGTAGATGCGTACACTTTTTAATCTTGAACAAAAATATGGTACAATAAAAATGCAATTTGATCAGCTCATCCAATCAAAAAAGTTGATGACCTTGTTCATTCTCCTTCACCCTATCAACTCTTTCCTTTCGACAGTTAGCTCAGAAGCACTAATATTAGACCATATTGTTACGGTGACGTTCACAGAAAACTAACAGTCCTTGCTGTTTTCTCTGTATATGATGAGTTGAAGTGCAAGAATCCCTATGGCGTCAATTGAATATGTATGTTTGAAATTTACGATCTCATGATAGACCCTATAAACAGTTTTCTGGAATTGGTTTCACAACAAAAGCGCGTCTGATTGTCAGCTAAACACAAACTATCGAAGCAGCTGAGAACTTGAGACACAAAGGTTGATAACTTGAGGCACAAATAAAACCATTGGAAGCATTATTTATAAGCACGCCTGACCATAGACAACAAACCATATACTTACCTCCATCATGAAGTAACATTGAGAAAAAAGTCATCTTGCCACTGTCCTGGATCTTCACGACATCCTGTGTAAATTCCCCAATTGTCGCGGCCATCTTCCATCTGTATTCTACAACACATTCAGTATGTAATGTTAATCTGTTTTAATCTTAATTCCCCAGTGAGGTTTTGAAGCAAGTAATACATATATCCGGGAGATATCCGTTTCACCCTCCCCTGACTTAGCGCCAGACATATTGTGATAACACCAGGGTTATCTAAGCATAGGTACCGGCGTGATTGACGAACCGGTCAGAATATTCACTGATACTATTGTGTTGGCTTCAAAACTTTCGGGATAGATCGATGTTCGAGCGTTCCTTGGTGCTGTCAGCAACTATTTACTACCTTTAACCGTCAGTTTTTCAAATCATTCAGTTGCCTGTTATCACAGAAGCTTGCGTGTTTCTAGGGACTAACCAAGTGCCCCACAGGATATATAATGATCGAGATAAAAGTCGTATTTTCTATACAACCAACGTTTGATAATAAAAACTACATAAATATTTCATACAATACTTCAATGAACGTGATTTAGTTCATAAATAGAATAAAATAAATGATCAAAGAAACATTTTTCTTGAGAGCATGGTCGATCATAAAATCCATGAAAATTATCTCATAAAACAAAGAAAATACCAACATGTCAACAGAATCATAATCCAAACTTAAATTCAATAAAACAAAGATTTACTGAAAAAAAGTACATTGGGAATAAGGACATGTGTTCCGGAAGGGTAAGAGTCTTCTGCTTTGTCGAAACCATCCGCATTGTAAATCTTGATCGATTTACGAAAGTAATGGCAAGTTCCCAAATGAGAACATGATAAATATCAACGGAACAAGCAGATATTCTAACTAGCGTCAAACACGTCCAACTTTATATCGCTTACAACTTATTCACAATTTCAACTTTATCAACAAAATAGCACGATAACTTACCGTTAAAACATTGTAAGTAATACCAAGTGCCGAGGTCTGATGAATCCTGTGCTGGACAACGGTCCTTCTCTCTCAGATTCAAGAACGTTCGTCTTCTATCTACTCATTTTGTAGACTATACACATTTTGTAAGGTTCAATATAACTTGAACGTTTCCGAAATTCGGTGTATCCCACTTGTAGAGTTTCGATTTCTTATCTGTCTCCACAGACAGAGTGATGTCCCTTTTTATCTTCCCTGTCTTTAATAACCAAGTGTGCGCCTCAAACCAACCATTCCTTTCATACACATGAACTGTCGTGCAATGTACAGATGTACATACCTTTTGCTTCACTCCTCTGTTGTTCCCGTGTTTCTCCTCCAATCTGCCTACAGCCTTCATCCTGTCCTCCGACCATACAATATAAAGAATTAGATCTCGGCATCTTTGATGCATGGATGCTATTGTTAAAAGGAATTATGTCTTGTATGTACACACACTAATCATCCGATGTTATCGGGATCCGATTATGATAAATGTCACCCTGTGTTCGTTTCTCTAACTAATATAAAAAAAGTCAGTTTATTCAATCTTCCTGAGTATCACTGGTGAGTTCCTTTCAACCTGCCTTTTTTCTTGACCCCATCAACAGAACACCGCATTCTTTTTTCTCGCTTTAAGTGCTCTGTGAGCTTCCCTGGTACCTTTACATTGATACAAGCCTAACCAGTTGTCGGTCGGGACTCATTTATCAAACTTTATAATTTGAAATTTTACAACAGTGGATAAAACTATTTTGAAATACATGGTGTATATCCTAGTGAATTTGATTTAATCGTCCCCTCTTAATTTTTCTTTTGTCCTATTACAACGATTTTAATTACGTTTTACAGTTTTGTTTATCTGTCTATGATACAGAAGTATGTAGCTCTACAACAAACGTTGGATATTTGGTGGACATTGATGTGCTAAGTATAAGTACATGAAGAGACAATAGAATCACTGTATTCACTGTATTAACATTTGTTTTAATAATAAATAGGTGACGTAATTGAGGGAAGACGTGTGGCGTTGTAGATGTTGTATTAATGGTGATGTATTACAAGTTACCTCCCTTCCACTTAATAAACCTTTCATTTTTTGTCACGACAATCTTTACTCGAGCTGCCGACAAGTGTTTGGTCAGCCCTCACAACACAAGCATCAAGTTCAAGAACATCAAATCAAGTTCACAAGTTCAAGATTTCAGATTCACACAAGTCAAAGTTCAATAGTTCAAGGCTAAAACAACTGTATAATTTGACCCTGGGTACTCAGGGAGTGTCAACAGTTGAAGTTCATCAATTGCTTTCATAAACTATTTGTCGCTGGGAACAGCGGACAAGTAGGCGACAAGTAGTCTAAAAAACTGTGCTATGGTTGTACTCTGCGCAAACGCCAAATAGCCAAGACATGTCATGAATATGCTTTGGTCACCGCCACCCCGTAGTGTGGAGGGAGCCGCACAATTATAACTAGTCGTAACCTTATCCTACCTTTGTGATGAAATATTACCAACATGGAAAATACTGGATCCCCTCCCCTTTCAAGAGATATTCGAGAGCTCCCTGCAACCTATTTAAAAACACACTATTGCCCACCGGTCTGACAGGTGAACTTTATCATCAGTGAAGAAGGTAGGTGATTCCCCTATGTCGGGGTATTTACTATAGTAACCCCTAGTGTTATAACTTCCTTCACTACAGCACTGTTTAACCTACGCCAATATTTCTCCATGGCAGTTATATTATCCGAGCATCAATAATTCAGCCGGGCAGTATTTCTGAAAAAAATATATCTTGACACCAGGCAAAGAGATGAACAACAACCGTAACACGCTTATAAAAGATCTACGGAAATTGGCTATAGGCACTTTCTCCACGTCATTTCCTCCATTATGGATCAACAGTACTTCAGTAAAGAGATCTCCCTGACCAGTTGATTGATACCCAAGTCATTGTATACAAATCACACTTCCAGTTCTGTAATGCCTTCGATACTGTGTTAGAAAACATAGCAAGTGACATTCTTTAACCAGAGACATCTAGAAGAGTGATTACTGGAGTACGAATGTTATTATTGTATACACTACATGTATAATTCCATCGACCTGCTGCTTTTAGTCTCAGCTGAATGGCATGCTTTAAAAGCTGCTTTGCAGTCCCAGTACGGAAGGAATGGGTCTAGAGGCGAGCTGTATCTACGCCTAAACATCACAGAGCTTTTTGAGGCACAGCAGGAAATTGATATCTTGCCATAGGTTGGCACCAAAGTGACAAAACATCACATATTGCAGGTGGACATAGCGGTGGATGATGTCCATTGTCAGGCTCAGATGGAGTTATTTATCTAAGTAATCAGACGCTTTGAATTATATAAATCATTAATTAACTATCAGCATATTTACGGTCATAATGACAAGTGACTGCCCTTTCAGGATACCAGGATACGAAAGTCAGAACTTTTGTAGGCTATCGTAACCCTCTGTGGACTACCGTAAATTTTGTGACCTAAAATGGAACTGTAAACTCTTTTGGACTAACGAAAGACTACCGAAAACACGAGAAATCAGACCAGTCGCGGTGTACATTGTATATGTAGATAATTATATACTCAACTTGATCAGTTACATGAAAGTGGGCGCACGTGTAATGCTTATCACTTCCATTTATCCATCCGCCCATCTATCGCCACATTAGTAATCGTATTTATGAAAGTTCATCGTTCAATAAGGAAAGCATGTGTCAGCGCTAATTTGCCAAATAATTTATTGCTTAGTGCAACTCGTCATTTTGGTATTTGCAGTTTGACTGAAACTTGAGATAACGAGTTTTGTCAAATAATGTTGTTGAAAACGTTTCGTTTGAGTATAACAGTGCACGTGCACGTGCGTGGACATAATTAAATAGCAGAACTCTTCTGTCCAGAAGATAGAATACTGAGCGGTTTTAAGTTTTCATTTGGTAATTTAGTTTATATTTGAAAATTCAGCCCCAACAGAATAAAACAAAGTGTTTGCGGTAAAAAAAATGCTATCTCTGTGACAAATTTGCATGTGGTCTAAATCGAAAGTAGCAAAAGTAACAGGAAACGTGATGGAGTGATCGCCCTTTGGAAAAAATGGTGGCTTACACAAAATAAGTACGAGTGTAACCTATTTCTCGATTTGTGATTCGTTGTAGTACTTGTTTAGGACATAACATGAAAGCGAGTCTCCGTAATATATATTAATAATCCCTTCAATGAAAATGTTCTCCAAAGGCTAATTGTGACTGTTTTTTCTTCTTGTATTGCCATCATGTTATGTCGTATTTTACATGTGGAGTTTGATTCCGTCACATAAATCGTGACGTTAAACCATTTTTACACAAGATTACAACTAATAGGAATGTTATCAAATTGGAATATTTATGATTGTACATGAATTAGGTGTTCAGCTCTATAAACCACAGCTCTCCGTCGAATTATCCAGAGATAACTCGCCCAGAAGGGATTAATTGATGAGCAAATCTGCTTTTATAACTGTGTACTTGTATGTATTTTCTTGACCTCAAAGTTAAACTTGTAATCAATGGCAAGATTGATAGGTGGTAGGAGGTTTATCAATTTGTATAAAAAAAACTATTGTCAGTTGACAGCATGTAACAATTATATAAAATAATTATATCTGGATTAGTTGAATGAGGAAAAATGTTATAATGACTGGTTAAAAAAAGTTTTATAATTTACTTGTACACCAATGTGTACAGGTTAGGAGAATGTGTCACAGTTCTAATCCATACCTTCAGATTCAAATATGTTTTCTTATATACAGTGTATATTGGTCAAGTAGTTAAAAGAAATCAAACTATCTGATGAACTTTGTTTTAGGTAAACTTCAGGAAACCATTCATATTGCATCATGGACCCCAAAGAAGTCAAGGCAACTTTGAAAAATGCCAGAGAATCAATAAGAAATAAAGAGTTCAAAGAAGCACTTAAACACTGCAAGGTTTGTCACACAATATTGTAATACATTGTAAACAAGCATATATCTCGGAGTGTAGGAGACAAAAGACACCATTCATAATCTGCTGTATATTGAGATTTACATTGAAATGATAAATCCTTATGATATGACTCGGCATAACTTAAGTTTGTATCTAATCTGCCAACATGTCAAAACTGTTTTATGTTAGATTATTTTAGAAATTATATTGATAACAATGACCTTTGGCCTCTGTGAGGAGACTGTGAAGTGGTAGAATGTTGGTCTATGAAACCTCAGGTGAAGATGAGATGAGTTTGGTTCCATTCTCCCTACTGGTGGTGGTTTGTATTTCTCAGGAAGCTGCTGGGAAACAGACTAGACTGTGCTGACATTGATGTATCCTTGGGCAAGACACTTTACCCTAATTGCTCTGGATGCCACGAGACAGGCCTCCCATATAATGTTCAGTGAGGTAGACCAAAGATACTATAAGGATACCTATCTCAAAATAACCTGGAATATTTCTGGGAGATAAACCCAGCACATAAACAAAGTGTTAAGTGTCCACCTTAATATTTGCAGTCTGTTTTGGCCTGTGATAAGAACAACTACAATGCATTGGTATTTGTGGGTGTCGCTGCCGAAGGACTGGACCAGATTGAGCAGGCAGTTAAAGCTTATAAAAGAGCCATAGAATCTTCTCCTGGTCAACCCTTGGCATGGCAGGGCCTAGGTGGTCTGTATGAGAAACGACCTTCAGCTGAACATGACACTGACTTGATCAGTGTTTACCAGAAGCTGCAGGAACTACATGGCAGGTATGGAGAACTCAAGTGAGGAATGTACAGATTTCTCTATTGATAGAGTTCAATTTAGACAACCAATAAACATATCATATGAAATTGATGGTTTGGTAAACTTTACATGAATTAGATGTTCCAAAAGATTGATCAAAAGCCAGATGTTGTCTTTCTAGGTAAATATATCATGATATCAGTTTTAACTGCCACAACTTATCTCTTTTTAATTTCAAATTGTATTTTGAAAAACTGTCCTTTATGTATATTGATGACCATAGAGATTAAACCAACTTAAAACTCTGGTATTAGAATGAGTATGTATATTTCCAGATTCTGATATTTTCGTTACTTTCCAGTGACAAGGAGAAGCAGCGAGATATCCAAGTGAAACTTGCTAAGTTGTATATCAGACTTGAGGACCTAGAAAAGGTGAGAACTTTATGTAAGAGTTTGCATTGTCAAAGTGTGATGAATAACAAAATTTTCACTCTTTTAAAATATTTCATATTCATTTTTTATACGGATAGAAAGGTACAGAGGTTGGTTTTAATTTAAATCTTGAGCCTCAAAACACTCCAGACTGAAGTTTTAAGCAACTGATCTACCTATTCGACTATTCCCATGGTATTAGAGGCTGCTGGTCTTCATTTGAATATACACATGTAGCCATTGCCTTTCATTAACAACAGGAGTAGACACAAATTGTGCAACTTATGATTTCAAGGAGTTTAAAGTATTTCTCTAACATTGTATAAGAGGTTGATCTGTCACCCACAGTTTTTATCAAGTCCAATTAATTCTGCTACGTTCCTCATTCTTTCCACAAAGTCTTGTATACTGGAAAATTATGTATCTTATAGGGCTCAGTTATCATTGACTTCACAATATATAAATATATATATAGATTTCCTGGATTTTTTTATTTCACAGGTAACTAGCTTGATGAATTCCCTTGTACAAATTTTTAAGGTTCATGGACATTTTAATTCCTGGATGAAGTATACTAACAAAATGAACAAACATAAATTCGCCACAAAAATTGTTGAGTATATAGTAGTATTGTTGGCGTTGAAGAAAAGTTTCTGTACTTGATAATAAGCAACAATGGAATTTGGACATGAGGCCACTGGACTTACAACAAACACTGAGCAACTGCCACAGAAAAGTTCCAAAAGCAGTTAGTATGGGGTCAAAGATCACGATGATATAACACCAGTGTTTTTCACAGTGTCTTGTCTTATGTATAGTTTATTGTAGAGTAAAGATCTACAAACCATTCTCAGGTCATTTTGTGGTTTAACCTCGTTTTTTGTTGTAATACTTCAAGGGACAACAAATTTATGAAGATTTGATAAAAGGAGAACAAGATTCAGCCAGAAAAATCCAACTTCAAACTGACCTGGTGGATGTTCTGATGACAGAGAAAAAGTTGACAACTCCACAGGAACACATGGTGAGTTTGGTTTGGGTTGATATGACTTTGTAATAACTACATTTGTATACAGACAGTCTTTGCTCACAGCTTCTTTAATGAGTCACTGCACTGAGAAATCCTCATTATACCTAACACTATAAAACGTACAAAGCTCTGTTTACTTTTAAATCTCAACCTCAAGCAGGAAGTGATAGGTAAGTATCAAGGTTTGTACTTTGGTTTGTCTAGGTCAAAAAGAAGAAAAGACTTCTTGCTAAAATGAACATCAATATCTTCCAAAGAGGGCATTGAAGAAATGGAAAGAATCACACTTATTTTAATGAGTGTAGGAGACGACTACTTCTAATTCTTTTTGGTCATGTTTTTGAGAAAAAATGTACACAAGAAATGTTATAAAGGGTTCACCTGTTAGGCTTTGAGATAATGCAGTTATTAACAGCAAGTTCTTACACAAAATTCCTTTCTCCTCGAAATGATTTTATGATTCATATACTTATAAATACTATGATCAAGCAATTCTTAAAATAAACTCAAAGGATGGTTTGTATTACTTCAGGACAAGAAGAAAACTTAATTAAAAATATGAAAAGTTTTCAATTGATACTGATTACTGTTAGAATATGCTTCACAGTTGATGGAGCTGGTTACAACACTCACTGAAAAGGAGACCACAGTGACCTTCGCAAACCCAGATCAGTTAGTTACCAGGTACCTGGACCTTCTCATCAAGGTAGGCCAAATCTAAACAAAGCAAATCATTGGGTAGACAAGTAAATCATGATATTCAGTTGTCTATGTATTGTCCAGCATGATATGTTTGGGCTAGCAAAAAACAAAACAAAACAAAAAATAAAAAAAACAAGGAAAGACTTGTATGTGGTGAGACTTTACATAGAGAAAGACTTTAGAATTATAGAAAATTGTTAATAAAATTACAGAAAATTGTTAATAAAATTATAGAAAATTGTTAATAAAATTATAGAAAATTGTTAATGAAATTCATTTGTATACTACACAGCACCGTAAGGTGACCAGCTTGCCTGACCAGTGTGGTCGCCTTCAACTCATGTTTCCAGCTCTTTCCTATCCACTGGAACTTTTAATTATCCACTTCATGGAGACAGATTCAGGTATTGTATTTCTTCTTATGCAACAAAATATTCATACTTCTTGCAACCAACTTTTTTCAAAAAAGGGATTTTTTTTTATGCTTTTTTATGGATTATTTAACATATTATGAAGGTGTTCATTTCAACACTTGTGTTCAGTATGTGACAATGAATATCAGTTTCTGGCCTTCAATATTTTTTACCAATGACCATACAAGTGTTTGTGTTTATATGTGAACTAAACCTGTGTGTATGTGTAAATGCAGATGTGTCACAACTTGAGAACACTGTGACTAAGCTAAATGATTTAGATCCAAAGAGCCCATATCTTGTTGCCGCCCAGGGCTACCAGTTGCTGCGTCAGAAAATCTATGTACAAGCTCGACCACTGCTTGCTTCAGGTAGGTTTTAAAATTTAATAGCAGTTTTCTTGGGTCATATGTAAGGTCAGGGTTGTGGGGTCAAGATTGAAAGGTCAAGGGTATGAGGTCAGAGGTGAATGATGAGGGTTGTAAAGTCTGGGTTAAGATATCACAAGTGTTAGATGAGAATTATGTATGAGGTCACAGTTATGAGAGAAAGGATAGTTGTTAATGTGGCCTGTTCTATTTTCTGTTAGAGTTTTTCTTGTTTAAATGTTATCATCCCTTCACATTTAAATTTCATTGATTTTCACTCCAAATGTTCCCTTTTCTCTTTGTGATATTAAGAGTTTAAAACTGTATACATTGATTGTTTGTAGGAAGATCAAGATGATAACATTTTACAGTGTATGATGTGATTTCTACCTAAAAGTTCATTTCCCTTCGAACATTTTACAGTGTATGATGTGATTTCTACCTAAAAGTTCATTTCCCTTCGAACATTTTACAGTGTATGATGTGATTTCTATCTAAAAGTTCATTTCCCTTCGAACATTTTACAGTGTATGATGTGATTTCTACCTAAAAGTTCATTTCCCTTCGAACATTTTACAGTGTATGATGTGATTTCTACCTAAAAGTTCATTTCCCTTCGAACATTTTACAGTGTATGATGTGATTTCTATCTAAAAGTTCATTTCCCTTCGAACATTTTACAGTGTATGATGTGATTTCTATCTAAAAGTTCATTTCCCTTCGAACATTTTACAGTGTATGATGTGATTTCTATCTAAAAGCGAACATTTTACAGTGTATGATGTGATTTCTACCATTTCCCTTCGAACATTTTACAGTGTATGATGTGATTTCATTTTAATATGATGTGATTTCTATCTAAAAGTTCATTTCCCTTCATGTATAGGTATTCATAAATTTAACCCTAATCAGCCTATCTAATGCGGTGATGAATACATTTTCTTTTACAATGAAATTGAGGTTTACAGATGTATAGTAATATATACTCTTTCTATTTCTGAAGCTGCTGAGAACCTGAAGAAGGTGGCTGTAGTACATTACTTCCTAGCTAAGGTATTGTCAGCACTGCACCTTTATAAAGAGGCACTGAAGACTTGTAATAACTGTAAGTAAAATTCAACAGTGCCAAGGTATTATATTAAAACTAGTAAAATAATGCTTGAGTCACTGATACTGAAATTGACCGTAGACCTAAATTTAAAACTTATAAAAGGTCATTTGCTGATTTAGTGCATTGGGTGTAAATATTTTGTCGACAATTATATATGCTCTTAAAAATTTACATGAGGATGTAAGACCAATGTCATTGTTACCTCAAAACAACAATAAAGTATCTGGAGCATGTGACACCTGAAACCTGCAATTGGATTTTTTGAGACAAACTCACAAAACATGGTTTTCAGAAATGCAGACTGATGAAGATCATTTGAAAACATTTTCTGTATTTGTAGTGATCTCATTGAGAAATGTTCTGTTTTCCTTGTGCTATATGGAGTTGGATGTGCTTGATGGTCTTTAGAATGCCTGGTGGTCCTGTTGTTTTTTCCTTTGTTCTCATTTGGGAACATGACATTTCTTATTCGGATTGACCAAGATTTACATGACAGGTTTTATTCTCCTCCTACTTTCTCAGGAGTCGTTTGTTCATGTTTTAGTTCACTTTCAGCAAAGTCGAGTTTGAATTCAAATTCTGTTGACATGTTATTTGCTGTTTAATATGTGTGATGCCTGTAGGTAGTTATCATATTCAGTTAGGAAGATTGTACTTTGATATATCAATATTATGTTTTTAAGTGAACTTACACAAGTTTTTCTTGACATGCAGGCTTTAATGTTATGCAGAAGAAGGACCGTGTGATGATATCAGGTGGTGAACTTGATGCACGTCTCTCTGTCCTACAGTCTCACATAGACTACAGGATAGGTTCACCATCTTCAGTGGACAGAGCTATCCAAACACTTTCTCAGGTAAAAAGAGTGTCTCCAACAATCTCATATTTATTAAGTAATAGCCACTTTACCACTTCTGATCTATCTGTATTAGAAATTTTTGAAGAATTTTTTTTGGTAAATGCAGATCACCGATTCCAAAAGTTTAATGAATCCAATAAATATTTAAGTCCCAAAAATCACTGTATATCATTCTACTGATACCAATATGACACCTTGAATTCAGTTAATTACAATTTTCTAAAATCAAATAGAGACAAGATCTTCCCATTGACCTGAAGTTACTACTTGGATTTGTTTACCTGAAGGCAGGACGAGTTGAAGATGCTGAGGTGAGTAATTTTTTGTTTTGTTTTTGTTTTTTTTTTTGTAGAAAATTAAAAATGCAATTCATTTCATGTTTATTCTAGGCAAAGTTAAATTGTTTTATTGTGAAGACAATTGTGGTGAAAATTTTATCTTTGATAGAAAATGGTGATGGGCACCAAGAATACAGCTGGTCTAGATGGATGGATTCACTTCCTCAAGGGAGACTACTCTGGCGCTATTCACAGGTACTTAATGTACATTGATTTTTTTTGTCAATAATACAGAAGCACAGAAAATTGGAATTGGAAAAAGAATATCCTGCATCATCTAAAACTAGCACACAAATTACATGTAAAAACTATGACAACATCAGAGAATTTCATGTGTTCAGTGTTTTCTTTCACAGGTTAACATTAGCTGTAGAGTCTGCTCCAGATGTCAGTGATAATCACCTCATGCTTGGCAAAGCATTGTGGGAAATGTGGAAAGAGGAGAAGTCAAAGGAATCGGCAGAGAAAAGCTACATGTCTTTTCTAAAGGTTGGTCAAGGTCAAACAGAGTTGCAGAAGCTAGTTTTTACTACATAGTTAGTAAGGTTGATGGAAAATTTAATTTCCTGATATTGGCAATCATAAATGATAACAAGAAATTAAATTTTGAATAAACATTTTACAGCAACTCAAAACTTCAGGAAATACATAATGATTTCAAATACCTGTAGTGTATACATGAATATAAATGGATACATGTGTGCATTAAATTTGATTCCGGTTTACGTGACTAAATTGTGACAACTGCGAAATATCAGTCCTGTATAATTAAACACTAATGCAGTTCTATAAAAGTCCAATGGGTAACAGTAGACAAATATGATCGTGAATTTTGAAATTATCAAACTGATATAACAGATGTTTGTTTAGATTTGAAAGTAGATACGTCTCTGCTCCATAATATAAAATTCTTTGCTTGTATTACACCAAGAATACATAAAATTCTCATTTTCCTGATTCTTTGAGTTCAGTATTGAGTTTAATACCCACATGATTATCTTTTTGTATATGTATTTGTTATTTTACCCTCATGGGGAATGTTGGAGGGGATATAGAGAGATTAAAATGACACAAGTTTTACTGATTGTGCTATTACATATTCCTGTGCATTTTACAGGCAGCAAAGTTGGACACCTATAACAGCGAGGCATTCCTGTATCTGGGCCACTTTTCCTTGGAAGTCCAGCATGACAAGGTCAAAGCCACCAAGTGTTACCAGAAGGCATTTGACCTTGACAATGACAATGATGATGCTGGAGTAGCCCTCTGTGATCTTTTAGCCAGTACTGATCAAGAGGTCAGTTAATGTAATGTGTCTGTCTTCTCTTTACCTGTTTATTACCTCCTCTCTGTTTTTTTGAAGATTACAGGGTATTTTGGATACAAAAATCTCAAATTCCTAAAATTTCGCACAGTGTGATACATACTTTTATTAGGTGAATAAAAACAGATGTAGTTTAACTTCCTTATTGATGTACAGTGGAACTTCTTAAAACTGACCATGCATGGAAAATAAATATTTGGCTGGTTTAGGGAGGGTTCAGTTTATAGAGATGAACCAAAGTAACTTGTCAGTACTTGGATACAATTGAACCGATTCTGTTATGTACATCAGGTTATCCATTCTGTTAGCATTCGGTGCACAGGTGCAACTGAATACAGAAAAAAAACTTAACAAAGTAAAACTATTTCAGTAAAGTAAGATACTTGTATGTAAGTGACTTTACTCAAAAAGAAATCTGTGTGCATTGTCTCGCAATCTTATCTAACATTACATACATCTGGACCTACCACCGGTTGGATGGTAGGCTAGCATGAAAGTGTTTTCTACTGATTTCTTTGATGAAAAGCTGTTTTTGTTGATCTCTGCAAAAGATATCTTTTAAAACAGAGCTCCATTGATGTTTCCATTTTGTATATGTTAAAAAAGCATTATTCCATCACTCACAAGTTAGATGCTAAACTGCGGCTTTCTAACTCAGTACTTTATAGTTTCACTCTGTCTGTAGACATTTCTTTATAGTTTTCGCTAAGCCAATTGATGCATTCATTAGATATGGTTTCAATTTGTCATTGGGGATAACGATTTGTTATATTGTTTAATATAATCCTCCTGTTTTGTGGAGGTATTGTGTACAAGGCCTATACATGACAGGTACGCACAGGGAACACAAAGTTTACAACTGTCATCACAGGGGTTGATTTCATGCATATGATCTGCTGATCACAAAATCAGTTCAATATTTGGAATATAGAAAGATCAGTATTGAGAAGATTTTTATCACTATAATAAAGAGAATATTGTTCTGTACATCATCATTTCATTCCCTTTCAAGAGGTGATTGGTTTTTAGAAAAATTGTTTTTGGGAAATTGCAATATATGTTCAAAACTAAAAGTTCAGTCTCTGTCAAACACAGTTAATTCATTTTTATGAATGAATAAGTTAATGTGATAGATATCCACAATAATCTTCAAAGGTTTACTCAGCATTCACCGGCTAATACTATGTAGAAAAAGTATATAAGTTAGAGATTCCTCCTGGGTCAATGCAAGGAAATATCAAAACGTTTTCTGGGGTTTTTGGTTTTCCCTTTTAAACAATCATTGTTGAGATTTTTACTCTAGGGGTGGAATTGTAAAGAAATTTCCCATAAGGGACAAGCTTTGCTGAGAGGTTCCCATGAGAGATGGTATTATTGAGTTTACAGATAGGGTTTCCTGTGAGGGCAGACACACTTTTGAATTTTCTTGTTTGGCAGGCACTTTTTTAAGAATCCTTATTGAGTGTGCTCTTTTGAGATATTTGCTGTGGGGTATGTGTGTTCTGTGGGGGCAGGCTCTTTTAGATTTTTCCTTTGGGACAGGCTGTTTTTTGAGGTTTCCTTAAGAACAGTCTGTTTTGGGAGGTTTCAAGTGGGACAGATTATTTTGGGAGGTTTCCTAAGGGACAGGATATTTTGGAAGGTTTCCTTAGGGACAGTCTGTTTTAGGTTTCCTTAGGGACAGGATAGTTTGGGAGATTTCATTAGGGACAGTCTGTTTTAGGTTTCCTGAGGGACAGGCTGTTTTGGAGGTTTCCTTTGGGACAGATTATTTTGGATGGTTTCCGTTTGGGACAGGCTGTTTTGGAGGTTTCCTTAGGGACAGGCTGTTTTGGAGGTTTCCATAGGGACAGGATATTTTGGCAGGTTTCCATAGGGACAGGATATTTTGGAAGGTTTCCTGTGGGAAAGTCCGTTTTGGAAGGTTTCCTGTGGGACAGTCTGTTTTGGAAGGTTTCCTGTGGGACAGCCTTTTTTGGAAGGTTTCCTGTGGGACAGTCTGTTTTGGAAGGTTTCCTTAGGGACAGGCTGTTTTGGAGGTTTCCATAGGGACAGGATATTTTGGCAGGTTTCCATAGGGACAGGATATTTTGGAAGGTTTCCTGTGGGAAAGTCCATTTTGGAAGGTTTCCTGTGGGACAGTCTGTTTTGGAAGGTTTCCTGTGGGACAGTCTGTTTTGGAAGGTTTCCTGTGGGACAGTCTGTTTTGGAAGGTTTCCTGTGGGACAGCCTTTTTTGGAAGGTTTCCTGTGGGACAAGTTATTTTGGAGGTTTGCTTTAAAGCAGACTCTTTTTTAGATTTCTTATAGTGGCAAGCTTTAGGGGCAAGTCCCCATGAGAAATTGGGTGTTTTATCGAATTAAAAAAATTGAGTAACATGAAACATGACATCAGAAGAAAGTAGAATATTTTGATAGTGTATTTTTGTGTATTAATCTCTTTCAGGAGGATGCCCATAATATCATTGTCTCTGTTACATCTAAAGCTAGTGCTGGAAGGTAAGTATTAACATCGTCACAGAGTGTAGTCCAATTCTCAGTGAGTAATGATAGAGGCTATAGTGAGTGATCCACTGGCTCAATAGATGTTACAAGTGTAAGAATAGATTTTGCTAATATGATATTGGTCTACGATTTTCACTATACTCTGATTAAAGTAAAGAAGTTATGATATTAAATAGAAACACAGTATGATGATGAAAACCTGTTTTTTTTCTTCAGTAGTTGATAAGTTCACTGCATTACAAGGATGTAGGTTTGTGCTAAAGTTGAAAGCTTCATGAAACTGTGTTGTTTGTCATTGATAGTGCTAAGTGGGCATGGTTACGACTGGGGCTGTACCAAGTCAACCGCGACAGTCCATCTGTGGCAATCACCAGTTTCCAGTCAGCACTGAGGGCTGACCCCAAAGACAAGTAAGTACTAAAGTGATTGACTGCTTAGTTCCTATGCAGATTGTCTAATTTTTTTGTTTGACAGTTATATATAATACCCAGGACTACCACTTTTTTATCACCCTCTAGAAATTGTATCCTTGCTTACCAATATTCAACCCTTGAATTGATCCAGTTGTCACTTTGTAGCTGACCTAAATCTAGAAAGACATCAAAGTTTAAGTTACAACTTTGATAATATGAACATAACACTGTCATTTGGTTTTATATTTGAAACTCACATAATGATCATCTAATTTTTCTTATTTGAAATTTTTTTATTAAAAAAATTATGGTCACTTTACTTCAATAAATGAAAAAAAAATACAAATACATTAGCTGTTTGAAGTGAATTAAAGTGCTTTGTGTTTGTTACAGTCATGTGTGGGAGTGTTTAGCTGAGGCCTACTTACACAGAGGCAGTCTTACTGCTGCCCTAAAGGCTTTCACCAAAGCCTCAGAGGTTAGTCATTTGATAATTTTTATAGAGTCATGTGTGGGAGTGTTTAGCTGAGGCCTACTTACACAGAGGCAGTCTTACTGCTGCCCTAAAGGCTTTCACCAAAGCCTCAGAGGTTAGTCATGTGATCATTTATATAGAGTCATGTGTTGGAGTTTGTGGATGAGTCCTACTTATACAGAGGCAGTCTTACTGATGCCCTGAAGGCCTTCTTCAAGGCCTCAGTGGTAAGAGAAATAGTGTATATTCTGATACTGGTCTACATATTGTTAAAAGCAAAAACTTTCAATTCCTTTCTTTCCCGAAAATGTATTGTACATGAACTTGAGTTCATTGATCTTCAGGAAAGCCTGTATAAATCCTTATCATTGGTGACCTTAATGATAGAATAAAATCAGTTTTAAAAACAACAAAAATATTATGAAAAGAAGCATGGAAACACTTTTATATTTTCTAATGTTAGATATATGCACTGGGGTCAAAGAGTCAATTCAGAAGCAGGGCTAGCTCTGACTCTAAATTTGATTCACCAAAATCTTTGTTACTTCATGTTTATTGATATATGAGTAAGAGGTATCTTTCATTTCCTTTTTATTTCAGCTGGATCCTAGTTCCTTGTATTGTCTATATCAGTAAGTACTAATGAGTGTATTCTGTGTTGTGTTTTTTGGACTATCAACAATCTATGTTATTTAGGGCCAGTTAGTATTTATATATTTCTGTAAACCATATCAACAAGATCTACATTATTGTTATGGATAAATTCCTCAGGGTTATTTATCATTGAGAACTGGACTTTAATTTGGTCCTTTGAGGATCAAGTTATAAGTAAGCATTACAACCTTTGAGTGTTGCTACCTTGAGAAAAAAATCATTTGCGATGAAAAACTAGGACAAAGATTATTTATTTCTTAGAATAAGAAATGGCCAAAGAAAATAAATTTTGATTTTGATTATTGAAAAGTATTTGCAATCTTGAACTGTTACTTGTCATAATCAGTAACAGTTTAAATTCTGTGCTGTTGTCAATCTGTAGTACAGTTTTAAGTTTTCGTCTTTTCCCCAGGATTGCAGCTATCAAACAGACTCTATGTATATATACGGAGGCCATTGTGGAGTACAAGGTTATCCTAGAACGTTCGCCCAACTATGTACCTGCTTTAAAAGGTGATTATCATTTAGTTACACTGTATTAAGTCCCTGTTTGTTATAAGCCTACAGATATTCATTGCAGTAACAGTAGAAATACCACAGATGTTATGTACTGTAAACATATATATTAACTGTCATTTTAGTGGTTTTATGGTGCACATGTTGCACTTAAGTAGAATTACAGTAATTGCAGTGTCTGTATGTTGTATATTATAATTGTTGACGTGCAAATTCCTCATTGCGCTAGTTTTCCCAGAATCAATAATGGGCAAGAATTGGACTGCACTAAATTAAGTACATTAATCATTATATCATTGTCCTGTGATAAATGAATTTCTTGCTTTACCAAAACTTGACAATGTGCTTACATTTGATAGCATAGAATTAAGTACACTTACAGTTACTGTATCATTGCCTTGCAATCAGACTACCTCCTTACTTTGAATCATAAACATGTGAAGGATCCCAGGGGCCAGTTCCAGAATAAATATTTTACACTTGATTAAGCTCTTTCTTGTTTACATCTCACACCAACATTTCTTTTACTGACATCCACAAAATTACACCTTAATTGACATACTCAAAATTACAACTTAATTGACATACTCAAAATTACAACTTAATTGACATACTCAAAATTACAACTTAATTGACATACTCAAAATTACAACTTAATTGACATACTCAAAATTACAACTTAATTGCATAGTAAAGGTTCTGTTTCAACAGTTTGAATTGAAGAAATTATGAAAAGGTAGACGTTTAGAAGTTTATGTAATTTCCTCATTTTTTTTCATGAAATCTTTTTTCAATAACAATTTTGTAATGTTTACCTGGTACACAGGTGTTGGGGAGACATACTTATTACTGGCTAGAAATCACCTTTCTCAAAGTTTCTATGGTCGTGCCCGAGAAAATTGTGAGGATGCGCTACTATTCCTGACCAGGTAAGGAACCAGAGGAACAAGGAATGATAAACATTTGGGACAAAGCAAAAAAAAAATCAAACCCATGTGCTATTTAAATGTAACTATTGTGTAAATGGAATGCGGACATTGTACAGAAGATGTTAACAGAATTGATTGACAATACTGTATTATGCTCTTTTACAATAAATGAAGATACATGAAGCATTACATATATATTTTGGTGAGTGGAAGGAGAGGATCTTGTTAGGCATCAAATCTAGTATCTTGGTACATTATTTTTGTACCAACAAAAAATGTGCAAAAATTTTACCTAACGCTATTTAATGAAAAAGAGTGCCAAATATAAAGGCAAAAGAATTTTTCTTTTGTTTAATTCTGTCTGTTGATTATGTGTGATAGAAAATGCTTTATGATTTTATTTGTTCTATAGTATGATATCTGTAACTTTTAAACAGAGCAGCAGGTCATCGGTCTGACATGTCCTGTCTGTGGAAGTTAATGGGAGATGCCTGTACACTGATCCATGGCCTGGCACCCAAAAACTTCAGCTTCACTGTGGATAATAAACTGGTGGCAAGGGCAGGAGAGACGTGTACCTCAGGAACATCTAAGATAGGCCTCACTCAGACCCTGGAGTTGGGGGCTAGGTAGGTAGATTGGAGTACTGTTGGCACACAGGACTGAGAAAAAAACTTCAGATAGGTAAGTCACATAGGTATAGTAAAAGAATAACACCCCCCACAGAATGAGGCAGCTAGGTCGTGAAGTAAATTTCATAGGGCTGGCACAAAGCCTACAGCTGCAGGATTAGGTAGGTGAAATAAAGGTACTGTATGGTGTACGTGATATAGAGCAGACACAGACCTTGGGGCCAGTAGAGAGGTCAGATATAGATTTGTAATACTGAGCCAATTAACACAGACCCGAAGGCTGGAGGCAAGGTAGATCACAGCCAACACATCCCCTGGGGATGGGGGCTAGGTAGATCAGAGCCAACACATCCCCTGGGGATGGGGGCTAGGTAGATCAGAGCCAACACATCCCCTGGGGATGGAGGCTAGGTAGATCACAGCCATCAGTCCCTGGGGATGGGGGCTAGGTAGATCAGAGCCAACACATCCCCTGGGGATGGGGGCTAGGTAGATCAGAGCCAGCAGACCCTGGGGATAGGGGTTAGGTAGATCAGAACGAACATAGGCCCTATAGATAGGGGCTAGGTAGATGAGGTAGATCACAGCCAACACAGACCTGGGGTTGAAGGTGAAGTAGAAGTTGTAAAGGGACTGTATGTAGTAAAGGATTGGACAAGACCCTTGTTCTGGCAAACAGGCAAGGTATGCTTTATTGTTCAGAATAGTAAAAACTAATCAAATTTTGATATGTGGTAGTTACAGGAAAAAAATTCTTTAAAATTGAAATCTTTATTGTATCGATTTCTTATGTTGTTTGTCTGTTGTTCCGTCACTAGAATGAAAAACAAAAAAAACGTAACCATTTCTTTCTTTCCAGGTGCTATGGCAGAGCGTTGAAGGTCCTTCCAGAATGTGCCTCATTATGGCATGACCTTGGACTCAATTTTTTCTACCAATCACAGCAGTCAACACAGTCGGATGTGATTGCCACTCTGTCCACAAAATCTGTAAATGCTCTGAAGAAAGCATTGACAATTGATCCTAAAAATCATTTACACTGGAATGCTCTTGGAAGGGTATTCTGTTCAAATGGTAATTTTGTTGATGTGGTACTGTGGTGTTACTTCTTAGCAGGTGAAAAAATTTTGCTATAGTCGGCTTGTAAGTGGTAAATTTGACAAAATACAAAATATCTTTATTATTTTATTCTGTACTGTTAAAGATTTTTGTTGAAATGAACACAAACAGATTCAAGCACTGGGGGTCTCAAATTACTGTAAATGTACAAATTAACTATAACATAAACTTTTAGATTTTGTTTAAATGTGTGTATGGTTCAACTAGTCTGGCTTCAAAAGAAAAAGAACTATTGAAAATTATGTGTAATTATCAAAATTTGGTTTGTGAAGTTTCACAAGTACTTGTCAATAGAAGGTACTCAAAATCTGAAAATGTACACTTCTGCATACATATAAATTGCATGTAGGCCTTATTTGGTATGAAGGTATTAGATACACAAGTAAAAGAACTGGTATACTCTCAGTAAGAGAAAGATGGTGAATTCCAGATATGTTCAGAGATGAAATAATTTCATTTCTCGACATATATATCCAAAACTGTTTCAGTCATCAACATAACAGATGTATTGATGTAAACAGGGATGTTATTTTTTTTATTATGAGCTGTAAATAAGCATTGTATCAGGGGAGACCTGCTAACACATTAAAAAATTTCTCAAGTCATTGTTTGTAGGTTGCCTAATATATATGTATGTTTGATTGCAGGATTTTACACCCCAGATAAGGCCCAGCACTGTTTTATCAAGTCAATACAGACTGAACCAAATGTAAGATAAATTGAAATCTTTACACGTTTTTATGATTTAGGCACTCATAGTTGAATGATATTTCTACCAAACTGTTGTTTATTTTCTCAAGTAGTTTATTGTCATAATTTATAAATCACAGACTCTTTCATGTGTCGGATTGTAAGATAGGGATATCCAAAATACCTGATGGACACATTGTAGTATGGTTGTGATATTGTCTAGCTCAGGTTTAAGCTGATGCATTCATCATGAGATTTAGTACCACTGAAATCCTAACCAATGGTCTGTTTCAGAAAACTCACTATTGATCTACAAAACCTAAACAGAGATTTAGTACCACTAAAATCCTAACAATAGTCTGTTCCAGAAAACTCACTATTTATCTACAAAACCTAAACAGCTATTGTTTATAAACCTGATATACTCTGTGATGAAAAGATGATGAAGTTTCACAATAGTGAAATTGAAGCCCTTGGGGATTATATTTTACCTCAAATAATAATATTGTTACATAAACATAATCATAATCTTTGATGAACATTTTTGTATTAAGACCTTATATCTATTTTCAGAATGTCGTTGCTTGGTCTAACCTGGCGACTCTTTATTTTAAGAATAGCAACATAGAGGTAAGATCTTTGATAGTCCCTCCATCTTTCCTAAACAGATAATTTCTGTGGGTAATTGTTGTATGTTTTGTTTTTTTCATTGGTACATATGTAGTGTTATTTACTGTGTAATGGTTTTTACCACAGCTTGCTCATGATGCCTTCAAGACTGCCCAGAGTCTAGAGCCATCCTATGTTGCCTGCTGGATTGGCCAGGTAAGTACTTATAAACTACCCTTCGGTTCTTACCGAGATAGTGAATAGTTTTGCAGAATTATAACACAGGGCTAATAAGCCATTAGCAATCACATTTATTTGTACCTATTTTTTGACATTTGAGCAGGGCCACATTTTTATGATTTTCATTAACTTCAAATTTCACTAAGGAAAGCATTACATAGGAAAATTTCCAAAAATTTCAGTTTTTACTTAACTTACATCATGCTTTTCTATGGTAATCAAGAGTTCCCTATGTTAAGGAAGATTCGTGAAACAGGGGTCTAAGGATTCAAATTCTAAATTATTTTATGGAAATTTTATTTGATATTGAGATGAAATTTCTCCAAATCAATTTTTAGGCCCTGATTGCAGAGACAGTTGGACATGAAGATGCAATGGACTTGTTCAGACACACCAATGAACTGGCCAATCACGTAAGATCTTACTTGACCAGAGATTGAAAATAAATTTTTGTTTCTCTTGATGTAGGTGATAAGATTTACTTTATTTTTACACAATAGATACAGGTTCCATTAATATACAATTAGTGAGATATCATCGCTTCAAATTTTACACATACACATGTTGTTGATGTGTATCCTGATTCATATTTCTGTTGATAGTCCTCTGGCTACACCTTACATTAGTGTACTCACAGTTTACTAGTCATAACTGACTGGTAAAGTGGGCAGTGTTTTTATCAAGCTTGTCACCAAAAACATCACTCAATACAAGAGCAATAAAACTTATATATAACTTATATATTACAAACTAACACTTGTTTCATAAAGTAGATTGAAGATAATTTGATCTGTAAAGCCACTTTTGCATTTTTAGGTTGAAACGGTCGAGATGACACGAATAAATTCCACCCTAAACAAATACACATGTACCAGAAATGTTATGGGCAGAGCTAAAAATGTATCATTATCTGTCAAATATCAAACAATGATTCAACAATAAAATATGTTCCATTTTAACCTGTACTGAATATCATAATGTTTCTAAGGTGTTTGTGACCGTTACTTTCATACAGGCAAGACTGGCCCTCTCAAATATCTTGTGCCTCAGTCTGTCAGTACCTATCATGTTCTTTCAGGTTCAGCTCGTCCAACCCTTTCAACTGCTTTAGCAAAACTGACCTAAATGTTTACGCATTTTGTAGCATATAAATACATAATGCTCATTTCCCTTTATGTAATTTTGTTATCAGGTAGAGGGAGCCACAGGGTATGCCAGCTGGGTATGTACCATGCTCAAGGACAAGAGTAAACATAATACAGAACTGTTCCGCTACTCCATCAAGCAAATGGCCGCCATACCTGCAGCCTCAGATGCTTTGGCCAAATATCTAGGTACTGAAATATTTATAATGATTCCAAAATACTGTTGGAATGTGAAAGTAGAAATAGACTATTTAGACCTGTTTGAGATATTCTTAAATTCTTATCTGGGAAAGAATAAATCCATATGTAACCCTGGTAAATACTAGTCACAATATACCGTTCGACTAGGGAGAACTTCTCTGTAGCTCGATCAGTTAAACATCTAATAGAAGCCACTGGACCTGGGTTTGAATCCTAGCAGAGATTGAAATAGATAATGACCTCTGTTACATTTGTGCACATGTAGAAACTCAGGAATAATATGTGGTGTTACTTTCACAAGCATCTTCTCTTGTAATCCCTGGAAACTTGAGGACAATTTCTTTCCTGGAATGAGAGTGTGTAACTCTGGTAAATACTAGCTACAATATACCACACAGCTAGAAAGGACTTTTCTCAACTGTAGCTCAGTTGGTTCAGTGTCAGACTAGCTAGAACCCATGGGTCCTGGGTTCGATCCCAAGCAGAGGCAAATGAATAACAACATTTGTTATATATATATGTTTGTATTTACACCTATCTTAGATACAAAAAAAATACTTTGAAAGTTGTTTGAAAACTTGCTGGAAGTCACAAGTGATAATTCTATAGTAACAAAATATATATTCGATGGTAAACTGAGAGGAATTAAATAATGGCAATAAAATTTGTTTGATGTAAAGATCATGGCACCTCAGAAGTCTGCGCAATCTAACGAAGTCTGTTTAAATTAAAGTCTGTAGACAGTACATTTTATATTCAGATATTATTATTTTTTTCTTGTGATATTTAGATGTTGAGAAAACCAACCCTACTGCATACAACATGTATGGCTTGCTATTGGAGCATCAAGGATTATACAAGTTAGCTGCTCATTCTCTTTGTTCTGCTCTAGAGCTGTGTGATGACAGCACATCCCACAGACAGGAAATCAGGACCAACTATGCTCGCATTCTCTGGTGGGTGTCTGTAGTCTTAGAGATCAGAAAGCATCAGAATAAAAGTGAATGCATGACAAAAGTGTCTTTGTTGATTACTGTAAAATAATATATTTTGGGGGGTTTAACTTCCTATTTCTTTTTATGCCCCCGCCATTTATGGCCGGGGGCATATAGCGTTGCCCATGTCCGTCCGTCCCCTCCCAAATCAGTATATACCACCTAACAACTTCATTCGGACCTTTCACTATTATTTCACATGGGGGGGGCGGGGGCATTCATGTCTTACAGACATTTTCTAGTTTTTTCATTATATTGTTGTCGCTTAATTTCATTAGATAAATAGAACTCAGAAAATCCACAAGACTATTTATTTTGTAATAAGTTATTCTGTAATAAGTCGTAAACGCCAACACATAACTTTGTATTTTCAGCAAAAATCAACAGTATCAGGAAGCTGTAGCACAGTATGACCTTGTGGATGACCTTGTAACCTTGGAGGACTTGTGTAACAAAGGTTTAGCATTGCACAAGGCTGGGCGGTATGCAGACAGTATCCTAGGTAGATGTTTTATTAGAAACCTGACTTTAATTCTGATGGGAAATATTTTATCATTTACTTTCTTTTTACATTCAAAGTTAATTTGTCACATTGAAAAAAGTGATATTATTTGAATCCTTATGACCCTCAAAATATATTATATTGAAAGATAGAGATAAGTTGCATGCATGTATTAAGTGATGAAACTTCTTTTTGGCCTGAAGTGTACTCCACTGCCCACACCCTTGCTGAAACAGAGGAAGAACAATCACAGGTGTCTGTTGCTATGGGAATGGTCCACTACACAGCTGGAGACCTTGAAACAACAAAGTCAATCCTCTTCCAAAGGTTTGTCAATGTTCTTATTGAGGAAAAAGGATTCAGCGGAGATAATTGTTTTGATATCTCTCAAAATTTGGGAGAGAATATTAGTGTTACCTATTCTGTCTATTCTGTCTATTCTGTATTTATCTTTTTGATTCCATTTTATATTTATTCTGTTACTGTTTCATCCAACAACATTGATGATGTCGACAAATTGTTTATGCCTTGGTATGAAGGTCACAGTGACCTATATTTTCTATATTTTTATATGATATGGACTGCATGATCAACTTCATTTTCATCAGAGGAGGAGTGGATGTGTAAGGCTGCTGTTCAGTCACTCTGCCTTTGGATGTTTTTGTTATGCAATTTTGTTATATGTCTGACATTACAACTTCATGAATATGGATGATAATGTAGAAATTCATCTACTGTATGATTTCACAGTTCCCAGATGACTCCACCCTCCAGAATGGGCCTTCTGGCTCTGTGCGCCCTGGGGATTTTACAGACAGACATAACCTTGACCTTGGCAGTCCTTCAGGAACTTTTGGCAGGAACAGGATCAACTAGTCAGTCTGACATTGCTCACCTGATGTCTACAGCTAATGCTGTTATTGAGGTAAAACTGTTAGTGTTTGACTAGTAATATGATAAAATGTGTGTAAATCAGACTGGAACAAATATTTTAGTTTGGTATCATCACAATTTGATTTACATGATGTAATTATTTATCTGTAGGGTAATCCACAAGCAGCTAAAAACTTTGTCCAGCAGTGTGTTCATAAGTATCCTGACCAAGTGGATCTGTGGCGCCTTCTTGGGTCTGTCCTTATCACTCATTGTCGGAACACCACAGCAGTGTCTGCTGCTACCAACTGTGTACAGATAGTCAACTCATTAGATCCAACATCACCTGTAAGTCAATGTCACCACACCCCTTAACTCAACAATCCCTGTACATAAAGATCACCAGTCCCTTAACTCAACAATTCCTATACATTAAGGTAACCCTTCCCTTAACTCAACCATTCTTATACATTAAGGTCACCCTTCCCTTAACTCAACAATTTCTATACATTAAGGTCACACTTCCCTTAACTCAACAATTCTTATACATTAAGGTCACCCTTCCCTAAACTCAACAATTTCTATACATTAAGGTCACCCTTCCCTTAACTCAACAATTCTTATACATTAAGGTCACCCTTCCCTTAACTCAACAATTCTTATACATTAAGGTCACCCTTCCCTTAACTCAACAATTCCTATACATTAAGGTCACCCTTCCCTAAACTCAACAATTTCTATACATTAAGGTCACACTTCCCTTAACTCAACAATTCTTATACATTAAGGTCACCCTTCCCTAAACTCAACAATTTCTATACATTAAGGTCACCCTTCCCTTAACTCAACAATTCTTATACATTAAGGTCACCCTTCCCTTAACTCAACAATTCCTATACATTAAGGTCACCCTTCCCTAAACTCAACAATTTCTATACATTAAGGTCACACTTCCCTTAACTCAACAATTCTTATACATTAAGGTCACCCTTCCCTAAACTCAACAATTTCTATACATTAAGGTCACCCTTCCCTTAACTCAACAATTTCACCCTTCCCTATACTCAACAATTTCTATACATTAAGGTCACACTTCCCTTCAACTCAACAATCCCTAAACTCAACAATTTCTATACATTAAGGTCACACTTCCCTTAACTCAACAATTCTTATACATTAAGGTCACCCTTCCCTAAACTCAACAATTTCTATACATTAAGGTCACCCTTCCCTTAACTCAACAATTCTTATACATTAAGGTCACCCTTCCCTTAACTCAACAATTCCTATACATTAAGGTCACCCTTCCCTAAACTCAACAATTTCTATACATTAAGGTCACACTTCCCTTAACTCAACAATTCTTATACATTAAGGTCACCCTTCCCTTCCCTAAACTCAACAATTTCTATACATTAAGGTCACACTTCCCTTAACTCAACAATTCTTATACATTAAGGTCACCCTTCCCTAAACTCAACAATTTCTATACATTAAGGTCACACTTCCCTAAACTCAACAATTTCTATACATTAAGGTCACACTTCCCTTAACTCAACAATTCTTATACATTAAGGTCAACCTTCCCTAAACTCAACAATTTCTATACATTAAGGTCACCCTTCCCTTAACTCAACAATTCTTATACATTAAGGTCACCCTTCCCTTAACTCAACAATTCCTATACATTAAGGTCACTAAACTCAACAATTTCTATACATTAAGGTCACACTTCCCTTAACTCAACAATTCTTATACATTAAGGTCACCCTTCCCTAAACTCAACAACTACAACAATTCAACAATTTCTATACATTAAGGTACAGGTCACACTTCCCTTCAACAATTTCTATACATTAAGGTCACCCTTCCCTTAACTCAACAATTCTTATACATTAAGGTCACCCTTCCCTTAACTCAACAATTTTTATACATTAAGGTCACCCTTCCCTTAACTCAACAATTTCTATACATTAAGGTCACCCTTCCCTTAACTCAACAATTCTTATACATTAAGGTCACCCTTCCCTTAACTCAACAATTCCTATACATTAAGGTCACCCTTCCCTAAACTCAACAATTTCTATACATTAAGGTCACACTTCCCTTAACTCAACAATTCTTATACATTAAGGTCACCCTTCCCTAAACTCAACAATTTCTATACATTAAGGTCACACTTCCCTTAACTCAACAATTCTTATACATTAAGGTCACCCTTCCCTTAACTCAACAATTCCTATACATTAAGGTCACCCTTCCCTTAACTCAACAATTCTTATACATTAAGGTCACCCTTCCCTTAACTCAACAATTCCTATACATTAAGGTCACCCTTCCCTAAACTCAACAATTCCTATACATTAAGGTCACCCTTCCCTTAACTCAACAATTCTTATACATTAAGGTCACCCTTCCCTTAACTCAACAATTCCTGTACGTTAAGGATACCACTCCCTTAACTCAACAATTCTTGTCTGTTAAGGTCACCACTCCCTTAACTCAACAATTACTGTACATTAATGTCACCACATCCTTAACTCAACAATTCCTGTATGTTAAGGTCACCACTCCGTTAACTCAATCTTAACTCAACCATTCCTGTATGTAAAGGTCACCACTCCCTTAACTCAACTTTACCTATAAGACAAAGTCACCATTCTCTTAACTCTTTACGTGTAAGTCAAGACCTCACCCTTCACTCAACTTCAATTTAATTTAGTCCACTGTAATTTTGCTGTTGTTTAGGATATGATTATATGGTTATGTAAGTGATGATAATTACCATCTAAATAACACAACTTCTTTGTAAATTTGATCACTCTATGTTCCTGACATGATGTAATTTGCCATGTTGTTGTAATGTTTCTTTTTAATCATACCCTATATTTTTTTGCCAAATTTTGTTAAGTTTTAAATTTTGAACAGATTTTTTATTCTGTTTTCAGGATATAATGAAGCTGGTGACCAGTGGTCAGTTAGCTGGTGGACAGCACAGTCGGACCAAAAGAAATGGGATATTGTCCAGTGCCCAGAGAGCAGTACATCTGAATCCAGGTACAGTTGTAAAAACAGGGGTATATCTTATTCCTATTACTACCAGTTTGAGTTGGCTCAAGTAGAGGCCAATTTGGTTTGAAGTTTTATATGACTGGCAATAGAAATTGATACTTGTTCAAATAGGTTGCATTTGATTATAATTAAGAACATTTTGAAGTAGTTTTTGTCACCCAGCTTTCACATTCTGATGGAAATTTTGACTAACTAGTATAGGATAAAGTAACATTAAAGGTTATGATCAGTGTCACCGTTATTAATAGATGATAAAATGTGAGATCTTTCTACCAGTTAATAGGATCTTGCTTAAATTCATATATCTGACCTTTAAAAATTGGTTAAATAAGTAATTGAAAATTATTACAACAATATGGATTTCTCATTACAGCCCAGATGGAGAACTGGTGTAACTTGACAGCAGCTCTCCATAGTCACTCTGTGTTCCACGATGACAAGGTTGACAAACTCAGTAAACTTACCCTCCTTTACCTCAACTGGATCTCGTCAACATTCACAGGTATAAAAGTTCTAACATGAAACTTGATTTATGTACCACTGTTTTTATGGAGGGGATTTATAGTGTTACCTATATCAGTCCATCATTCCCTGCTGCATCCCATGTTCCGAGTTAATGTTATATCTTGAAAACCTCCAGCAAAATTCGGTTCATATTTACCCTACAGAATAATAACATCAAGGTTTACCCCTTATAATCATATTCTTGGCTTCTTTATAGAATTGGGAACAATTATGTCTTATAGACATTTTCTAGTTTTATGTATTATTGACTGAATGATATATATATAATCAACATTATAATTACATTTAACTATCAATAACATTTTCTAGCATATGATAAGTTTATGCAAAGAGGAAGTTTTTTTATTTTTTTTTTTTTTCTAAACTTTTCAAAATACCAGTTAACTCAAAATAATTTATGTCTCTTTACCATTATTAACGTTGTTATCTCCCTTTATGTTCCTCACTTTGTTATGTCATATTGTTGTACCCAAAACATTAAAAACAGTTGCAACTCGGCTTGAAAGTGATAGCTGAACTAAATGTATTTGCTGTTAGGATTTTATATTTCTACATATTTAGATAATGCACAAAGTCTTTTTTTACTTGATTGAACATTAAACTGTGTTGTATGTTAAAAAACCTGATACTTACAAGCTTGAAGATTAGATTTCAAAACAAAGATTACCTTTACTTATGGAAAGGTATTATTGATAAAAAATCATGATATCAAAATACGTCTTTAAAGATTGAAAAAAAAATGTTTCTTAAAATAGCACTTGGAATTTTTTTTTTGTTTTCATCAGAAGCTCCAAGCTCATTGACTTGTTGGTGTAAAAGACAGAAAGTTGTTTCCCTTGTTGGGTCTGGAAGAGTTGATGAAGCAGCAGACTTACTTTGCCAGGTGAGTTCTGTGATATCTATATGATATGTATATGTGTATTTCATATCTGGATCTGGTTTATGTTGTGTAAGGCAAGCACTGCTTATGTAAATTAATGGCCAATGAATACACAATCACACTTATTATCGACAGTCATTTTGTGCACAACATTATAAAGTAAGGGGGAGCCGAACAGTGTTACCTATGTCTGTCCTGTCTCATTCAGAATCAATGTCATATTTTGAGAAAATTTCAACAAATTTGGTTAATATTTCCCCCGTTTTATCATAACATCTCCTTCTATACCTTACCGTATTAAGCTAGTTTGAAATCTTCTTTAAATGCAACACTGCTTATATGCACAAAAGGAGGAGCATTTGTGTGATACAGTATTTTCTAAATGTTTTTTTTTTTTTTTTTTGGAAACTGAAGTTTTTGTAAAAGTATGAAAACTGAGATACTTCCCATCAAATCTGATTGGTACATAAAGTATGTGTATTGTATGTACATTATGTAGGAAAAGTAGTCCGCTGAAATTTTACATACAAAATTTTATGTAATATGAAGGAGATGAAGAATTGAACTCTGAGTCACAATTTTTAAGAAATTAAAAAAGTTATTGGTGAATTATGGTGTAACAGGAAATCAATTGATATTCAGTTAAAGAATTGTGAAGATCAGGATCTGGTGGATTTTGCTTTGATCATGGAAACGGTAATAAATGGAGACATAGGGGCCATGTCAGAACATCTGCTGCAGTCACGAGATAACACCTTTCTTCTTGAGGCTTTGTTGGAGACGTGTGAACAGGAAGGAGTCACAGTAAACCTGAATGATATCTTGGGCGAGGAGGATCAGAAGGACAGCGGGTGAGGAAAGACAATGGTGTAGATAATATATATCTGTCACTTTAATTGACAGAAACATACACATGGAGTAGTGTCAACGGAAAACACCACTAGGAGCACACATTAAAGTGACAAGCTGATCTTAACACTAAACCGTGACACTTGATTTTTTATTTACTGGTATTGTCTCTGTTGTGATAAAGAATAATTAAGATTTTGAATTTTCTGACCATATGTAAAGTTGTTTTTGTTTCTTTGTTTATTATATATTTCACAGACATTTCTGACTTCCTATTTTCAGAAGGAGAATTGACTTTGTGTGTAAAGTACTACATGTATATTACATGTACAAGCAGGCAAAGGTAACTATGTCTATTATTGTAACCATCAGTAAGTGATTAAGAGTGCCTACAATAAATTTATCACTATTCTGGAGAAAGGCTGATATACATGATTTAATGTCCTTAATATGTATACACTGCTCTCTCTTACATACTTACAGATGGTATTGTCTCACACTGTACACCTTCATACCCTCTCCATTATACCCTCCCCATTATACCCTCTCCTCATTATACCCTCTCTCCATTATACCCTCTCCATTATACCCTCCCCATTATACCCTCCCCATTATACCCTCCCCATTATACCCTCTCCATTATACCCTCTCCATTATACCCTCCCCATTATACCCTCTCCATTATACCCTCTCCATTATACCCTCCCCATTATACCCTCTCCTCATTATACCCTCTCTCCATTATACCTTCTCCATTATACCCTCCCCAATATACCCTCCCCATTATACCCTCTCCTCATTATACCCTCTCCTCATTATACCCTCTCAATTATTCCCTCCCCATTATACCCTCTCCATTATACCCTCCCCATTATACCCTCTCCATTATACCCTCCCCATTATACCTTCCCCATTATACCCTCCCCATTATACCCTCTCCTCATTATACCCTCTCTCCATTATACCCTCCCCATTATACCCTCCCCATTATACCCTCCCCATTATACCCTCCCCATTATACCCTCTCTCCTCATTATACCCTCTCTCCATTATACCCTCCCAATTATACCCTCCCCATTATACCCTCTCTCCATTATACCCTCCTCATGACCCACATCCTCTCCTGGATACATCTTTATTTTATTGTCTTATGGTGGAAGATAATGAAAATACCATAATCCATTTCAGAAACACTAATTTGTTTTATCAAGGGAAGACAGTGTGTATATAGGTGTCTATATTCTCACAATTAGAGGAGATTATCAGACAATCATTGTCACAAGTGTGTGTAAGATGTAAATTAGTTGTTTTGAGGAAATTTTGGTGTATTATTGTCAAAACTTCATTCACAATCACAATGTCTTGTCCTTGATTTTGTCATCATAAGAATGAGGATGTTTCTGTGTTATGGTTCTCTGTAACTTTGTCCACAACTGATATCACAACTTTTATCTTCAAATAGAGGACTGGTCTACAGGATAACAAAGATTTTGAGGAGACATTGAAGAAGGCCGTGACAGAAGTACAAATGTTAGACTCCCACTGTCTCCCAGTAATGTTGATCCTTGCAGCAGCCAATTTGACAATCAATCCCAGGTACATAAATGTTTCCATGACTACACAGCTGTCCAGGCTCCACATAAAGGGCTGGTTTGGACAGTTGACACCATTTAATGGTTACTTTTGTTCTGCTGTAGTAAAAGCCAACTCACTTTGGTAGCTTCTAGTGAACATATTAAGTGAAACCAGAAGCTTTGTCTAGACAGCGATAGTTCAATAAAATGGTCTACTTTGGTTGATGTTTAACCTCTAAATGCATTATCATTATTCTAAAACAGAGCAATGATTGGTTGATGTTTAACCTCTTGATGCATTATCATTATTCTGAAACAGAGCAATGATTGGTTGATGTTTAACCTCTTCATGCATTATCATTATTCTAAAACAGAGCAATGATTGGTTGATGTTTAACCTCTTCATGCATTATCATTATTCTAAAACAGAGCAGTGATTGGTTGATGTTTAACCTCTTCATGCATTATCATTATTCTAAAACAGAGCAATGATTGGTTGATGTTTAACCTCTTCATGCATTATCATTATTCTAAAACAGAGCAATGATTGGTTGATGTTTAACCTCTTCATGCATTATCATTATTCTAAAACAGAGCAGTGATTGGTTGATGTTTAACCTCTTCATGCATTATCATTATTCTAAAACAGAGCAGTGATTGGTTAGTGTTTAACATCTGTACATGCATATTACTTTAAAACATGGCAGTGATTGGTCGGTCTTTGTCGGCATATGTAAAGACAATAGATTGAACAGTCTAAGTATAGTAAATGGTGTATGACCCAACTCTCTGGTTCTTGTCTGATATTGAAATAAAAGAGTTTTATAGATAGACCTTTGCACTACATGATTTTTTAAAGATACATTACGGTAGTATGAAAACTCTGACTTCATGACAAAAATGTAAAGACTCCCAACATGACACTGACTGATGTTCTACCACCAGAGTGTTTAATACCAATATATTTTTGTGTTGCATTTTGAATGTTTAAAAATCATCCCTAAGTAAGAAGACTTTGTGATTTTAGGCTTACCAAGCACTGTGTAGTGAAAGTAAGCGAGGGAAGACATCTACAAATAGATAAAGGTGATGAAGTCTCCATAGCAAGATGTCTTCTCATCAAACTCATATACAACCCTAGCAAAGAGTCAGAAGCACTCAAGGTAGGTACAGTATATTGATGTGTATATTGAAGTAAGCCCTTGAAAAAGCAGTAAATAACAACAATTGAATTCCATCTGCAGTCATATGTTGCTATACCCTGATATCAGTCAGATAACCTTGACAAATGTATGTAAATTGTATTAACAAATAGAGAGAACTGTAGTTACTTAATTAAAATATTTTTAATTGGTAAATTTATAATGGGAAGTCTGGAGCGATATTTAGAATAGATTATGATCATATTTTACCTTACATGTCAGAAATGCATTGAAATAAAGAATTTTGATTATTAGAATACTGGACTTTAAATCCTAAGTGTCTGTTATTATGTCTCCTCTTCAAAAGGGAGGAGACATGGTGTTTTAATACAACTTCTTCTGGTCTTCCTCTGGCTCTTCCAATAATTTCTTGTGGAGGCAATGAATTTCTACCCATTTAAAGATATCTTAATAAAAGATGGTGTTTGCCTGTATCACCTAAAACTAAAGTGCAGTACACTATTGCTAGGCCACTGAGATCTTATTTATACAGGAAATGACCCAACTTAAAGCCCTGTCTAACTCCAGCCGAAATATTATATTCTTTTTAGGAATTTTACTTGCTTTGCAATGTAGATACACAATGCTTTATGTAACTGCTACACGATTTACATTATGTTGTTGGTAAGCAATGTAATTAAAAAGTCCTTGTTTGCTACACAATCATTTAATTAAAAAAGTCCACCACAAATATATAACAAATATTGTTTTTCTTTAAGATGCATCTACATTATCAGACCAATATTTTTGATAAAAATGATTGATTAGTACTTTTTTACATTCTGTATGTATTTAATGACATTTTAACCAGTAATCTTATTACATATAAATAGATATATACACTTGGTGATGGTGGACAAGTCACAACACCTGTTCCTCAAATATGTACAAATTGTAATGAATATTTGACATTCTGCTAGCTCTTAGTCTTGTTTTTCAATATTTTTAACCAGTTCTGATGAAGAACCATACTATCATTATATGTGTAATACTTGCTATGTTTAGTATATACACTTGTCTGTACTGTACCTACCAAAGTTACCAACATCATTAACAGTAACGCAATGTCAAATAAAATTGATAACATTAATAGTAATTTTTTTGCCAAACCCATCCTACTACTAAAGCAGCTACCAGCAGATTTACATATTTGCTTGAAAGGCAAGACATGTTTTTGACACAACTCAGAAATTGCTCAATAAAATTTCTCCTATAAAATGTGTTTGGACATGAAATTTTCGTAGAAGAAAAATTATATTAATTAGTATTTATTTGAAAAGAATCTCATTTTACCTCATGTCTGATAAATGGTGAACAAACAGTTATTAACATCAGTATATTTAATAAGTGGACAACAGTACTTAAAATACATGATTCTTTATGCATACTGCATTGTTTTATTTGTTTTTTTGTAGAAACTTTTGACAGAAGCAGAAGTGGAAGGAGATGTTGCTGCTCTCAATTTCTACCGTTTTCTCTCTAGCAGCAAGTGACGAGTCTCTATGGACCGAATGTGTTAATAATGCTGGATGATTTTTCTGATAATCCTAAAAAACAAAGAGTACATTGTTAGAGTACAGATTGTATATATAATAGACCTTCTGATAGTTGTTGCAGTTGTTATACAAACTACAGTAATGCATGAATACTTGGAATACTTATCGGTTGAGTAAAGTTTAATGGTATTTTTTCATTGATAAAATTTTATGACAATTTACAAGGACATTGTTACTTAAGATATGATTGCACAGTGCAGTTATTGAGCAGTGCTAAAAACCTCCTGTTACAGATTCTTTATATGATAAGTGTTTAATCCCAGATGAGTAATGATGTCTGTGTTTGTGTTTATTGATAGGTAATGTCAATGTTGCTGTTTCTATTGTTATAATGATGTTGTCATGGACACATTAAAATTTGCATATTTAAGAATGGTAACATTTTATTTTTACCCTCCACCCATAAAATTTGGAAAATTGCCAATTTTCTCCATTTCCATATTTTTTTTTTCTGAAACTTTAATTATTTTTAGAAAATTAGTGTGTGCGTCAATTTTGTGTTCTATAAATGTAATTTACAATGACCTTTATTACTTAGTAATGAAGCCAGCCTCACTTATTCATTATTGCTGGAGCACAATCTAAAGAAAATAACTTTATCCTGCAACTAGCACTGCCATTGTCAGAATACACCTTACACATATATTTTACTGTATTCGGCAGGGACAGAAAACAACTGTATTAAAGCATGTGCATTAATTTGACAGAATTACTTTCTGAATTTACTTGGAAATTACATTTAACAATATAACTGTGAAAAGAAGCGATTTTATATGTTGTAATTAACAGTTAATTTACCAAAATTCATAAAATCACTGTTATATCTGAGGATATGGGTTTTCCCTTGTTTATATCAGATTAACCAACTGGAAAAGAATCTATAAACAATGTTTTGTTGCTGGCTTGACTTTTGGTTTTTCAACCAAACCTTTGTGAAAGTTTCCTTCTTCCATTCTTATTATTACGAAATCAAGGTTACAACCTGTTTACGATACTGAATATTCCAGGAGTGGAATTGATGTACTGTACATTTTGAAGAACCGAGAAGAGCTTAAATTACAAGAAAGAAATACCAACATGTTGACAAAATCTTTTATTCTAACTCAAATTTGATTAAACTAGAGCAAAATATGAACACTAGAAAGATGTTCACAGAGAAAAAAAAATACAAGAATACGACCAGGTGTTCCAGATGGGTGAGCGTCTACTGCTTTATCAACAACAAACAACAACCTCCATGTACACTGTAAATCTTCATTGATCCCAGTAAATCAAAGTAAGAAATGTCCCATCCAAATCTGAGGAACCACATTATATATGCTTACATACATCTTCTTATTGCATTAGGAAACTTCCTAATGAGATTTTGAATACTTTAAAGTGCTGTGTCGTGAGTTAAAGTCAGCTGTGAACAGCTTACTCAAAAATCGTGATATTGGAAACAAGCCCTTAAAAATCGAACCAATGCGACATGAAAACAACATGTATAATTGAAATTACCTCTCTAATGCAGCTTGGTGGAAAGCTGTCCTTGTTGGTTGGAAGTGTCTGTCATTTCTGATATCCAAGTAAACATGGTGGGAATAGTCGATTAAGCAGAATACGCTTACTCTTCTGGAACACCAGACCTTATTCTTGTACTTTTTCAGGAGTTTCTGTTTAAATCTTTCTTTTGTTCATATTTTGCCCACGTTTTATTGAATTTGAGGTAGGATTATGATAATGTTGCTATTAACTTGTCGTTTTTACTGGTGGATATAAATGATGTATAAAGAAAAGACATCATAAATATATCTAAAAGTTAAAGTGAGATTAAACGAATTGGCAAGGTCTTTGCGACCTGCTTTGATAAGCTCTTAGATAAATTCAGCCTCTTATGAAAACCAAAGTATGTAGGCCAAGATAGGGACACAGCTGGTTCCCAATACCAATAGCCTGTTTTTACCATCAATCTTGATAATTTGCTTCTAAAAATCTGTCTTCCATAGATGCGTTTGGTTTTTTGCACTTCAGACTACCTACCTCGTTCCTTTTTTTCACAAAAGTCGTGAATCAAACAATATGAGAAATGAAAGAAGATGGATATCGTGCATAGATGTAAAAAACAAAAGCTATCTGCCGTAAACTGATAACTAACATAAATTTCATATTTGGGAAAGGAACTTTTGAAAGTGCGAGCGTCAAATATTTACCCATGCTTGTTTGGTTATCTCAACATTTGATCATCAAATATTCTACAATAAAATTTCTAACAAAGAATAGTCATTGCCTGAATAAAATGTTACGTTAACAACTTCTTTTCAACAGTCATTCATGCTTATATAAGCAACTAAAAGTAGGCTAGGTTTTACATATAAAATAAATGTCCACGATTAAATAATTTCATATATAAAGTTTACCTCAGAAAGTTTTAAATCGCTGTTAAATTTTGGATTGTTTTAATTCAGGGTAGACGCTGTTTAATTAGTCTAATATATTTGCGTTTCCGCGAGTTCGACATGAACGGTATAAAATGTTTTTATTACAAAGGATTATCTATGTTATAAATGGCCGTGGAAATATACAACTGAACAAATAGAGACATTATCAGATATTTTTAACAATTCTCAAGTTATTTGCATACCTCTGGAAATCAACAGTGTCAATTTCTTTATCGTCTTAACCTGATATAATTTAAGTAAAAGGTTAATAAAACCAAGAGTACAAAGTCATTCAATTTTGTGTTAAGTTGATGATGTAATTTATTGACCATTTTCCATCGTTTATGTCATCCGATATTGGAAATTGAGAACGCGGTAGACTCTTTTAAATCAGAAACTTTTCATACAACGAAACTCGTTTTTTTCCATGGGTAGAAAAGCATCTTCTGAAAATATATGTGTATACAATGTTTGGGACATTTAGTCTGAGACTAATCAAAGAATTGTACAATGTGCATGTTTTGAAATCTTCTATATTTTTCTAATTTCTTTTATTTAAAAAGTAATAATTAATACACACGATAACAGAATATTACAACAAATAGATTTTAAATACATATATACAATAGCTAAAGTTAATAAGTTAGGAAATATTGAATAGTTGTCTGTAAGTCTCAATAATTACATTTTCTAAATATCAACATAATTTTTATTCAGTCTCAATATTGAAGAAAACGGGTGTAAATTGTCATTAAGAACGTTTGATTTGTCCACTCTGTACACTACCACACTCCTTTCCAAACCGAGGAATGCATTTGTGTTCTTGATATGAGAGCATTCTTTTCAAAGAAAGATGAACGGGTATACAGATATAAAGGTGTGAAATATGAAGGATTTTTTGTGGAAAATGTGTACAAATCAAAGAAAATATACGAAAGAAGAAAGATCTTCCAACAGACTATTTACATGTGGGAACAAGCTGTACTCCTCGTTTGGCTGACTTGCTCGAAGTTCATGTCAAAACAGGTCACAAAGACCCTGAGGAATCCCTTTATTTCATTTTCAGATATTTTGATGATGTCTTGTCTGTGATAAATAAGATATTTAATAATTACTATTTCCAACTTATAAACTCACCTGAATTTGAGATCAAGGACACGATAGACTCTTCTACATAAGCCGCTTAACTTGATCTTTTCCTAAAATGAAATCAGCAGGAACAGTTTTTACTAAGCTGTATAAGCGTGATGACTTCTATTTCCATTCTCCATGTCCGCAGAGCACAACCTCTTTATTTCCTGCTTGGTGTGAGTGGAAGAGTGACCTTGTTCGAAATATAATCCTCGTGAAATTATACACGACCTGGACAAACGCGAAATATTATTCCCGTTATAAATATACAGGACCTTGAAAAACGCGAATTTACTCCCCGTGAAATTATACACGACCTGGACAAACGCGAAATATTATCCCCGTCATAAATTTACTCCCCATGAAATTATACACGACCTGGACAAACGCGAAATATTCCCGTCATAAATATACAGGTCCTTGAAAAATGCGAATTTACTCCCCGTGAAATTATACGACCTGGACAAACGCGAAATATAATCTCCGTGATAAATATACAATCGTTATAATGTAGCTATATATAGCTATTTCTGAAGAGAAGAAGACTATGTTTGTTCTGCTGATTTTTAAGGAAGAGAAAGATTCGTATAAAGCTACCTAAAAGTCTTTCAAGAGAGAATATCAGAAATCCATTTTATTTTTTTTAAGAACCAGTCTGTTATTTACTATAAAGATTATCAATAATTATTGGATACAAATCTGTTCAAATAGCTTATTTTTAACTTTTACTTGTCACATTTAGTATAAAATAATTCATCAGTAAAAGCAACCGTGTGGTCTGCATGCATGTAGCTTTGCCAATGTTGCGTCGATCCTGTCGGGTATACAGAAAAAAAGTAATATCTTTTTTATCAATCAATATCACAGGAATTTATTTAATTCATTTTGTTATCAATCAAGAGATCCAAAGAACACAACGTTAGATAGTTTCACGGTTGAATGACAAGCACGAAATTAATAATGAGAGATGTAAAATTAAATTGTTATTGAGAATATGTGTCGATTTTGAAATTCGTTACGGTCATATCATCTATAAACCTTGCAAACTTCCGCACAAGTATTGCTCAACGACGGATCCATTGTGTTTCAGTCAGTTCATTGGTTTTCTGTTTTGATATTTTTATATAAAAATAAAGTTGGAAAAAAGTTTTAACCTTAATTTGTTATCGTCCAGAATAGAAATGCTATCAATTCACGAAATTTTTCATAAACGTCTTCTCTTGCTTGTCAGGTATTATTTAAAAACTTTCTAACAATGCTTGGAAGTAACATCCAATAAGGAGCGGAATGGATGAGCTATCAACCGTCTCCCGGACTGCCGGAAGTGGAAGAGCACTAAAGGAAGAAAAACACAACGTGATAACAGGGCAGTTGATAAATTAACTATCATTAAAACATCCTTAGTCTCTGTTAAAAGATAATATCGTTTTTAACAAATATTTACGCTTGTAAACTACCGTAATATTCTTGTTACCGTTCTTCGTTTGTATCTCACAGAATACAAGTGTCTAGATATCTCTAAATATTGGAACAACTGTTCAAAAGTGTATCTATATGAAGTATTCTGATGCACAGCCTCTTTACAACACTAAATGACTTAATAGATCGCGGATTTATTTTGTAATCGTTTATGTAATAGAGATAAAAAACCACATTGCCAAAACTACAGCGACTGTAGAGAAGAAGCAGAAACAGAATCTGTCCAGAGCCGAAGAAAAGTCGACCCAGGTAAATATTTCATCAACCTTGGCTTCATATTCACAACTTTCCGTAAACTTCTCCTTCGCTATGTAGACTGGTGGTAATTGAGCATTGTTATCCGACTTCCTGCTCATGGGGGTTATTTTCTGTGTATCTTTAACCCTGTTTTTTGCCGCATTGCTTCCACAACAGAAACTTACTCTCTTAGTGATTCTGATGAATCGTTGGATGCGCGGAGACACGTCCATGTTTTGGGGCCGATCATGAATTCGGACCTGGACAGCGGTCAGTATGACGATTGAAGTCCCCTTGATGACTAGGATAATGAGATACACGGCCAAATAGGATGTGGTGCGAGAGTTGACGGGTAAAGAAGAACTGAATATGGTCAGCAAAACGGCAAACGCCAGATAAACTGTCATACTGTATCCCATTTTCTCTCCACTATTAACAGGAATGATGAAAGTAAATATACTCAAGACAGAAAGTAAGATGATTGGACATATTAGGGTAAGCATGTAATGTTGGGGGCGTCGGTCCAGTGTTAAGAGGATGATCGCGTGTCCTAATACGAGTTCTATTGTGGCGGAGCGGAGTTCCCACACACCATTGGCTTCGTAAGACAACAGATTTATGGCGGGGTCCCTTAATACGAATTTCAAGTCTTGTGATTCTGTTGTCCACATTCTGAATACCAGTTTGCAAACTTGTGTATCAAATGGGAATTTTGTTATATCAATCTCGCACATGGTTTCGAGTACTTCGAACGGTTTCCATTTTGTTACACCGGAAGACCGTATTTTCACCAAAATGACGTCATCGCCAAGTTCTTTTAATTTTGTAAAGCCATTTTGAAGAGAGATGTCCGGTTTCCACACATCGTTCTGGGGCATGTAAAAGTAAGAGATGTTACTAAAGTCAGCCTCCTCCCACGACATAAACGTGTTATTCCATTCCAACGTCAGGTGTGCGATAGTTGTTAGTTTTTCCTCAATCTCTTCTAGACTAATGAGTCCATGAAGAGAGAATGAAAAAAATATAGGTAGCGGCCTGTTTTTGTTAACGCGGGGTAGAATGGACTTCTGGTAGGAACGCTTGTTAAATATCTCGTTATGTAACTTTTTGTAGTCCGATCCAATTTGGGCAAGACTGACCTCTGCCAAGGATACAAGTACCAACTGAACAATCACTGTCCGTTTGCTGATCATGGTTGAAATGCTCAAGACGAGTCAATGGTACAGTGGTGACTCTGTTACCTCCTGTCATGTGTTAATACCCTATGTTGGAATTTGATATCCCAGTTATTCAGGATTCTTGTTGTCATGTAAACTAAGGCTGATGCCTTTTATATCTGAATAAATTTTAAACTAATTCATTTTCGTTGTTTCTTACAATCATCTGTTCAGAGAGGTACACTTTTACTACAATGAAGCAATGCATACGAACATTCACTGATCAGAGTTTTAGCTATTGACTTAATATTCGTTTTGCAAATTGAAGTATATCTGTTGAGACAGAGTTTGTATTTTGCATATGATCGGTTTCATTAATTGTTTGATTGCGTAGTGATCGTAAGTGATAAGAACTTTTGAAATTACACAGATGTACTATTGTGAACCTCAGTGCGTTTAGATGAAATCGTGTACCCAGGAGACCATCACCAGTTGATTGTCTGTTTCACTGAAACCTTTTGTATCAGAAATTACATTTGATCATCAGTTATGAAACCAACTGATATCAGATGATTGGCAGGTTTATTTCTCATGATGGATTATTGTATAAACAAGCAGGGTACATCGGTCTGATAAAATCGGAATTTCGACCCAGAGTGATGAAACGTAGTCTAAATACAGAGAAAAAATATTTACATAAAAATACCACAAATACAATCAAATCAATTGTTCCGGAAGAGTTGGCGTCTTTGCTTCAATGAATACATCAACTGGGTAAATATGAAAATCTCCGACAAATCGAGGGACCATATTTCAGTCGATAGCACGTTGATCTAAGCAACATCGTGTGGAGACCCGTGGTGTATTGTTCGACTCTCTCTATCACAAATTAAATATTTAAATAAAAACAATTATTGGACACCACAAGCTTAATAACCATTTGTCTTGGTATATATTTTGTACGATTTGGTTTATCACATTGTCTAGATACTTTTGGAAGCGTTCGTGAAAGCGGTTTTTTATGAGAATGATAAAAAAATCTAAATTTGCGATAATCCCCCGCTGTATTGCGGGCTTTAATGATGTCACAAAACCATGAAGCAATGATGTTACAACTGAAACAACCTTCAACCAATCATAGCTCTGCTAGGTCATATCACATGGTATGTGTCACAAAAATATCCCACGTGATAAGCATGGAATTTCTGTGATAAGTTTAAATTCCTCTGACGACTAAGGGGGAATGATTAAAGCATGCGCATTTTTTAAGAATTCAAGAGACCTTTACACAATTCGAAAAGTAGATTTTTTTTCAACATAATGTTTAACTGAATAATACTTACAAGAATAGTTTTAAGGGAAGCTAAAACTGAACAAGTGAAAGAACTGAAATCCGTAAATACTAGGATAAGTCTGGTATCTGATTGTTTCAGTACTGAATTCTACATTTCCTAAAGGACATGGATGTTTTTCTACCACGTGTCCTTTGTCTGTAATTCAAAAGAATTATTTCTTGTATTCCAAAGGAGAAGGCAAAACTGGCAACCTATTTCTTTATTAAATGTCCACTACAAGATATCCACTTTAGTTTAAGTAACAGAATTATAAATATGCTGCCGAATATTCGAAATAGAACACAATCAGGTTTTATAAAAGGCTGGTTCCTTAGCATCACTGACTAGTTCTAGAAGGACAAAACAGTTGTATCATGTTAACTCTATTGTTTAACGTTAATGTTATAAAGTTACTAAAGTGTGCTATTCACTCGTGTGTCTTTATTACAATCTTCTAATACTAACACTGGGCGCCTCTGGAGGACATTATGACATTATTAGAAAAAAAATATTGTTTATCCTCGAATGAATTGACATTTGACTCAAAGGAGCGGAGTTTCATTAGTAAAGTTTTAACATCTTTTTAATTGTTGAAGTTTTGTTTTAAATCCAAAAGAGGTTTACTTAGCAGTGGTGTCTTATCAATTAGGTCGAGGTTGTCGTCAAGGTGACCCATTGCTACCATACATCTTTACAATTGGAGCGAAACTTTTATTCTTATCATTGAAATCTAATAACAAAATTGTCAAATTGGTCAATATATTGACAGTGCTTAATATCTTATACTTGATAGCAACATTCATAAATGTACAAACTTATGCATGGACTTTCACCAAAATACTAACAAAATGTTATTAATCTCGTTGTCAATAACTAAAATGATAACCTATTTTTCTCAGATCACCTAGGCCTTTTGATACGCCATTATGCACAACCAATAATTAATTCTACAGTTTTCTCTCAAATGAGTCTCACAACTAACACTGTTAATTCTGATTTTCTTAATTCCCCTCCTGCAGTATCTAACAGATATTGAATAAAGATAGAATGTATAGTGAAACTGTGTTGTCTCTGTTATTGAATCAGAGGGTAACAGAAGTGCTAATGCTGTTCTACGTGTATGTATATAATGAATGTACCTGTACATGTACATTCATGTGTGTGTGTGAATGTGTATGAGCTGTTATCATCACGAGTTACTTCCTTTAAACATTGTTAAATCTTAGTCAGAATTATCTGAAATCATGTCATATAACTGATTATCTATTAATAATTTAATTGATTATCCATTAACCCTTCATTGTTAGTCCTACTTTGACTTTTGATGGAGATAATTTATGTAGGCAGCCTGTAATTCGATCCAATTGACTATGCAATCTCAAAATAGACTTTGATGAAATAAACTAGTCACTCACTGCAGTTTATTTATTGGAAGGTTTTAACCTAGTGTCTGGACTAATGGTAAAGTTTCACAATAGTTTACTCTGTACTGCATGGGAAATACAAAAATTACAAATGAAAGATTGTGCTATGATTTGAAGATAACATGATAAAATGCAAACTTCAAAAATGGATCATATCATTTTGGAAGTAACCTATAGTAGAGTCGTGAACTCTTACAATACTGGATAACTAACATTAATTGGGCATGTTACAATTATGAAAAAAATATTGTATACCAGATCGGTGCATCTGTTTTCCACCTTTCCAAAGCTTTATGGAATATATTGAAACAAGTTAAAACCAAGGAAGTTTGAAAATATATTAACATCCTTTTTGAGATATCTGATTAAAGCTTTGTTAGAAAGCCAAAGTGGGTCAGATACGTTGTCGGAAGATGTATTGTAGAGCCAAGTAAATTCTGTGCCAGGTTGAAATGTAAAGCTATGTATCCTGTGGAAAACACTAAATGGTTTGGGTACAGTTGATGATCATTTCAATAATGGGATAGTTACATCTATATATAAGTATATATAAGTCTATTGAAATGGAAATCTTATAGAAATAGACGACAATTTTAACAATTAGATATACAGTAAAAAACGTACATACTTTACTATATAGAATTAGTCATAAAACTCATTCTTCATATTGATAGAAAAATAAAACTTAATTGAGGAATACATAGACATTGTACCTTTCCATGGGCAGTGGAAATTCTAATCGGCTTTTCGGAATCCTGACGAACCCGAGAAGGACAAAACATCCGTATACGACTGTTTAATTCAGTTTTTAGGTTTATTGTCTGATAGTGTACAAATGATCAAAAATTAAAACTGTAATCAAATGAAAATGAAATAAAAAATACTGAATACTGCATAACCGTCGTCTTAACATTATCAACAAGACGCATTGCATTCTAATAGTTGCCATTTGATTTCTGATATTGATTATTCTTCTTATGTGTGACAAAAATATCTAAGATAGTTTTCACTATTGGTATGTAATAACGAAACGGTTTGATATTTTATATAATGTTTACTTGAAACTATCCCTTTGTCGTATGACTCAGGGTAAGGGTCTTCAATTACCCACTATGTCAAAGATCTTTTACAGTATCCATCTGTAGATTTTAGAGAAAAAAACACAAAATATTCAACGCAATCAATACTGTTTTCAAATGCTATACTCACACTATAAACATTCAAAATGAAGTTTTAAGCTCGATTTAAACTTCTAATGTCACTACTTTCAGATGTCCAGATGTCTGAGTTTAAAGAGAACACCAGCTTATCACTACGCTATAAGCACTCTTTTGATTTTTTAAGCCATTTTGTCAGTAATTTCGTATATTGATGAATTGATCATTGAAGTGCAGCGAAAAATACAATAGCCAAAATAATGTCAACGACACAGAAGAAACAGAAAAAGAAACCATCCAGAGCAGCACACGCGTTGGCCCATGTATACATATCGTTTTCGTCCCCCTCCTCGACACTTAGCTCCTCTAATGGTAGCTTGGATGAGTTTTTTTGCACTGCTGGGAGGTTTGGGGAAGAAAGGACGTCATTGTTAGATTTCTTTTTTGCATGTCCCTCCTTTGGTTTCACCCGTTTCGAAGAATATGCACATATCTTCCTACTGATTCTGATAGCAAATCGCATGCTCCAAGGCAAACTCTTTTCCTTTGGTCGATGATGCAATCGAACTTGAGCGGCAGTTACCATAACAATCACAGTTCCTTTAATCAGCAAGCTTATTACAAAAACAGCCAAGTAGGACGTAGTGCGGGAGTTGATAGGTAAAGACGAATTTACAATGGTAAGGAAAACGGCAAAGGCTAAATACGCGGTCATGCTGTACCCCATTTTCTCTCCACTATCGACAGGAATGACGAATGTGAAAATGTCCAGAAGAGACAGCAAGATAATAGGACAGATAAGGGTAAGCAAATAATATTCGGGCCTTCGTTCTAGTGACAATAAGACAATGAAGTTGTCATTTTCTAGCAACGCTTTGGATGAGCTGATGTCCCACTCACCGTTTTCCTTGTAAAAGGTTAGATTCAGTGCAGGTTCTGTTAACGCGAATCTCGCGTCCATTGGTTGTGATGTCCACATCCGAAATACTATCCTGCAGATTTGTGTGTCAAATGGGAATTTAGTAATGTTTATATCACATTTGGTCTCGAAAACTTCAAACGGTCTCCACAAAATTTTTCCATTGTGCAATATCATCACCAGAATCACGTCGTCGCCGAGTTCTTTCAGTTTAGTGAATCCATTGTTTAATGAGACGTCTGGCTTCCACACTTCGTTCTGAGGCATGTAAACATAGGAAATATTATTGAAATCCCTTTTGTTCCAACTCAAAAACCCGTCTTCCCATTCTAGCCTCAAATAAGCAGTGGTTGTTAGTTTTCCCTCCACCTCGTCCAGGTTGTTGATGCCATGCAGAAAGAAAGCAATATGTATTTTGGTGGGCTCTTTTGAACTCTCGAAAGGTGGGACGACTTTCTTGTAATTACGTTTGTCAAACAACTCATCGTATAAATTCTTGAGATCCATTCTTGTATGGGTAAGAACTATTTGAACCACAGATATCAGTGTAAGTAGAGCAAGTATTGTCCTCCTCCTTGCCATCGTGATGATATTGACTGTATGAAACAGGTCTGTGAAGACAATAACAGCTAGATTTGTTTTTTTAAATTAGTGTGTTTTGCATCAATGCTTTGCCATAAATTTTTATGTTCACACGCCCCGATGCTGTTACATGTATCGATTACATTACAAAGCAAGGTCAGGTGAACACCACACACTTTGTTTTCATAAACCTGCATTATTCGTTACACTTGAAGACCTATACAACAATGCACTGAAGTAATAAACATAGTGTACAAGAGTCATTCTATTTCAATTAAAAACCAATTTATTTATTTATTGAACTCTAGTTTCGATTTGATGATCAGTATGATAACAACTATGAACAATTATAGAAAGTGCACTAGAATAAAGTAAGGACTGCAATGTCCCATGACTGGAATAATGTGACGTATATAACGTACATGACGTTTGTGACGTTAGGCTATCAGATAAATTGTACTGCTCTTTGGAATTTACATGGAAATATTATCATTGATGTAGAACAATTGTCCCAGGGGACTGTCGCTATTGTTTTATATGTTTGTTGATGTTGATGAGAAATCGTAACATGGAAATAACAATTATGACAATATCTCTAAATGTTTTTACCAAGGGAACGCCATTTAAAGGATTTGTGGCATGGCGACACACGATCGATTTTCCATTTTTTGGTTTTCAGTTTAAATTAAATAATGAATCTAAAGTACACAGTGAAACATTTATTTTTCTTGAAAAAGATGACATATGCGATTGCAGTGCCACCTGCAAGAGATTTCCTGACATTCTTATAACCGTACTGCACTAAATATTCGAAAGCTAACACAGGGAATTCAAGGGAAGATTCTTCAATCTTAGTCCTTCGACCTCTTAGACAGTTCAGACTCGTTTCGTACACGTTTTGCTAAATCATTTCCTGTATTTAGCCACAACTTCATTCTACCAACGGAAACTTCTTTTTGGGATCTGATGAAGAGAACACGGGCCCACATAAGCAATTAACGTTTGCCAAAACAATTTTAAGCAAACAGCTGATATTACATAAAATAGTTTGATGTCAACTCGGTTTTGAAATAGAAAAAAATCTTAACTGTTTTAATCTAGAATGGTAAGATTAATAACCCATCGTGTAATAGGGATATATCTGACAGCACAGGTTTCCTCAAGGCGCTCTCCTTGGTCTAGTCCAATCAAAATAATATGTCTGTATCGAGTTTTTTTTAATGTATATGTCTTGTTAGATGAAAAATAAAGCTGCGTTGCTTCGTTAAGATTTACAATTTTATATTTTAAATGGGAAATCCTGTTAATAATACGGGTACATACGACAACAAACTCATATGGCATCCTACTTACTTCAAAATAAATATCAATTAAAAAATAAAAGATGTCATTTTTTGAAACTGGTTTTCCTGTTCAAGTGTGTTTTTACATATAACGTCTACATTGAAAACCAATTATTACGTAGAACATCTAAAGGTAACTATGTATGCTGCTGAAAATGGTCAATATGTTGCCATATGACAAGTTAACGGTGCGTGAGATAATGGAATTCGTTGTATTTAGTGTAGAGCTGCTTTAAATAATTTGTTTTCATTAAAGTACCCTATCATGCAACACCTTATTTGAGAAAGATATATTAACAATTATTTGGAAAAAGCAGGAGACTTCAATTGTCAGAATTAAATATGACTGCTTATCTGTCATTTGGTTGTTTGATTGGTTACAAATATGCACATCTAGGTCTAATACAAAAAATCATGTAAAAACTGGAGAGCGATTAATCCTACACTTAATAAGTTATTTTTTGTTGTATGATTCTACCATGTACTCTCAGTGCTTTGGTATTCAGTCAAAATTAGAGGGTAGACGAAAAGCAGTCCAAAACTCTTGGCAGATGGGGGGCATGATTGCTTTTGATATGCAATTTGTTTTAAAATCATACCACATTAGCCGATTATCGTATATCATTTTAAAGGCCATTACATATGCTGTTTATCAGCGTAACTGGATTGTGATTTGAAAGAAATTTTCTTATGACCTAAGTCAGAGAAAAGGCCCACAGGGTTCCTTTTTTTCTAGTATCGGTGTAGGTGGCACTGCAGTCAGAATAATGGTTCAACATGTGTTTAACTGTTGTTATAATTTTTGCTTTAATGCAGTTGGCTAATTTAGATAAAAAATATTTTCACAAATATTACAGGCCCTTTTTCACCCTTTATGCAACATCTCTTGTGCAAAATTTCAAAAGTAATGAAAATTGTTGGTTGACCAGTTTCCGAGCCTTTCGTAATCAAATAGAAAAATAACCTTGAATATAAAGTGAAGACTTATCTCAATCTTACACCACTGTGTCTTTTGGTTTTGAATAAGATATCGAAATGTTTAAGGTCGTGAATGGCCTGTACCCCAAGACCCTAAAATAGAAAGTTTGCTGACTTTTTATCTTCTTGGCTTGATGCCTTTTGCCTCAACATCATATCAACGATGAACATAGTAGACAGAAATACTAGGAAACTACTGTGTTTTGGTTTTATAGAAAATATCAATTGTTAACGCATGTGCAAGGACTGGAATCAAACGTTGTATAACCATGAACATGAAAGAGGGGTCACATTAGATAACGCCCTGTCTTTGTTAACGCTGGAGAGAATGGTCTTCTGATATGAACGCTTGTTAAATATGTAGTTATATAACGTTTTGTAGTCCAATCCCATTTGCTTAAGACTGATCTTTGCCATGGATACGAATGTTAACAAAACAACCGTTCCTTCATTGTTGAAATGCTGCTTTTGCAATCCTTGATAAAGTCAATGCTCAAGATGGGTCAATTATTTATTGTTAGCTCAGTTACCTCCTGTTAAAATAATATGTGTAATTTCATATCCCAGTGGTTCAGGGTTATCGTTTTCTCCGTTCCACAAAGATTTGTTGTGTGAATCAATACTGGTGCCTTTTATCGTAATTTAGATTTTTAGAATCGCAATATTTTAGCCTCCTTCTATCATTCAAAAGGCAACATGTATCGTGTCGTATTTTATGATTATTTAGAATTATAACTTAAGATAAATTAGGTTTTCAAATTTGCCGAAATAGGACAATATTTTCTTATTTCAAGGCGATTTTCCGCTTTGTGATTGAATATTCTTTCTTTCGATGTTATTCGAACGATAATGAAGCCAAGGTTTAGCAACGATCAACATAAGACAGACAGTGTCATTGATCAGTTGGCAAATCAGGTACTCGACCAAGTGAAATGAACTCCGTAAGTTTTCAGAGATAGACGCATAAACGACGTCTAAGAAATGACATCTTACAGCCCTCATTGCTAGATGAGTCAGAAGAGTTATAGCACAGTCAATGATACGTTTGTAATACAAGGACATTTCATATAGCACAAGAGAGATCCTGACGTTGCTATGATCCAGCCTTTTGTGAGTGGAAATTGAACAGTGCCAAACATCTCGAATTCTACGTCTCCGATTTCCACTTGTGAAATATCAGCATACTAATTTCTTTTCTGATAGATATTCCCGAGCTACATGATCAAAATGTTTTTTGTTATTCAAAGACAACATTACGTATAGACATGTAAGTAATTTAAAGGATTTCTGAGGAGCTCTTTCAGTTTCTAGTGAAAACGTATGTTCGGTCATGAAGGGACGCAATTAATTACCTATCATGAATGCGAAATCAATAAGTATTCTGTTAATGATTTTTTTATTTACTGCGAAACTTCACTTATAGACCACTTCATTACAAAACCATTATTCAATTGTTATAAAAAAAACTAGACGTATACCAAGTCTGGCATCCTGCTATTAAGATTCGATTTGTCTGAAACCCAAGGTGATATTAAAGAGAGGTTTCACTGTTACAGAATATAATTCTTACCAAGACCACATATAGGATTTTCTTGAATACATTATTTCATTGATTCTATCAAATTCCATATCATAGTACTTTCCTCGAATTGTCTGGAGTTCCTTACCAATATTTGGTAAAATAAATAGCAGAGAACAAAGATTGAAGGGAGAATCAGACAAGGAATGAAACCGTCACGAACCAGAAAAAACAGTGCGTCATCACAAATAAAGACAAATTACTACATGCCAACTTTGCGAAAGGACGCGTATTTCAAGTTTTGAAAAATCGTGCTATATTCATTGGCAATATTATAAAATATGTGATGTTTAATTGCGCCTGTTACGATACAAAACATCTATATCATTCATGTATTTTTTAATGAAAGATAGAGTGTCAGAGAATATTCTTACATTCATTTGCTACGTAGTCTTTCAATAATTTGATTTCACATTACAAGTTCTAAAGCGATATAGAATATAAAAACTAGGTTAGAAAATAAACCGGATACTTCCTCGCCTCCACTTGAAGCATATAAACATTTTCACGAAATATTCATAAGATGGACAGAGCATGGGATGAAAAAAAATCAACAAATATGTATTAGAGATTGCAAATAATTGACACAGCTGGTGTACATTCAATACCAGACATTCCCTGGAACCTGCATGTCACGTTTTAATTCATTCGAATAGTTCTTTAATACTGATTTGCTGACGTCCTTTCAAGATTTTCAGATGTATGAAAATACTAGTTCACCTCTTTTTGTAGATTTGACATTTCTTTCAATCAAATCGAATTTTCTTGTGTTGCCTCATAGATTTCCAAATTAAGGAACTTCACAGCATTAACTGGTTTCAGAAGGATGAAACAGTGGTATGATGCAGTTTGGTTCATTGTTTGATTCTACTGTATCTAACTTTGTATTGAAAAGTGTATCTTTTGTATAACAATAAAAACTGTAGGTGGTTTTCATTTTAAGGGTCTGATGTTTGTTGTTACCTGCCACGTTGTAATAGTACGTGTATATTTAATATTCAGGTATATTAAACATTGCGTAGTCATAGAGGGACGTAAAAACATTGTAATGCAGATCAATTAATTATTTGGGACTACTATATCAGATTCTAAATTTGAATTGAAATATGCTGTTTACTTTTATGTCTTTTGTACAACCAAAGGGAGATTACTTTTAAAGTTAAAATGTTAAAAGAACGCACTCTTATATGGAATGACATTTTCCCTCTGCTTCAAGACTCCAAAAAAGGATCAGCATATCATAGAAGACTTTGGTCATCGATCTTATTTATGAATAGAGCAAAATATTTCTTACAATCCATACTGTAATCAGTATGTTATACTCAATTTGTAGACAGTTTTACTCATATAAGTTTAAAACATCAACATTTTAGGTATCTGGATTGACACAAATTATAGGCTTATCACGTTCTTACTATCAATGTCAGTGATCATAAATCACATTATCCATTATGTCATGGATATAATGAAACACTGTTCAAGGAAGTGCCGCGAAAAATACGATCGACAAAATAACAGCAACAACAAAAAAGAAACAGAAAAAGAAACCATCCAGAGCATCACAAGCATTTGCCCAGGTATAAATATCATTTTCGTCCTCTTTGACGTCACTTCGTCCGTCAAGTGGTAGTTTGGATGGTTCAGAATGTTTCTGCGCTATAGTTAGGTGTTGAGAGTCTTGGACGTCAACCTTCAATTTCTCCTTCTTTGTATTATCCGTGTTTGGTTTTACACGTGTCGAAGAACAAGAACGCATCCACCGACTGATCTCGATAACACGTCGCAAGTATTGAGGAAGGTCTGTTTTACTTGTGCGTTGATGAACTCGCACTTGGATAGCAGTTACCATAACGATGGTAGTACCTTTTATCAGCAAGCTGATAACAAAAACAGCCATGTAGGAAGTAGTGCGAGAGTTGATAGGTAAGGACGAATTTATAATGGTAAAAAAAACAGCGAATGCTACATATGCGGTCATGCTGTATCCCAATTTTTCTCCACTATTGGCAGGAATAACGAATGTGAAGATGTCCAGAAGAGACAGCAAGATAATGGGACAGAGGAGAGAAAGAATATAATACTGGGGTCTTCGATCCAGTGTCAGTAAAACAACGACGTTGCCATTTTGTAGCATAACCTCGGCTGAGTCGAGGTCCCAAACACTGCTTTCTTTATAAGTATCCATTTTCAGCGCGGGTTCAGATAACTCGAATTTCACGTCGAGTGGTTGTGATGCCCATAGCCGAAATACCAACTTGCATACTTGAGTGTCAAATGGGAATTTTGTAATGTCTATATCACAATTGGTCTCAAACACTTCAAACGGCCTCCACACTATGTTTCCAGTGTGCATTATCGTCACTTGGATCACTTCGTCGCCTAGTTCCCTCAGTTTGTTGAACCCATTGTTCAATGAGACGTCTGGCTTCCATACTTCGTTCTGAGGCATGTAAATATAGGAAATGTTATTGAAATCTTTCTTGTTCCAGGTCAAAAACGCGTCATGCCACTCTAGGGTCAGATGTGCTGTCGTTGCTAATTTCCCTTGCACCTCATTGAGACTGTTAATACCGTATAAATCGACAGTAACGCGTACATTGATTGGCTGTTTTAGACTTTCAAAAGGTGGGACGACTTTCTGGTAGTTACGTTTGTTCAGTAACTCGTCGTACAAATTCTTGAGGTCCATTCCTGTCTGGGTAAGACCTATTTGAACCACAGAAATCAGTGTAAATATAACAGTTAATGTCTGCCTCCATGCCATCTGCATGATGCTGACTGTTTAAAACAGGTCTGTGAAGACAATAGTAACTTGTTCTAAACTGTTTTGTTTCAGTGTGTTATTCAAACATTTTTCTCTGTTCATCTTGACACTCTCCAATGCTTTATTGATGTATTGTCATGTGAACACACAGCCATCACCGAATTGACAGGTCTACTTTCTCTATGAAATCCCTACTGAAGCGTTCTGATTATTCATAGTACGACAGAGCTCTCTAAATAGATATAAAAAAATGTACAAATAATCAATCTGTAGCAAAACATAATAATAAACTCAATGCTTGCTTTGATGACCAACATGACAATAACCTCAAATAATAACAGAAATGTACCAGAATTGATTAAACACTTCAATCTCCCTTGACTGATATAATGTTAGATCAATATTGTAACATAATCAGAGAAGGTGATACCGAATATTATTAATGTTTTTTTGTTTGTTGATATTTATCAGAAATCATGTCTAACAAATAAATATTGTGATGACTATACCTCTTAATGGCTATACTGGGAATGTCATTCCATTATGTGAATTATTTTTAAAAACCGATGAAAATTGTTGGCACCTCATTTTATGAGTTCGGCATATTTAAACAGAGCCTGAAGTCCTATTTTAATTTCAACGATGACTGGTTTTTTAATAGAAAATAACAAATTGTTAACGCATGTTCAGGTACTGGAACCCAAAACCTTATAATTAAAACTTGTTGCTCTAGTTTTTCTTGTTTAGGTGCTACAAATGTGTTTTAACCGTAATATTAACGATTAAGACAAACGGTAATTAGGATTACGTTAAATATGAAAAAGGTACGAAATGATTTTTCATGGAAAACTGGATGTCTTTATAAGTACTTAATCAATTGTGAACAGGTATCTGTTTTGATTTTTAATCTTGATGATAGTCATTTAGAAAAAAAGCGAAAAAGTAAATGCCTTATTACACAGAGGCCATCCTTCACTTAAAGCTTTTAATGACACTTCTAAAATTATTGGTGATATAACGAATATTTTAATTGACTGTTAGGCAGATGATCGACATAAACATTGGATATATCCATGACACTGACATATCAAAACCTAAAATTCAAATTACCTGCTGAAAAAAAATTCTGATAAAACATATTAAATGATTGTTAAAGTAAGAGTATTTACCAAGCAGGAGAGAAAAAAAGTTTAATTGTCTGAAGCTGGCAGCTGCTCAAATCCAGTTTATGTACGAAACGTGTAAGTGTGTTTGGACATATTCTTTCACAGAAATAGTAAAAATACATCGTTAGTACCATGTGTTTGTTAAAATGGAGTAAAATGACATTCTAGTACGATAACTGGGTACTAACCAGCCTTTTTGGACAAGACTAACCTTTGTCCAATATACAGCTACGAACAACATAAATACTGTCCGCCTGCTGAGCATTTGAGGAAATGTTGCTTTTGGAATCCCTGATCGACTTATGCTTAGGACGGGTAATTGATTCATTGATGACTCAGTTACATCATGCAAAATTAAAGGTAATATGTGTCGATGAATCGAGGCTAGTAGTAGTAAATCTTAGAATAATCAGTTGAGAGAGCTACACTTGCTGTATAGAGAAACAGTAGATATATTTTCGGTGATAATCATTTCAGTTTTTTGTCATGTTTAGCAAATTGAAAAACCTGTTTTGAGAGATACCATTTAATTAATGTGTAATTATTACATATATATATAATAATAAAAATACATATATGTATTCAAAACAAAGGAACACAAATGATATAAAATATAAATATAAAAGAATTCACTGCTTTATGACACATTAGATGTTTGAACACAGATACGGGTATGGTTGTATTTCCAATTTACCGTTCGGTGAGACAAGGCGTCATCACCTTCATTATGTGTTGTTAACATTGACCAACACCTTTTGTGTTCCTGATCCTTCTGTTTGTTTCGGTTAAGCATCAGATCATGATGCTGCTTTGATTCTGCCTATTATGATTTGAGATCCTACTCGTTGTTTGGTTCATAAGATACCAAATCTTCCATGTTAGGTTTTTCAAAAATTGTTTATCGTCTCTAACATTTTCTTTCATGTTTTCTTTTTCTTAAAACAGCGATATCTTCTATGCAAGGGACTTCGCTCTGGAAATACAGAACTGAAGTCCCTCCCTCCAAGTCCACCCCAAGAATGCACCATTCTATCTTCCCTGTGTCCATGAATTTACAATGTAAGAAATATATATATATGTGTTTGAATGGTAGAAATATTTGACGCCGACGTACCCTCCCTTGGCAACAGTTCCAGGTCACGTAATGTGCTCACAATGATTAATTAGATTCCATTTAATTGAAAACATGCATGTTTTCATAAAATTTTCTATTAATGTTTTTGTCTTTATGTATAATTATAATTTTAAAATTCAGTTAATGTTAATTTTTGCTGATAAGGTTTTTTCAACTGAAAGAGAGTAGATGGAAACTTGACAAATGAGGGCACAGCCCAATTAAATATCCGTTTCAGTGCAAAGTAATCAGTTTGCAACAGCGACAAATCAAACAGACAACAGACCATGGCACTATACGCATCGTTATCAGAAAATTATTATTTGTTTATCTCAGTGCTCGAGATCAAATCGTTTACCCAAGAGATAAACGCTGTCGCCATTTTCTGTTATAAAACATTTCATATAGTTACATATTAACGTGGGTGTTCTGATTTTTCTTGTTGTCACCTCAGCTTTGAATGTGGTTTTAATATAAATGCAATACAAATGTTTTACTCATACCGACTCTGATAAAAATGTGACAAAATCAAAATGTCACCAAAGTATGTCTTGGATCTAGGACATTTAGTTTTCAATAACGGTGTTGCACCAGAAGAAATGGAAACTAAGAGGTGGTACAAACATGTTATGAAAAGAAAATATACTCTGCTAATGAATTAATTGTTCAAAATATACGACAAATTCTGTGTGACGTGTTATTGTGTTTTACTATACAGATACTTACAAACGTTTCTGATAATGTACAGTGTGTAAACATGAGTGTTTTGGAAAGTAACCTTACAACATATGAGTTTATGAAACTTTGAAAATAAAGATTCTTAATACCAAAACGAGAATATCAACTGTACGTCTAACTCAACATAGAAGGAATGAAAGAAACATTAAAAAATGAATTACTTAAGTAGATGCAATTGCGAAAATACCTTGAAGATAAACCCAAATGTACCAGAAATGGCTTTGTTGACGACACCGACCATGTAACGTAAACGTAAGCAAATTTAAATTACTAATGTCAAATCATCATAGCAAACACGCCAGCATTACCATCGTACACAAAAAAATCATTGTCATAATTTTATCAGCATTTTCCCTCTGAAATCATACTAACGATTATAAAACGGTTTACCAATCTTCTTCGTCAATCTGCATCTCTCAACGTAAGCTATACTTCGGACCTATGTGTGGTTCGATTCCTTATCCGGTGGCTTTTGTTTTACTTTGCTGACATATTTGTGTCCTTTATCAAATTGTTTACCCTGGTTACTCTCATTGAATTGCAATGAGCTCCCACATTAAGTTGGGTACCATATAGCCATACACTGCTACACGAACACACTACTTCATAATTACCTTGGTAAATCCTGAGGCAATAAACACAGCAATCATCTCTTGAAACCCCTAATGTTTTTTTCTATTTTCTTACGTCTCTCATTTTTCAATGAAATTGGTACATAACCACCCCAACACCCAAAAAAGGAAAAAAAAAAAGAAAAAAAGACAGAAATATCACAATCTAATCATGAATATTTATTAAGATTGAAATCGAAATTACCGCCCGTATCGCGCAGCTTCTAGATATGATAACCACCGGTTTATTGTTATAAAACAAACAACCTTATTCAGTGACTGAAAATATTGACAAAATAAACCGTAAGCAAAGTCTGCATGCTTAGGCATTCTCACTATTCAGACCATCTCGCTATGAAGACTTCCCAGCCCACAAGTGTTTTTAAATAGAGCGTTCACTGCAGTAGAACATAATTCATTAACACTTACATCAATTTTCTGAAACTTGATTCCATTGATTCATGTTCAAGAGTACTTTCATCTGACAACAAGACAAGACCTTTCGACACTTTTCGGCAAAACGAATAGTGAAGATCAAAATATAGCATGATGTATGAAACCGTCATTTCCATTGTAAATATAAAACTAGAGTCTACAGGTCATCGCGTCATCACAAAGGGTCACAAACTGCTAGGTAACACTAAAACGAATGCATGTATAAGAAAACGTTTTAACTACGGATTATGTTCATCAGCAAGAAATTATATAATGTGATTTTGTTACGACAGGAATAATGTTCATATCAAAATTATGAATATCTTACCGCAGATTTAGTTACTTTCTAAAGAAAGATTGTTTCTCAACTGATATTTGTATGTTCATGCTTAACTTGCCAAACGGGGAAAACACTCAATACCGAAGTTAGATTTCTATATCCGATCGCTTTGCCATCTTATAGAGGAGCAACTCAGTTTAAGCAATTTCTTTATTTCAACTTTTTTCACTCAACAAGTTCTAATACAGATGTATAATATGAAATTAGGTTTGGAAAACAAGCTAAAACAGTGTCTCTATCCCTCACTTTGATGCTACAGCAATATGTGAATATTTACACTAAACTTCGGTGAGATGGGACACAACATTTGATAACAAACAATATTTATGCCAGTCTCCTATTAATGACAGCAAGAAGTTTCATTTGGAAGCAAAAAATCGTATATCATTACCTACATAGTTTTCAATCTATATAGTAATTTATATACATAGAAGAAATAATAATTAGTTTAGTGTAGGAGGCTTAGTTCTCTTTCATTACTACAACGTCACATGAATTTCTTAAATTTCCAAGCTTCCCCCACTGCGATGGATTCTGAGTGCGTCTAGTTTCTCTCAGACTTAAAATGAAATATATGTTTATTGCTAATATTGGAATTTCGAATTTATAAATTAGTAAACGTTAGGTACCTGCGTTTAGCGGCACTGACGGGTCCTTGCTTATCAGATATACAAATCATATGAAATCTATTGATTTATGCGGCTTGTGCTATCGAGATTTTTACATCTTGTTTTTCTTCACTCGACAACCAGGTTTCTCAGTTTAGTCCCATGTCATCACAGACAAGTCCTCGAAGGACGAAACAGTTCTATAATGCAGTTAATCCTGGGTTTTCTGGTTTTTGTTAATTTGTGATATTCAAGGACAATCTAAGGGAGATAATCCTTACTATTGAAATGTAATGAATGAAACAGTTTTATTTCCTCAACAAGAATTACTCCTCGTATCACACAATTATTTTGTATCGCTGTTATTGACAGGGCAAGTTCAATATAGCCCATGCAGTTATCAAATTGTTTACGCAAACTGTAGACATTTAAAATAAAGCGACTCTTAAACATCACAACTTTCAAGTGTCTGAGATAATACAGATCTGCTAATCAGTTTACAACGGTCCTTGTTTTCAGTCACGTGATCAGTCGTTTCGTTAATACAATGATGCAGTGTTCAAAGAAATACCGCAAAAAAATATGATAGTCATAAAAAAAGCTGCAACAAAGAAGAAACAGAAAAAGAAACCATCTAGAGCAGCACAAGCGTTGGCCCATGTATACATATCGTTTTTCTCTTCCTCTTCATCCTCACTTCGCTCATCTAAGGGTAGTTTTGATGATTCTTTCTTCGATGCTGGAAGGTGTTGGGAGTTGTGGACGTCAATGTTTGATTCCTGATTGTTTACGTTATCCGTTTGTGGTTTTACACGTGTCGTAAAACATGCACGTATCCACCTACTAAACCTGATAAAATGTCTCAAGCACCTGGGAAGGTCCTTGTCATTTCGACGATGATGCAGTCGAACTTGAACAGCAGTTACAACAACAATGGCAGTTCCTTTGACCAGTAAACTTACGACAAAAACAGCCAAGTAGGACGTAGTGCGGGAGTTGATAGGTAAAGACGAACGGATAATGGTAAGGAAAACGGCAAAGGCTAAATACGCGGTCATGCTGTACCCCATTTTCTCTCCACTATCGACAGGAATGACGAATGTAAAAATGTCTAGAAGAGACAGCAAGATAATAGGACAGATAAGGGTAAGCAAATAATATTCGGGCCTTCTATTTAGTGACAATAAGACAATGAAGTTGCCATTTTCTAGAACAATATTTGCGGAGTGGAGGTCCCACACACTATTTTCTTCGTAAGTGTCAAGATGCAGTGTTACCGGTTCGTTTAACTTGAATTTCACGTCTTGTGGTTGCAATGTCCATAACCGAAATATCAACTTGCAGACTTGAGTGTCAAATGGGAATTTAGTAATGTTTATATCACATTTGGTCTCGAACACTTCCATTGGATTCCATATCACTTTTCCAGTGTTCATTACCGTCACTTGGATCACGTCGTCGCCTAGTTCCTTCAGTTTGGTGAAACCATTGTTCAATGAGACGTCTGGCTTCCATACTTCGTTCTGAGGCATGTAAATATAGGAAATGTTACTAAAATCTTTCCTGTTCCAGGTTAAAAATGCGTCTTGCCACTCTAGTGTCAGATGTGCTGTCGTTGCTAATTTCCCCTCCACGTCATCCAGACTGTTAATACCGTGTAGATGGAAAGCAACACGTACAGTGATGGCCTCTTTTAGGCTTTCATAAGGTGGGGTGACTTTCTGGTATTTGCGCTTGTTCATTAACTCATCGTATAAATTCTTGAGGTCAATTCCTGTCTGAGTAATAACTATTTGAACCAAAGAAATCAGTGTGAGTAGAGCAAGTACTATCCGCCTCGGTGCCATCGTGACAGTGAAGACAATGGCAGTATGAAATCGGTTCGTATTTTAAAATGGTTTGTTTTAATCTATTTTTCAAATCATTGTCTGCATCTTTTCATGTTACGTTTCTGTGTCAATATCGGTGACAGTACAATCATTGTCAGGTGGACACATGATGTCCTTTTGTATCTTTTCTGTATAAATGACATTGATATCAAATCGCAGGCCCAAGAGACTGTCTATGATTATTTTTACTTGCTAAAATATATCTATTTGCATTCGATGAGACAGCGCATCCAATATATAAATATCAAGACGACAACATCTATTAATGACTGCCTAGGGAGCGTCATTCCATTTCATGCACAATTTTCAAAACAAATAAAACATTTGCTTCATCACGATTTTACGTCACAAACGGACTTTTCACAGCAGAACTGAAGTGAGGGCTTCATATCAACATGATTGCTCTCATGCTAGGACTCAAAGTCCTGACCCTCATATCAGAAGTATGTTATTTTTCATTGCTTTTCTTGCTTCTACCTCTTTTTATTTTTCTATTTTCTCTGTCAATATGAAAATTTGTGTTGATTTATCCCGAAAATATATCTTTATGAACATTGTATTGTATTCGAGAGGGCTAAACTGTTGGAGGTATACGTTGTATATATTTATTTTTTTTAATTAAACATAAATAATTATTTTTTCTTACTTATTATAAAATACGCTAGTAGTATAATAATTATTAGCTGTTTTAGAATTTAGAATCTTAGATGATAGTCGTACCGAAAAAAAGTGTCCTCTAGAAAACCATTCATTTATTATCTTAGGACAAACTCGCATTAAATCTTGTAATAACAATTAACATTAACACAAATATAACGTGAAATTCAGTTACGTATTGATGTCGCTGTGACTTCTAGGAGCAGCAGCAGTTCCAGACGATTAAAGTAGCAGAGGTGATATTTAGGTATATAGTATTTCCAACCTGTACCGAATTATATATTACCAACAAATATGAAAATATATCTCATATTCAGGAGCCTGTTGTTTCACCGGAAGTGATTAAGATGCATATTACTCATTACTGAGATCGTGTATTTATCAAATTCAAGATAATCAGAAATAGATTGTTTTTTGAGTACATTTTCAAAAGATTTCAATTGATGAATTAATAAATGACGTTAGAATATTCAATACAGGAGCGATCTGTCAGTGACCTGGGACCCTCTGTATTAAATATTGTTGAATTGATAATAAAACAAGAACTTATGTTATGCATCATCACGAATTCTTTGGCAAACATTTTAATTATCACCTTTTATCCATTAAATCGAAATTCGTGTAATCAGATACCAAGGTGAATACACAAGAATACATTCCAACAATGGGATATTAACCTGCCATTCAAGAAAATAAAGCCTCTTTCAGAGGATTAAGGTAAAATCTATGTTGAATAGAGCCCCGCCATTAACAAGTACATTCAGCTGAAATCAACACTATTGCAGCTCTTCTACCTCTGTGCTATGAAAACAACATTTTAGGAGTGTTCTGGCAAATCGGTGCTATTCATTTTAGGAATATTTTCGTTCTGATTTGGATGGAAATTGGTCAGCTCTATTATATGGAAGACAACTTAATTAATTAGCCACTATCGACCAGCTGGTAAAAACCGACCAGTACTAAAGCCATGGTGTAGCTTTTTCATATGCACCTAGCGTTGCAATAGAGGTAAGACAAGGAAACATTTGTATATATTTTTCTTTAATTCAACCATTTTGTTTATGTGTATACCTTACTGTTTGAATAATCAAACTCTGTGTTTTTGTTTCATCTCATCTCATTATTTTTTTGTTTTTAGCAATATCAGCACTTGAACTTTCGACACGTTTGATTTAAAACACCAACAAAAAAGCAATTTATTTTGAGTAATTGTGTTCGACAATATGAATGTTTAAGAAAAATAATCATTAAGTTTTTATTAAGCTCTGTTGTGAATTCTGATTTCCTGACAAATATACTATATCGTTACTAATCGAAATATGATTGAAAGGATCACTGCCAAATATTCTGTTTCATAAGTGTATCAATTAATACTGGTTAGGATTCCTGACAGCTATAGTACACCATTATTGTATCGAGATATGATGGTAAGGATACCTGACAACTATAGTACACCATTATTGTATCGAGATATGATGGTAAGGATTCCTGACAGCTATAGTACACCATTATTGTATCGAGATATGATGGTAAGGATACCTGACAACTATAGTACACCATTATTGTATCGAGATATGATGGTAAGGATTCCTGACAACTATAGTACACCATTATTGTATCGAGATATGATGGTAAGGATACCTGACAACTATAGTACACCATTATTGTATCGAGATATGATGGTAAGGATTCCTGACAACTATAGTACAACATTATTGTATCGAGATATGATGGTAAGGATTCCTGACAACTATAGTACAACATTATTGAATCGAGATATGATGGTAAGGATACCTGACAACTATAGTACAACATTATTGTATCGAGATATGATGGTAAGGATACCTGACAGCTATAATACACCATTATCGTATCGAGATATGATGGTTAGGACTCCTGACAGCTATAATACACCATTATCGTATCGAGATATGATGGTTAGGACTCCTGACAGCTATAATACACCATTATCGTATCGAGTTATGATGGTTAGGACTCCTGACAGCGTATCGAGTTATGATGGTTAGGACTCCTGACAGCTATAATACACCATTATCGTATCGAGATATGATGGTTAGGACTCCTGACAGCTATAATACAACATAATCGTATCGAAATATGATGGTTAGGACTCCTGACAGATATAATACATCATTACTGTATCGAGATATGATGGTAAGGATACCTCGAAGCTATAATACACAATTATCGTATCGAGATATGATGGTTAGGACTCCTGACAGCTATAATACATCATTATCGTATCGAGATATGATGGTTAGGACTCCTGACAGCTATAATACATCATTATTGTATCGAGATATGATGGTTAGGACTCCTGACAGATATAATACACCATTATCGTATCGAGATATGATGGTTAGGACTCCTGACAGATATAATACATCATTATTGTATCAGGATATGATGGTTAGGATCCCTGACAGCTATACATCATTATGTAAACATTTTGTAGTTATATAATTTGTTAAAGTGACATATTGCTTTTAATTGTGTACATCAGGAAGGTCATTTAATATTCTAGTCGTGTAATGATTTACAAATAACCCCTTTGTAGCTATTTTTCTTCTCGCAGACGTTGTAACAATCAATTTTTATAATATATAAATATGCAAAATTTGCACTAATTAGATATTTTTTTTACTTTTGGAACTATCTTTAGTACATGTCTGTAGTTATGCACGACATGATTGCATTGTTATATACCTGTGTTATATTACCTATATAATACCTACAAGCATGTGTATACATATTGCAATTATGTTATATTACCTACGGTGACGTATTTAGATATGACTTAAGTCCTACCTGAAAATGTCAGTTTTCTACATTTTTGCCTAAATAAATATATTTGATATATAATTTATGGACACAAAAAAGGAAAACTTCATAAATCACATATGGAAAGGAGACTCATGTAGGATCGATATATGTTTTACGTTCTTTGAAATTTAAAAACTTCTACTGATATTACTAATTGGCGAAGAGGGTTTAAACTTACATATATATATATATATGTTCAATATATTTCTGATAAATAAGAAAGCACAATGTACAAATACAGCGACTTGTTTACGATAGCTTATAGTAAAAGAAAATATTTTATGAATCAATCTACCTGTCTATTAGTTTTTTTTAGCTTCATTAGCGATACTTCTTGCAAAATACTGTGTTTAGGTAAAATACTTTAATACGGCCACAGAAAGCGTCCACTAACCCACTGATTCCAATTATCGTTAAGTCCACTTGTCCCTATTTACCCTGGCGTTACACGGTCTAATTTACAATTGTATGCTGTCAAATCGCCATATTTGGCATGAAATGCTGCTCAATGTCGGTTTTCTTTCACTTACTTTGCGCAGTGTGTGAACAGTTATAATACATACACATTATTGTATACCATGAATGCATTATTTGAAAACAACATATTGAAATACATATGTAATGCAGCCGGGGTTTGATTCTCTGAAAAGAAAATGGAAGAATATCCGTTCATTTCCCGCCCAACTGGTTTTTTTTCTGTCTCTTATCCGAAAACCTCACTCCTGAGTGTTTCCATCTGAGCCAACAAAAAAATCTGTAAAAGAAAATTTTTGAATAAATAAACAAAATAAGTTTTTTTAAAAGTTTCCAAAAACAAATGAATTACTTTTTTAAAGAAAATTAATTAGCTAAAAGATTGTACAACCGACACAGAAGTGAATGGCTCATTTTAAAACAAATTTAGATAGAATTAGATTAAGTAAAGCAAAACTATGAATTAATCATCATCATACTCTTGTTTCGTCCTTCTCCGACTCGTCAGTGATGCTAAGGGATCGCCTTATGTGGAAAATACAGAAAAATAATCCGAAAGAATTGTCAAAGTCTATATTTGGAGGTGCACAAGCCCCTATATTTGTAGAAATTTCGTAATTACGACATATCTGATAACTTTATAAGACATTGTATATATGTGTAAATCGGGAACCATTTCATACCCAGCGACAACCACCTGTAATCTCGAAGATTATACAAAAAGCCACGTTGTAAATGCCAGTAACCACTAGTCTTATACAGTATACACTTTTGTTGTATAGTGCTTTATTCTACTTTCTGTCACTTTTCCTTATCTATTTGACTTGTTAATACATTAGTGTTTTGTTGTTGATATCTCATTTAACTGAACAATGTATTTGTATCCTGAGCCGATGATAACCCAAATTTTTAATGATATTGATATGGGTCCTGTAAATATTGTATTAAATAGTAACCAGAAAGGAGGTGGAACGTGCTATTAGGCTACTGAAAAATAATAAGGCTTGCTCTAATGATCTTATCAGTAATGAATATATTAAATACTCGTCCTCTAAAATGATCGATCTCTATGTTATGTTGTTCAATGTTATTTTTAGCACAGGAAAAATCCCTGAAAGCTGGCTTCGAGGCTCTATCGTACCTATTTTTAAAAATAAGGGGTCTCCTTCAGACCCCAAAAATTACAGGCCAATCACTATTGTTAGTTGCTTTGGCAAGCTTTTTACCAGCATTTTAAATGAAAGACTTTTAAAGTATTCTGACGAAGTTAACTTAATATGTGAAAACCAAGCTGGATTTCGTAAGAAGTATTCAACTATAGATAATATCTTTGTGTTGTATTCTTTAATAACTCTTACTAATATGATGAAAAAGAAACTTCACTGTATTTTCATTGACTTCGAAAAGGCCTTTGACAAAGTTTGGAGAAATGGTTTATGGAATAAAATGTTGCTTAATCATATAAATGGTAAAATATATACAATAATTTACAATATGTATCAAAGTATTAAATCTATCAGAATTCTACATTTTTCGCTTGAGGCAAGGGGAAAACTTATCTCCCTTTTTATTTAGTTTATATCTGAATGACCTGGAGGAATTTATGGTTAGTAACAATGTCATTGGTTTACAGTGCCTTAATAATCAGCTTGAAGATGATTTCCATATGTATATTAAATTATTTATTTTATTATATGCTGATGATACAATACTATTTTCTGACATGCCAGAAGACCTTTAAATGCAGCTAAATATTTTTAATGAATACTGTAAAAACTGGAAATTGAAAGTCAATAATGGGAAAACAAAATATATGATATTCAGTAAAGGTCGTTTAAATAACATATTTCATTTTAAAGGGATAGAAATTGTCAAAAGCTTCACATACTTGGGCATTGTTTTTTCTCGTACCTGTTCCTTTAATGAAGCTAAAAATTACAACGTTAAAAAAGTAACTATTGCAATGTATGATGTTTTAAAAAAGGGAAGGTTGTATAACCTCTCTATTCAATGTATTTATGATTTGTATGATAAAATTGTTAAACCTATATTATTGTATGGATGTGAGATTTGGGGTTTTACAAATTCTACAAGTTATTGAAAAAGCTCACAGTTAAAACGAGAATGTTGACTTATTGGTCTCAATTGATTAATTTAAAAGAAAACAAACTTAATGTTGTAATGTATAAACTTTTATGTCATAATTAATATAATAATAATAATATCTCCTATATAAGTTATATCCAACAAGTATTAAATGACTGTGGTATTAGCTATGTTTGGAATGTTCAATATATTCAAGATCTAGATACCTCATGGTTAAAATCTTATGTAAAACAAACACTTCACAATCAGTTCACGCAGCAATGGGAAAATGATGTATTTACTTCTTCAAAATCTAGTTACTACAGAATTTTTAAAGAAAATTTTGGATTTGAAGGATATTTGGATATTTTAACAGATAAAATAATATATACGATATATTAATCATTAAGTAATAACATGTATACAAACTTATTATATCATAACTTATGTTGCATGTACATAGTATACAATGTATGTATTCATACTTTCTATCTGGCTGAACAACTTTATTTAACTTTGTTGCTTTGTAAATATGTTTTCTCTGTACTGTATGGTTAAAGAGAAATAAATAAATTGAAAATTGACAAAAGACATCCGAGCTTGTGCGACATGCAGGGGAAAAATTCTGACACATCCGGAACCAGTCATGTTATCCAAAATGTTAGATTATCGTCTCTATGTCTGGTTGATCCTCCATGTTCAATATTTTTATCGGAGTTGTGGTCAGATTTTTTCTAGGTATATCAATGTTTTTTTCACGGTACATTTGCACTGAGGATCAGTTATGGAAGTGGGAACTGAAGCTTGTAAGGTTTTAGCGATAACTATCTGCCAGTTTTGTTCATAAAAACGGTTAGACAGAAAAACAAATACCATACTGATCTGAAATAGAATAAGATAAAAGTTAATATACGTTTTTGTATGATATTTTCAAAGTAAATATGACCTACATTGTGTTCAGTGCTCCAGGGACGGGGTCGTTAAGTTATAAAATGATCAGCAAGGTATATTGAATAGTTACCGGAACCTATAGAACAAACCCCGTTTTTAAAGGTTATTATTTTTAAAGTTCGATTTTATTATGTTCTTTGTCATTTTTTACTGGTACACTATTGAATGGATCATCTTTATAAACTTATAATGATGTGTCAAATGATCACCTATTTACGTCGTATCCGGTCATAAATCTGTCATTTATACAGATATAAACAACAGGACAGAAGAATACCGACTACCTCATCCTGGTTCAGGCGTTTGTACAGTCAATGACGACATTCTGATGGGTATCAATTACAAATTCTTCTCAAAATAGAACAAAACTTTAAAAATAATTACCTGTAATTATGAATACAGGTTAATTTTTAGTGGAGTAACAAGCATTCAAAAAATAAAATGCAAATCATTACCTATATCTCAATATAAAATTGAAATGATTCCAATGTCTTTGTATCAAACTTTTTTCTTCTTATTAATTTATATTTGGGCAACAAGCTATATATTAACCCTAGTGGTACTGACAGGTGAAGCTACCAATGCTTTAAAATCGACTTTGTGTGGTTCCGGCTGTAAAAAAGTGGTGCGTTAGCGATAAAAATTGACTGACAACATGATTGTTGTCTGCATTCGATAGGATCTTCTCTGGTACGTATGTAATTGTCCTTGCGTGCTACATTTACTGTCTATATCAGATTGAGTTAGTGAGGTTTTAGCTTAATCCGTCGATAATCCGAGGTTACGAAAACCCTTGACCCCTAGAACAACGCACTTATAAATTAACAACAACAATTATCAGGTACAATTTCAAACCAAAAACGGATATATAATGATTTTTTTCGAAAGTTTTGTATAAAAGATAGAAGTGCAGACAGAAATTGGTTTTTCAGTTTTTTATCAATGAGGCGTTGGTCGTTGAGAAACGTTGAGAAGAATTTAATATTCAGTTTAAACTATGGTATGTATGGAATTCGGAGACTGTTTGCTTTTTTTCTGATTATGTTTACATCCTACAAATAAGTTTTATAAAAAATACATGATGATTTTTTTTAAAAATCCATTCAGTCATTCAATATAGAAACGATACTTTAAGTACGAATGGACCGAATACCTATGTTAACACCAGTCTTTTGGTTACTCGATGAATCAGAATGATACTAGAGTTAAAGACCTGTTGTCAGTGTAGAGTATACCCATTACCACCCACCTCAAACAGACGGCTCATATCGCTGGGGGATTAAAACCTGTTTAACTAAATACCGATAAAACGTCCCTACAAACACCTTACTATTTATATATGCATTTACCTTTCGGCCTAAGATGATCGATTAAAGATCTCACGGGTACTATTGAAATGTGAAAGATTTCGAGGTGACCAGCTGGGCTTTTGAGACATTCATTTATATTTTGTGTTTTGTTTGACAATGTTATGGTGATTTCTTGTGAATATTATTTTACATCGTTAGACTATTTGAGCAATGAAGCTGCAGGTTTTTAATTTGGTTCTTATTCACTTGAGGTAAGTATTTAGCTGTTATAATTTTTTAAAATTAAATTTACATATAAAATATCACACATTTTTACATATGTACTATATATATATATCGTAGTGGTATAGTGATAACCTTTGTATTTAAAAAGAGTTCATCGCCTAGTGTATCTGTGAATTATATGATACTTAATAAATACGCCATGTATAGTCTCGACTCGGATTGTTATTCAAGATTTTTTTTCTTTTGGAAGAACATTGACATAAAATAGCTTTCTTCGCGTAAAAAATAAATTTACAGCGTATATGTAAAAAAAAGATATTTATATATTAATTAGTCCTTCGGATGAACTTTATAAATAAAATGTTGTACTACTATTTTGTATGAATAAATACTGTACAGTATGTAAATTTGTCCCCCAAGTTTACTTTTTATATAACATGTTGTACTATTATGATGTATAAATATATAACATGCTGTACATGTTGTACTATTATATTGTATAAATATATGCTGTATGTAAATTCACAAAATTTGTCATTCAGGTGTACCTTGCTTTTGGAATTCTACTCTTTCTATAGTTGTACAACATAAATAGATATAGAGCATATCAAAGATTAACAACAATTCGTCCTTTGGGAGTATTTTGTGTATAAAATGTATAACCATTTTGTTGTGTAGATATATAGCGATATATATGCGATACCTCACTCTCATTTCACCAACGATCAAATGTTACAACTTTTGTCATACTTGTAGGGGAATGAAGATAAGCACGTTACAAGTATGTTCTTTTTCTGGACAATATTCAAAATTAGCTAAGTGTACATCATGTTGCATGCTTATGATTTAGTGAAAAATAACACATAAACATGCGAATATTGTTTCTTGGTCATTCACTTTACTTGTTAATATCAATACTGGTGCGTTAACTAGTTCTAATTTTATACAGTGAAATGTTTTGGATAGTTGATGAAACGTTAATACATTTGCAGTTCATATAAACTATAATTGATATGTCATTAATTTTCAGAGACAAGAGTACAAATATTTCATATAATGTTTTTATTGGCAGGGGTGATTTAATCTTTCTTTTTTTCCACCTGGATTGTTATGCTATATCTAGTATAAATTCCTGATTTTTAACAGCATAAATATCGCTTTACTTGTTACAGATCGCCTACTGTGTGTCGCTGATGCCTGACCCCCGGGGCTTGTGCACGTGCACCCTTAAGGTGTACCTCATCTTGCTCCTAGGATACATCGCACCAGGTGAGAGTCACTTTAGTTACCCATATAGTTGTTCATCTCGATACCTGGGCCTGTTTCAATATAGGCGAAATCCAAGCCATGTTTTGGTTACTTTGAACAGTAATGATTCAGAATATATATACATGCTTGTATTTGTCGTTCTTTGAAATTTGCTCCTCCTTACGTGATTTTTTGTATTGATTTTCGATCAATATCTTCCTCCGTTGGGTCCTTGAGCATATTAGGCCCTTAGCATCACTTGCGAATCCTAGAGTGGCGAAATATCTGTTTCATGCAACTTTAGTCATTTGGCTCTATTGTATCCGATAGTAAATTTGTGTTGAAAGCTGCATTTCATCTAAATTCAATAAATGATAATAAAAATGATAAATTAAGATTAAATAAGATATGTATTATGTTTTAATATCGAATATGTACTTGCATTTTGTATGACATTTATCGGAAAGGTCAAACAATTCTTCGAAAGAGTTCAGATGAAATTTACCATGATTTTAGCACAAAGACGCAATTGTCCGGTATATGAAATAAACAATAGTGTCAATAAAAATAAGAAAGAGCACCAACACAAAATGAGAAAAAAAGAGTTGGAATAAATTTTATCAAATTCAATGAAAATATGGCAAAATACGAACAGAAATGTTTCTACGAAGACTCTTGAAAAAAAGAGCAGTTGCCTATGCACCGAAGGTTCGGGATGCAGGGATGCTGCAATTCAGAAATGGGAAATTCACAGTGGGGAAATTGAAATCATCAGGTTTTTCATACAGGTTGGTGGAATGCTTACCACAATCGTGAACATTAACATCTTTCTGCGGAAATCTTTTTAGCAATGAAATTTACTGATAAACTATTTCCAGACTTAATTTCTCTGAAGTAGTACATTCTTAGATAGGTCAGTATAGTTTCCGTAAATAACATAAGCTATTTGAAGATAAATATGATATCATATTTTCCAATTATATCCAGAAATATAGTTCTACGAAATACCATATTCTGGTTTTATTATTTTAAGAATTTTCCCTTGTAATATGTATATCATAGTGAAAATAGTTTTGATACAAAATTCTATACATTATAGCCTAACAACGAATTAAACTTTATCATGCAGCTTCTCTGTCCTGAGACTCATCAATATTACTAATGTACTCAATTGTGGAGACCTAGGTAACGACTGAGGTAAACCAAAATTATTTGGGAATGCCAAAACCCAGAAAGGGAGATACAATTATGCTTAAAATGATTTTTAATATCGAATGTTTTAAAATACTCTAAAAAAACAGGCCGCTAATTTTATATTATTTTTTTTATTATTTTATTTTATTTTATTTATTTAGTTATTTATTTATTGTTCATGGTTTTCCTTATAAATCGGAAGATAACAAAATAATGATCTGGATATTTTATAACAAAGACCAATATATGGCTTACCTGAATATATTTTTTTCTTAAATAATGCAAAAGAGTTCCACAATGTGCTTGAATTGGTCGTATTAAACGAGTCATATTGCCTTGCATTTATTTGTCAAAATTTTGAACTTTATGTTGATTAAATGAATTTGTGTGTCTTTGAACTCCGTCAACATAACATTTAACTTGATTCCTATTGCCCTTTTCTACAAGAAACCGAGTGTGGTAATTAATCATATGAATTCTGGTTAATCTAGTTACAGAAGTATTACACAGGTAAACAATACATCCTTATACTTTGTTAATGTAAGCAAACAATCCATTAAATAATTGGCCTCAAGTCAGATCGAACAAAGGAAGACGGGAGTATTGAAATAACACTAATTGGAACTCAAAATAGAGGAAAGCAGGTCAGTAGGTAAACATGGAGATCCTTAAAAACAATCAGAACTACTTGAATGATTAAGCACTCTCTCCTACATCAACGACATCCTCTATATTGCCCATCGTACACTGTTTCATTTTTACAGAGTTCGGATACTGATACCAGATCCGCAAACTAAGGCAATGATGAAAAACAGCAAATATTGCTATCATACGGTTTAAGAAGGTGATCTTTAACTAGTTGCAATTAAAGATAGATCTAACTTATTTATCTCAAAGGAGGCTTTCCATAACTTACAGTTATTGAATTGGACAAGAATTCACTTGCATACTTAGTCAAAAAATTTCTTAAAAGATCATCTACCTATTTGATTTATTTCTATATGATTTATTGTGTCTTGTTGGTAAACATTATATTACTTTAACGTTTAACCTTTATTCTAGCTGCCTGCCAATGCAGTGGAAGTACTTTAACCCTGACTGGTACAAATGACTTTCAGTACTTGACGACACCAGGCTACAACAATGGCGCTGGTACTTATCAAAGGTAAAGATAGTTATTATTGTTCTTAGCCAAATGTACTTCTCGTGACTTCTTTTCACGTCTAACAATTATTTGACAATGGGCTGCAAAATGAATCACTGCATGTGTGTACCTATTGTTGTTTTGGATAGGTGTTAATATCATAATGCTTGTTAGACTTCGTTTGTTTGGTGCGTTTGTCGCACCATGAGCAGCCAGCTCGTTTCTTCTTGAAGAATTTGGTGGTAATTTCATTGAAAGACAGGTGGAAAGCCACTGCTATCCAGAGTAATTCCGCAGAAACCTCTGATCGTAACATGACGTTAAAATAGTTTTACCGACTGAATCATCGCGATCCGTGGTTAAACCTGACATAATGTAATTTGTTGGTAAAAACAGATAAAAGGTCAGCATTATTCTTTAGAACATCAAATGAAAAAAATGTACATGGAAAACGAACCCGGATAATAATGTATGTAGTTTATTGTAATTGTAGACTACACAAAACAGTTTTCTTATCTCCAATCTCTAGGCTGTCGATACTTCATGATTTACATCCGGGGATATATATATTAAAACACGAACTTCATTCATCTCACTTTCGTTCTGGTGTGTGGCCGCCGATGCGTGACAGTTGTATTGACAGCTCCGGAAGTAGGGACGCTCTAACACTTTATCAACGTATCAACACCGATCTATTGCTAGTCAGGCGGAAGATCATGGCCATTCAGTTAGCAGGAATTTCCTGTCTGACAAAATCACTTTCTTATAAACTCAAATAAAAAAATCAAATCATAGCAAAAATCTATTTCGAAACAAACGATTAAATCACGAGAGAAAGTAACCTGTTAACTGAACAAGGGAGTGAGAGTTGTTATAATGTCGATCCTAATCACACAGGAACTTTAAAATTCGACACAAAGAGAAAAAAAAAGAAGCAAAAACCTTCTATTTAATCTATTTCCATTCCGTTTATTAATTACAGTGGTTCAGTATTCCAGTACCGAGAATCAATTTAAAATATACTGCGTCTCGACGTTTACGTATATAGTTTACATACATATTAAATAGGGTATAACATGTTACTTCATTAACGCGGATTTAATTTAAACCATTTATCTATGTTGCAATTTTCGTTAATACGGGTATAGTGCATAACAGCTGACACATACATATTTCTTTTAAAACTCAAGTTCTTATAACGTGTAATAAAGTTAAAGTATTTGTCCAATAGTTATTATGATTAAAGTGAAGACTCACGTAATTATAAAGTTATTATTCTTATGATATTCAACAGTTTTACATGCAAAATTGGTTCAATTATTACACGAGGTAATACCAAGAATTTTAACATATAACATATTTAATGAATTTAATACAATTCGTTTTACAATTCACGCACGTCTTATTTGTAACATGGATGACATAAACATTTTTGAATTGTTAATACGTATGTATCTTTAACGCAGTCAATAAAACACGTGCATTATTTGGTAATTATTATTCAATTGTACATCATGTATTTGGCGAGTTCAGATATCCTTAATACATTGTAACTTAACTAGCACAGGTGCAAAATTTTAAAGTCTAGTATCCTTATTTTTTACCCTGTATAGACCATTGTTTTGTTGTTGGTGAATCTTAAATCTGAACAATGCCATCACAGGAAACATGCCTTACTGTGGGAGTCGTCGATAAAGCAAAAGGCGCTTACACTTCCAGAACACCTGGTCTTATTCTCATTGTACTTTCAGGAGTCTCCATGAAAATCTTTTTTGTTTTCGTTCCTAGTTTAATGGAATTTGAATTTGAATTATCATTATGTTGCCATGATGGTATTTTCTTGATGTTTTTCGTGACTTTTTCTTTCAAAATTGTATCATTCTAATTTTCCAACATACTCCTATTTAAAAGCAAATCACAAGATCATCCTTTAAAGCTATATCATGGCGTACAGTAGAGATTGCAATGGTCTGAGATACGATATTGTAGTTGTTATGTCATGTAATTAACGCAGGAATATTTAATTTATTACATAGATGAAATACTTGACTTTACATAGTAAATATATAACATAAATTATACGTAATATAGAGTGCGCTAGATATGATGATAATAAAACCAGGTGTTCCGTAAGGATAAATTCTGAAGTGTAGGAACAAAAGAAATATTTACACAATTCTACTTTATCAATGGCATCCGCCATGTAAATTTTTAGTCAATTCAAAATTGTAAAATCACGGTCTCAAATGAGAACAAAGGTAAATAAGAACGGAATGACCAGGCAGACTTTGCTTTACATAATCCATTACTTAAGGGATATGAAACACACAATCAAGAAGTAATAACGACAGTATGGACAAGTGAACTGCCAAATTTTCGAGGAAATCTGCCTCCTTTATCAAAATCACAAATATTACCTCTATTACATCGCATACATACATCATAAAAAACAAATACAAAGTTATACAGTAAAATCGAGAGCGATGGTGTGAATTGAGGTGTCTCGATAATCCCTTCGGTCGATGGACGCTGAATACCCTTATAGCGGACATCCTAAATTGTTGTTTGGCAGATATATAAATACATTATGTCAATCGCAGTGGAATACAGTACATGTTTTCAGCTATCATTTGTACAATAAAGTAAGATTTCGGGCCATGGATAGCTCTATTGCAACCTCAGACATTGTTATGTGTTGTAACATGGTGATCTTAGGGATTAAGACACATGACAAGCGTTGCTTAACAATTCGAGTTTATTTGTATCTATTTACATCGATCAAGTGTTTAAAATAAATATTGACCACTTAATCAGACATGACCATACTATCAATATTATTAATGTTAAAGAGAGGTACTTGACATGCCCATTCACAGTGTGAATTACAATATTTATATTGACCTTGAAACGTTTAGAGACGAGATTTTAAAGCAGTCGTTTATTTTCATTGGAGTTTAAGATATGACATGGAACACAAAATTCCTATATTACTTATCAAACAATGAAATATCTGTAGTGCTCACTTGATGGTCAAAAGTTCAATAGCACGTGTTTCGGAAATTGGTCAATTATCTATCTAGTAATGTGTATTATGGTGATACATGTAGGATTTCAAAGTTTTCGATCGGCTTTTCTTGCAATGCATTATAATATTTGATATTGAAACAATATTATTTTGACACATTCGTATTTGTTTCAAGATCAATGCCATGTTTCTATTTTGGAAATTTTGTTTAATATCTAAACATTCTATGCTACTTACCTTACGAAAATATTTCATTTTACAATTTTTGAATTGTGCCTTTATATTGAAGCGTTTTATTGGTTTTGTTATTTGAAATACATATATGATAGAGAGGGATTTTTTTCGGCGTGGGCTTAATATGCAAACATACCTGTCATCTGCAAATATTCAAAGTGTTCCACGGTGGAATTCATTTCAGAACACATTACAATTGTCATTCATATGTTGAAACGATTAAATACTTTCATTTTTCCAAGCTAAACAGTTTTTTTTTCTAGAAAATCACAGCAACACACCAAAACCTTCTTTCGCGTTTTCTTTGTTGTCTGTTAACATTGCAGTTATACACACGAACCTATATGATGCATCATAAGTAGATCGAGATGCGATTTATATGAAATGTATACCCTTCAAATGGAGATATTTAATACAAACTTCGGAATCTTGACATTGTAACAAAATTAACTCAAACTTAAAATCGATCGGGGGCGGTGGGATGGAAACTCAGATAAACAGGTACAAATATGAGAAGATTTTGGGATGGGTAAAGTTTTCTGCGCTTCATCTATAACTTTCTTTATATACATGTAGATATAAATAACATCATGTTTTCCATGAGAACTAGTATATATAGTAGATCTAAGAAATGTATATGTCTCTCCGTAGTTGCGTATTTTAAACAACAAGAGAATTATTGAGCACGCCCATCATATACACCAACAGAATTGGAAATCACGGACACGACAAACTCTTTTTCATCAGCCGCTTTCTTCATAATTTCTCTGAGACAAAATCAACATATCTGGTTTTCCACCAAGCTATATGAAAACCATGAGAATTGTAATTTCCCTATTGTGAATTTTCCATTTCTGGAAGGCCGTTGTGTTTTCAGATTAAAGTAATGGAAATACGTGTATCACATATCGAAGATTAAAAAAATTATCCTTTCTATAAATAGTAAACAAAATGGAAGTTCATGTTACATATCAAATTAATTTTTTTTAAAATCACACTAGGATAATTATAGATACATTTATACTTGAGTTGCCTTCGGGCGTTATTGCATTGGAATCTACTGATACGAAGAGAGATTACAGATTTAATAGCTCTTGGGTTTTATACACATTCACTGAAAAATGATTACAGAATATAACAGATATTTAAAATCAGCATTTATTATGGTAGATTTATTATCTTCAATACTGAGACTTTAAAATTCTTGTTTTGTTGCTTGTCGTTTATACCATATCGAGGACAGTAATAGACTTTACTTAAGTGCTTACCTAGGTGTGTTTTTCTTGCGTCCTTAAAATGGTATTGGAGTCTAAATATGCATTAGATGTTAAGACAAGCATGCGCAAAAGCATTTTGATAAAATATGTCTTAATTGAATTCAAAAGGGACAATTGTTCCAACAAACGTTTAATTTTGGTTTTATTTAAAGTCCTTGTGCGGTATGAAGTTGGATACGGTTAGTACTCGTTAGTGTGCCTAGTTGATATGTTGATGTATACCTCATTTGAGAACGTGGCATTACTTAATTTGATTGGCCAAGATTTGCATGACAGGTAAAGTCGCTTACTATTCCGGAACACCTGTTCTTATTCACCTTATACTTGTTCAAGGGTCTCCGTATAATTCTGTCTTTTGTTCATATGTCTGAGACATGACATTACTTAATTGTATTGATTTATATGGCTGGTGTCGTCGACGGAACACATGGTCTTATTCTCCTTGTATCTCTTCAGTGTAAATATTTCTTCTTTTCATACTGTCCCTAGGTTCGTCGAATTTGAGTTTGATTTTAAATTGTGCTGACACAACAAAATATCTTTTATTGTTTTCAAATCGAAAAAATAAAGGCATGTCTGAAATATGAACAACAGGTTGATTTACTAGGGGAATGTCGAAAATACATGACACTTCAGCACCGTTTATCACACAACAAAAGTTAATATTGTGCAATAGGATAATGACTTCGAATGTTACTGAAACATGATAATCTGATGGTGTTACCCTAAGTTTAACACTTTTTGTCAGTTTATAGTTTTATTTATGTGGTATCAGATACAAATCGAGTTCACACATAATACAAGACGTCTAAAAAGTGTTCCGAGATATTCTAACAATAACGTTCCTCTTCAGTGACCTCTCGTGTTCCTGGATCCTCGATGGTGGGTCGTCAAGCTGGACTGTCTTCTTCTACATCGAGAACTATGACGTCACGTGTCCAGGGGATTTTATAGATATATATGATGGCAAGTAGATCTTAAATTATTTTGTATATATTGTTTGGTATGAAATAGCTGGTTTGCGTGTCAAAGAAACCAAAATCAAGAAAAAGTTATAAGTGAATAAATGATCGATTTTTTAAAGATTTCTATTCAAGTGATTTCAATATTCCTTGTGTGTGCTAATCGTTTATGCATTTCTATCTTCTGTTTGTATATATCTTCTCTTCTTTATATTTCATTATATCATATCTTCATAACAAGGGCTCTCCTTGGCTTATTCACGACATGAAATACAACATTTTTTCATAAAAGTTTTAAATGTTTTGTAGGTAACATGACGTCATCCACGGCACTGGCATCAGCCTTATGTGGTACAAGTCAGTCAGGGGTGTATACGTCATCACAGCGTTACGTCAGAGTGGATTTTACATCAGATTCATCCAACCAAGGGGCAGGATTCAATCTGGCTTTTATGAAATCTGCAGACTTGTGTAAGTAATATTTGTTGTAAATACATATACTTTATAATGATGTAAGCTGATTAATGACGTAGATATACCTTATAGCTAGTAGCCTAGTGGAACATTTTGTAAGATAATTTTCTGTAGTGAAAACATATAACCTAGTATCATGATAGTGTTAAGCACTTTCAGGAATATGTATAGCCTTTGACCTTTTGCACTTGACCTTTTGGATAAACTTCACAGAGCTGATGTGTCTCTTCATTTTCATCACTGACTTTATACACTTCTGAATCGATATAACTGTATAACTTTAAGTCGAATATTTGATATGCAAATATCCTTCTTCTAAATGCAACAACATAAGTTTTTAAAAACTTAATTCGTGTGTCTGTCATTTGTATTTTCAGCCGGAAGTGGATGTTCGGGTGAACAGAGTCTCACAGCTACCTCAACCCCTCAATACATTACCTCTCCAAACTTTCCAGGGGAATACACTGTGTAAGTGTTAAATGAAATACACCTTATTCAATATTGCATTTCACTTCAAAATGGTTCAAAAGTTATCTTTATTCGCTGAGAACAGCTCTGTTTCTTAAAGGGAACACGTCAGTATAATACTTATTTTATCAATTGCGTAAATTTGAAACAATGTGGATGGTTAGGTATTTTTGAGATTTTTTAGTACCAAGTCTGTTATTTAATCTCGGATTCTACATTAATATCTTCCAAGAAAATGATATTTCCAAATAAAAGCATGATGTAAATTATATCCTTACGGAATAAAATAAAAAATTCAGACGTTTCCCAAACGGGTTTTTTGTTCATAACTTGTCACCCGTATATTTAATTCCAGTAACTATAATTGTCATCTATTAGTAACTATAATTGCCATATGTTAGTAACTGTAATTATCATCTGTTAGTAACTGTAATTATAATATGTTAGTAACTGTAACTGTCATATGCTAGTAACTGTAATTGCCATAGGCTAGTAACTGTAATTATCATCCGCTAGTAACTGTAATTGCCATAGGCTAGTAACTGTAATTGCAACCAGCTAGTAACTGTAACTGCCATTGGCTAGTAACTGTAATTGCCATCTACTAGTTACTGTAATTATCATCTGCTTGTAACTGTAATTGCCATCTGTTAGTAACTACCATTGAATGCACAGGATTTCATGTATATTTTCGTTTTAGGAATTCTAACTGCCGTTGGGTGTTAACAGCCCCAGAAGGAACGGTATCCCTGGACATAATATTTAGTGACATTGAAACATCCACCAACTGTGCATTTGATTCGCTGGAATTGTATTCTGGTGGGTAACTTCATTAAATTATTTTCCTTCATTGTCTGTGCCAAAAATTTGTACAGTAGTCCATTCTCACAGATCAAACTTGACGTTAACCATTGTCGTGATATTTTCAGGGTCAAATAATATATAAAGGACTGTTAAATCATATATTTTCCTGGGGCTACTGGCTTTTTTTTTTTTTTAAAAAAAGTTATCTCACGGACACTTCATTTTCATACTAAAATTAACAGTTCGTGGTCATATAAATTTGTTAATTGAAAGAATTCACGAGACAACTGAAAATTAAACCACCACAAAAATAGATAATTTCACAGTAAATGGTTCTCTTACTCCAATTATAGTCTATATAGATGTAATTGTAAATTACACCCTGGGGAACCTTCACTGTAACTCTGTAGGCAAAAGCATTTTAACAATGCTATATAGTTGCAATATCGTACTGTTGTAATCGGTGGACAAATGTTAAAATATGAAGATAATATAGAGTAATTGATCGGATGTGAACCCGATTATAAACCATCTTTGACGACTAACTCGCCATGAATTTCGCGTTGTGAGATACAGTAAGGCACTGCATACAGTACTGGTACATTTAGTGCAAGAATGCCCAATAGTGTTATTTTTTTTCAAAGTAAAGATCTTAATTAAATTTAATTAATTAATTAAAGTCTTATATGATAAATTGGTGCTTTTGTGAACAAGAAGAATTATACTGATATAGAGTATAACTTGATTATAAAAGAACAATGGATGAATAATCAAATATATTTACCAATCACATGACAAATAGGAGTGAAGATTTTCATTACTGTTGCATGTAGCCAAAAATATTCGCCAAGTTACTCAATCGAGCCAATGTGTATTGAAACATATTTGAAGCATTCTACTGAAAAGACTTGCAACTAGACCTTTTGTCAATTTTAAGGTAAATCAAATTTACTTTTATAGACATAGGCCGATCATAGTAAACATAAAAAGTGGTGCATTATTGCTGAAATATGAATTATTATCTAAACAGTGTTAAAATGTGACGTTTGTGTTTTATATGTGTTCAGATGAATACAATTGCAAAAAGTTAAGTATCTTACTATATACTTAGAATAAAGCTGTTAATTAACTTAACATAGGATCAACTGCGAGATTCAAATGGCAGAATAATTACAAAATACTAAATGTGGCCTGGAGCTGAGAACTAGGACCCGGTCAAAAATAATACATTACAAAATTAGTACAAATATATATATGTATTAATCACTAAATCTCATTTACTATTCCTTTAAAACCTTTATAAATTTACGGTTCAACAAAATATGATACAAAAACTGCTAGCTTATTATGTATAAACCAGTAAAAAAGGGGCGAGTAAAATAAACATGGCCGCCAGCTGAATATAGACTTACATCCAATAATAGATCGACAGCTGATATAAATATTTACTATGTTAGTCTGTATGTAAACAGTAATATTTAAAACATCACAATATCATATTATATTGTATATTACATTTTTATATCGTATTATATTGTAAATTTTAAATAATATATTCTGGCGCCTTCTATGCTTCAAAATTTAGGCTTTTAATATCCTTGACGAGTCCTAGAAGGACGAAACAGCTGTACGATGCAGTTAAATTGTATCGAACTCTAGCATTTGTATTGAATGGTGTGTTTCACTTGTGTGTCTTGTATACAAAACTCACATAAAAACAAATCGTATGATTCAATACAACATGTATTCACTATCACAACATCAAATGTATATTACGGGACAAGTGTTTAATCTCACGTATTATTTAATATCTGTTTCCTGATTTCGATTTTCTTAATTTCCCTCCAGAATTTCCGTAATTCGCTTCCATATATTCCGCAAACAGTTCTAGAAGTACGAAACTACTGTATGATACGGTTTAAAAATTAATTTACCTGTGTGTCCTTTTTTTACAGTCTAAAATTTCTTGATAAGAGTTGGAAACTGATTATAATATCTACCTACTGGTATCAAAATGTACTCAATTCATCGTTTCAGGTACATATGTATGTGAAAAAACAAAGATCGTATCACTGTGTACACCCCATCCTAATGGAGTGACAGCCTCTTACACCAGCAATGGAACAAGCTTCCTCGTCAAGTTCGCCGCGGACGCCTCTCTCAGCTTCCACGGTTTTGTCATCAAGTTCAGTGAAATAGCACCCGTCATCGACACCACGTCATCATCTGCTGTCGTCGCATCCACGTCATCTGAAGGTATATTTTGCTTAATATCTCCCTAAAAAGTGAAGATAATAATATCTCCGATGACTTTCTTAAAACTACAAATCTCATTTTTCTTTCGTGAACTCAAATATTTTTCATAATTTTTTTTTAATGCAGAGAAAGACAAATAGAATCACATTGTAAACACTCAAAGTCACTGATTAAAATCTATGTTACTTAAAAAATGCTGTTAAATTCAAATTGTATAAAATGCATCCCAATTGACTTTACAGCTATTAAGGAGTATATGCAATCAACCAAATTTATCTGTTTTTTTTTTTTATAATTCAACTAAAATAGAAACACGTAATTAAATTTTCAAATAAAAGAATTTGAATCTCATCCACAGAAAAATGTTCTCACGAATAACTGAAAAGGTTAACAACATTGTCCGTGAAATCTTAATTTGGTCAATTGACAATGTTCCCAATGAGCTTTCACAGTACAGTACCTATGAAATATAACCTAATTAACTTTCAGTCGATCGTGAAAAAGATAAGCTCCACTTTGGCAAGAGGAGTAGAAACGGGACCAGAACGGTTTGTCCGTTTATCAGACAAGTTCGCGGCTAATTTATTTCACGATTTATTCTATTCTAATTCTTGAACTTATCGTTTCCATGTCTATCAGACAATTTTTTGCGTTTTAATCTATTCTGAGTCCTGAACTTATTGTTTCAAAGCTACCAGACATGTTCGCGACTGTTATTCTTCACGAATTGAATGTTTCAGCGAATACCCCGAAAATTACTGACACACGAAAATTATATTTACAGTACATGTTATGGTTCCTAATGGAATACACCTCGTAACAATACATTACACATTGTAAATCTTTTTAATCTGATGACTTCATTTGTGGAGAAAGGTTAACTGAGTGTTGTATATACTAGTCGTTGCTTGTATATCTAAGTACTGGTCACGGCGTTACATGACGTAACAGAGGAAGATTTAATCCTATACTTAAATACCACCAACAAATCAAGTGTTTTCAACTCATCGTCCTGTACGCGTGATAACACTCCGGGGTTAATAGGATCTGCCTAAGTTGGAGGTCTGTCAAAAGTCGGTACTTTGATTGCTAATGTGACGGATTATCGTGAGAATTATCCCTAAATAGTGTGAACACTGGGGTGTGTAAGCCATGGCCTTTATGGTACACAATGTAAATCATTTATCCCAGATCGTTACGTGCATGCGGACTGATTATCGAGTGGCAATAATGAATGAATAACACCAACGGTTTAAATATATCTGATTGATAAATGAACTTCTAAGATTGAAAAAAAAAGACACACAAGTAAATTACATATGAAAGTCAAAATTTTAAATACATCGTAAATGTATTGTAGTCAAATAATGAATTATACTGCATCCTACGGTCATTATGTCGTTCTCAGACTTTCCATTGATGCTAAGGACCGAAATTGTTGTAACCAAGGAGGCGACTAAATAAAATCAAAATTGGTTGTAAGAGATTAAAAAAACTAGATGGAGAAGTCACTTATCCGAAATTTGACGAATCTCATTAAAGAACAAATCTACTCTCGGGAACACATTGCATTTGTTATGGGGATCATTGAATATTTTCAGATATCATGGCTCGCTTTAATTATTTTATTGGTTCATACAGGGACGTATATCTGTCATATACGTCCCTGGTTCATACAATCATTTTTTTTTTTTTTTCATTTCTCACATTCGACTTGAATTATAAGGATTTACAGATTTTGTTCTGCTGTGTTTTAAAATTCAGAAAGAACAAGATGTGTTTATGAAACACTATGCCCCCGATTGCAACAAATTTCTGAAGTGGGACATGTGTAAGGCAAGTGCTAATTTTTTTGTAAGCACTTATGTCTTCATTGTTGTAATGATTTTTGTTTTACTTTCAAATGTAGGTCAAAGGTCACGGTCAATGTCACATTGAAAAAACATACTACCAAATATGGAAGCCCTACTTCTTACGGTGCAATAGTTATGGACAAGGTTTAAGTTAATACAGACAGCCATCACAAAACATCATGTTCCCTATCTTTCGATCCGGGGCATACAAATCGTGTCATAATCACAAACTATACAATTTGCTCTTATTTTAGGTGACTTTTACCTTGGTCTTTACATCGGCCTCGGATCAGGGGCAGGGGGAGCCTTTCTTTTCGTCGGAGTTGTCACCTTAATCCGCCATTTTTGCTCGTCACAAAAGGGAGTTTCGCCAAGTGTGAAACACGTGGAACCTCTTTCGATAAGATCGACACCGTCGACCAGAAACAATTCCATATGCGGGTCATCTTCCTCTTCTGGAGACAGCACGAGTCGACAGAAGAGTTTTCTGTGTTCAACTCCCATCAGTCCAGGGGTCGGTTCACTCATGTTGGACATTCAGAGACGAAAGTCTAGCATGCATAATGGATTCATGCACCACTAACGTCCATCTCTAGAATATTGCCTCATCGAATTTGACGACGTTTTCTGCCATCAAAGAAAAGTAGACACTAACGACAAACTGGAACAAAAGAATCCGTCGTTTGCGGGAAGAGTTCATTTCAGCTCTTGAATCTAATGTAATGGATTCTTATTCAGAATTACTGTGTTTCCAAAAGATTTCTCCGGATTGGATAACATCAAGGGTTCTAAATGCCCTTACATCATTTTTACAATTGATTTTTTTAAATATATGATCGTTGTCACCAGAATCCAAGAGATTTGCAAATGACCAAATCTGGAGCTCGGGTATGAATTAAAATATAAAAAAAGAGAGTAGATAATTTTTATCTGATCGGGGTAATTGCAATATTGAGTGTTTCCTAACTGTATCATGAACGTAGTATGTTGTATAAGCCATCGAACACCAATCGTGTTCGAATTCTCATTGCGTTTTGACAATGATAAAGACAATCGTTCATTACATTATCAACCTAATCCCTTTACTCTCATCGTTTGTTATTGTTTATCAAGTTGATGTATGCACATACTGCTTATTTCGTTGATATTATTGTAAGCTGACCAATAAATTTCTAACATAAAAAAATTAAGTTTGTTGTTTGTAAGATACCAGAGAAAAGGTATATGTCTGTTATTATACTGTGATTTTGTTCTTTATTACTAATGTCTAAAAGTGTGTATTTGAGATTGGAATCACCTTATATCAATTGTCGAAAACGAAAAGACAAGTGACACGCAAGTAGAAGACTATATTCACCGAGTTGATGGTAAACATATAGTTTTGAGATTAAGTTCATGGGGTTGATGGTAACATGTAGTTTGTGGACTAAATTCACCAAGTTGATGGTAAACATGTAGTTTTGGGATTAAGTTCATGGGGTTGATGGTAACATGTAGTTTGTGGACTAAGTTCACCAAGCTGATGGTAAACATGTAGTTTGTGGACTAAATTCACCAAGTTGATGGTAAACATGTAGTTTTGAGATTAAGTTCATGGGCTTGATGGTAACCATGTAGTTCGGAATTAAGTTCATGGGGTTGATGGTAACCATGTAGTTTTGAGATTAAGTTCATGGGGTTGATGGTAACCATGTAGTTTTGAGATTAAGTTCATGGGGTTGATGGTAACCATGTAGTTTGGGATTAAGTTCGTGGGGTTGATGGTAACCATGTAGTTTTGAGATTAAGTTCATGGGGTTGATGGTAACCATGTAGTTTTGAGATTAAGTTCGTGGGGTTGATGGTAACCATGTAGTCTGGGATTAAGTTCGTAGGGTTGATGGTAACCATGTAGTTTTGAGACTAAGTTCGTGGGGTTGATGGTAACCATGTAGTTTGTGGACTAAATTCACCAAGTTGATGGTAAACATGTAGTTTTGGGATTAAGTTCATGGGGTTGATGGTAACATGTAGTTTTGGGATTAAGTTCATGGGGTTGATGGTAAACATGTAGTTTGTGGATTAAGTTCACCAAGTTGATGGTAAACATGTAGTTTTGAGATTAAATTCATGGGGTTGATGGTAACCATGTAGTTTTGAGATTAAGTTCGTGGGGTTGATGGTAACCATGTAGTTTTGAGATTAAGTTCATGGGGTTGATGGTAACCATGTAGTTTTGAGATTAAGTTCATGGGGTTGATGGTAACCATGTAGTTTTGAGATTAAGTTCATGGGGTTGATGGTAACCATGTAGTTTTGAGATTAAGTTCATGGGGTTGATGGTAACCATGTAGTTTTGAGATTAAGTTCATGGGGTTGATGGTAACCATGTAGTTTTGAGATTAAGTTCATGGGGTTGATGGTAACCATGTAGTTTTGAGATTAAGTTCATGGGGTTGATGGTAACCATGTAGTTTTGAGATTAAGTTCATGGGGTTGATGGTAACCATGTAGTTTTGAGATTAAGTTCATGGGGTTGATGGTAACCATGTAGTTTTGAGATTAAGTTCATGGGGTTGATGGTAACCATGTAGTTTTGAGATTAAGTTCATGGGGTTGATGGTAACCATGTAGTTTTGAGATTAAGTTCATGGGGTTGATGGTAACCATGTAGTTTTGAGATTAAGTTCATGGGGTTGATGGTAACCATGTAGTTTTGAGATTAAGTTCATGGGGTTGATGGTAACCATGTAGTTTTGAATTAAGTTGATGGGGTTGATGGTAACCATGTAGTTTTGAGATTAAGTTCATGGGTTGATGGTAACCATGTAGTTTTGAGATTAAGTTCATGGGGTTGATGGTAACCATGTAGTTTTGAGATTAAGTTCATGGGGTTGATGGTAACCATGTAGTTTTGAGATTAAGTTCATGGGGTTGATGGTAACCATGTAGTTGTGAGATTAAGTTCATGGGCTTGATGGTAACCATGTAGTTTTGAGATTAAGTTCATGGGGTTGATGGTAACCATGTAGTTTGGGATTAAGTTCATGGGGTTGATGGTAACCATGTAGTTTTGAGATTAAGTTCATGGGGTTGATGGTAAACATGTAGTTTTGAGATTAAGTTCATGGGGTTGATGGTAACCATGTAGTTTGGGATTAAGTTCATGGGGTTGATGGTAACCATGTAGTTTTGAGATTAAGTTCATGGGGTTGATGGTAACCATGTAGTTTTGAGATTAAGTTCATGGGGTTGATGGTAACCATGTAGTTTGGAGATTAAGTTCATGGGGTTGATGGTAACCATGTAGTTTTGAGATTAAGTTCATGGGGTTGATGGTAACCATGTAGTTTTGAGATTAAGTTCATGGGGTTGATGGTAAACCATGTAGTTTTGAGATTAAGTTCATGGGGTTGATGGTAACCATGTAGTTGTGAATTAAGTTCATGGGGTTGATGGTAACCATGTAGTTTTGAGATTAAGTTCATGGGGTTGATGGTAACCATGTAGTTTTGAGATTAAGTTCATGGGGTTGATGGTAACCATGTAGTTTTGAGATTAAGTTCATGGGGTTGATGGTAACCATGTAGTTTTGAGATTAAGTTCATGGGGTTGATGGTAACCATGTAGTTTTGAGATTAAGTTCATGGGGTTGATGGTAACCATGTAGTTTTGAGATTAAGTTCATGGGGTTGATGGTAACCATGTAGTTTTGAGATTAAGTTCATGGGGTTGATGGTAACCATGTAGTTTTGAGATTAAGTTCTTGGGGTTGATGGTAACCATGTAGTTTTGAGATTAAGTTCATGGGGTTGATGGTAACCATGTAGTTTTGAGATTAAGTTGGTAACCATGGGGTTGATGGTAACCATGTAGTTTTGAGATTAAGTTCATGGGGTTGATGGTAACCATGTAGTTTTGAGATTAAGTTCATGGGGTTGATGGTAACCATGTAGTTTTGAGATTAAGTTCGTGGGGTTGATGGTAACCATGTAGTTTTGAGATTAAGTTCATGGGGTTGATGGTAACCATGTAGTTTTGAGATTAAGTTCATGGGGTTGATGGTAAACATGTAGTTTTGAGATTAAGTTCATGGGGTTGATGGTAACCATGTAGTTGTGAGATTAAGTTCATGGGCTTGATGGTAACCATGTAGTTTTGAGATTAAGTTCATGGGGTTGATGGTAACCATGTAGTTTTGAGATTAAGTTCATGGGGTTGATGGTAACCATGTAGTTTTGAGATTAAGTTCAGGGGGTTGATGGTAACCATGTAGTTTTGTTGTTTGTGATTAATTTCGTGGGGTTGATGGTAACCATGTAGTTTTGAGATTAAGTTCATGGGGTTGATGGTAACCATGTAGTTTTGAGATTAAGTTCATGGGGTTGATGGTAACCATGTAGTTTTGAGATTAAGTTCGTGGGGTTGATGGTAACCATGTAGTTTTGAGATTAAGTTCATGGGGTTGATGGTAACCATGTAGTTTTGAGATTAAGTTCATGGGGTTGATGGTAACCATGTATTTTTGTGATTAAGTTCATGGGGTTGATGGTAACCATGTAGTTTTGAGATTAAGTTCATGGGGTTGATGGTAACCATGTAGTTTTGAGATTAAGTTCATGGGGTTGATGGTAACCATGTAGTTTTGAGATTAAGTTCATGGGGTTGATGGTAACCATGTAGTTTGGGATTAAGTTCGTGGGGTTGATGGTAACCATGTAGTTTTGAGATTAAGTTCATGGGGTTGATGGTAACCATGTAGTTTTGAGATTAAGTTCATGGGGTTGATGGTAAACATGTAGTTTTGAGATTAAGTTCATGGGGTTGATGGTAACCATGTAGTTTTGAGATTAAGTTCATGGGGTTGATGGTAACCATGTAGTTTTGAGATTAAGTTCATGGGGTTGATGGTAACCATGTAGTTTTGAGATTAAGTTCATGGGGTTGATGGTAACCATGTAGTTTTGAGATTAAGTTCATGGGGTTGATGGTAACCATGTAGTTTTGAGATTAAGTTCATGGGGTTGATGGTAACCATGTAGTTTTGAGATTAAGTTCATGGGGTTGATGGTAACCATGTAGTTTTGAGATTAAGTTCATGGGGTTGATGGTAACCATGTAGTTTTGAGATTAAGTTCATGGGGTTGATGGTAACCATGTAGTTTTGAGATTAAGTTCATGGGGTTGATGGTAACCATGTAGTTTTGAGATTAAGTTCATGGGGTTGATGGTAACCATGTAGTTTTGAGATTAAGTTCATGGGGTTGATGGTAACCATGTAGTTTTGAGATTAAGTTCATGGGGTTGATGGTAAACATGTAGTTTTGAGATTAAGTTCATGGGGTTGATGGTAACCATGTAGTTTTGAGATTAAGTTCATGGGGTTGATGGTAACCATGTAGTTTTGAGATTAAGTTCATGGGGTTGATGGTAACCATGTAGTTTTGAGATTAAGTTCATGGGGTTGATGGTAACCATGAGATTATGGGGTTGATGGTAACCATTAGTTTTGAGATTAAGTTCATGGGGTTGATGGTAACCATGTAGTTTTGAGATTAAGTTCATGGGGTTGATGGTAACCATGTAGTTTTGAGATTAAGTTCATGGGGTTGATGGTAACCATGTAGTTTTGAGATTAAGTTCATGGGGTTGATGGTAACCATGTAGTTTTGAGATTAAGTTCATGGGGTTGATGGTAAACATGTAGTTTTGAGATTAAGTTCATGGGGTTGATGGTAACCATGTAGTTTAGAATTAAGTTGATGGGGTTGATGGTAACCATGTAGTTTTGAGATTAAGTTCATGGGGTTGATGGTAACCATGTAGTTTTGAGATTAAGTTCGTGGGGTTGATGGTAACCATGTAGTTTTGAGACTAAGTTCGTGGGGTTGATGGTAACCATGCTGTAGGGGGCATATCATGAGGCTGACATACAGCTACCGATTAGTCAAAGGATTTCACATCAAGGTTAGAACTGTATTTTTGAAGACTTATTTGCACTAGTATGTCATGTACCAGGGTTGTGGGACTTTTCTCTCTGCAGTATCAGTCAGTTTATGTCTGTACATGGTATTAGTATGTAAAACCCTTAACAAAAACATGTTTATTCCATCACTATTAGACCAAAATTTGACCAAGAGATTTAATGATATTTTCTACTATTATTGTTACTATAACTACATCATGTCCAATCAGGATATATAGCAAAGGTCAATCACATTAAAGCTTATTTTCTATTCCACTGGTAAGATTAAAATGCTATGTGATAGAGACTCTACTGCCAATAGAAAATATAAAGTCTTAAAACAATAAACACTAAAACTTAAATAACGCAATAGATTATGATCTGTCTACACTAGAAATCACTTGGTACGAAAAAAATATTTGGATCGGATAGGTGTCAGATTTCCAAAAATCAGATATGGTCATATTTATTAATTTTTCCAAAACTTTTTTTAAGTAAAAAGCTGAGACAAATAACAAAACCGCTGAGATACATGTTGGATTTTTAATAGACATGAAGATGTAAAAACATATATTTATCACTTTATATGATTGTAGATATATAAAACATATAGTTGATTTCTGGATAAATGTACTGAGTTAAAGCTGGCATTTGGGATCTATCAGCCAATTATGCATATACAAATTTCATCTTCAGCAAAATAATGAAATTGCACATAAGAAACAATGATTTCTACAAAGGATAGCAAACATTACTATAAAAGTTTGTGAAACTTAACGATAGGACGTCCAAGTCGAGATTGCGGTAAACCATTAAGAAATAAACATCAACTAGGGTCTACTGCCAGCAAGAGATATAAAATAATAACAAACGTCATTCTTAAATGGACTTAAATATTGTCTACATCATAATGTATTTCATTGCAGGATACTGGTGACGAATTACTTTGTATCATACTTACAATAACATCCAGAACAACTAATCAGTGATCAGTACAGTAAACTACAGTCAAACATTATTATACCTCAACCACTGGTCAAGTGACTTTTGCTTGTAAAGAGTTGATAAAAAAACACTGTATTTATCTTGTGATAAGTCAAGGGAGACAACACATTATCTCTGACTCAAAATGTGGGCTAGAGGCTGATGAGGTCAACACAATGCCTCTGACTATTGGGTGGGATAATTACACTACATATGAATAGCTGTTGATACTCATCAGATGTGTCACATGATTTATGAGCATGGTCTTATTGACAGATAAATACAATGTGTACATATATCTGATTTCACTTCTACAAATTTATATTTTGAACATGAATAGTTTTTGAATTTTTTTTTTTATTGCATTCCCTCATTATTCAGTATCCCACATTTAGAATAAATTTGACTTAATATATTTCAATTGTTTTCTTTAAAATTGAAAATCACAAAATGAACAGAAAGCAACTATCTAAGCAAGGTTAAATGAAATAGCTCTTTATACACAGGAGTACCCATGTCAAAATTATCATATAAAAACATACTTTAATAACATTTATATAAATTATACTTCATTCATATCACAGTCATTATGTAACATGCACCAGTAAGAGATAATTAGAAAACTCTTCTGTTTCATAAAAAATACCAATACAAATTATATCATCAGTTAGAATGTCAAGGATTAACTGACATGGGACCCGTTACATAAGTCCATCAAACTATTCTTCTTCAGCTGTGAATAATGCTTTAAAGTACTTTAACATAGGGAAGAAAGGTCTGCGAAACAGATTCACATACACCTTCAAACAATAAACCTGACACTAGCAGGGATCCCTGATATATACCTACCTTCAACCGACTCCCTGAGCCTGGTTGTTCTAAGGTTGGTTAGAGTTAACCAGTGGTCAGTGAAAAATCAAAATTGTTGCCACTGAAAATACAACAGTGTTCAAGGGCAAATTATCTCTCAAAATACAGCAATCTGACTTGTGAAACGATAAAAAAATTTTCTTGTTTAATTCATGTTTGAAATTTTCCACCAACCACAGGTTATCTCTATCTGGTCTTTGAACAATCGGGGCCTGGCGGGCAATTATGTCCCATTAGAAAACAAACATCACCAACGTGTTTCAGAGTCATACAACACCTACATGTATCTACCATATTTCACTAAAACTGAACAATGTCTAAATTTTAACCAATCAGAAACCTCTATTTGGTAGTCATTTTGGTGTCAATTTCCTTTCTTTTACACCATCATAAACTGGTGTCCTATTGATACCATTTCCACTAATTCTCATCTCAATGAATAGAACAAAACTTCAAAGTGAAAAAATATAAGGCAACCAGGAAGCAAAAAAAGGCAGCCATCTTGCAAATCAGAAAACAGAACTTGTGGGCATATCCAGTATCACTCCCTCAAATTTTGGTGAAGATTCAACTTATAATTTTGGAGAAAAGTGTCAGAAACTTTAGGACAGAAAGTGGAGGAATGATAAAAGAAAAAATTGGTGGTAAAATCAATTAGTTTGGGGGAACATAAGTAAGTCCAACATCTAAATACATACATGTGACTGATAGCTTTAAATTTTTCATGGATGTTGGTAATTTCAATTAAAATACTGTGTCAAACACAATTTGACTTATATTCTATAACTGATTTTGATAGCCGATGTGTCGCTGTAAAGGTAACCACAGTCTTGACACACGTCTCTTGACTTGTGCCTGGCAGCCATTATGACGTAGAATCCCATGATATGTTTGGTAGTGGTGTCTAATCATTCAGTTGACCTGGCGTCTGACAGACGTCATGTGTTTGGTAGTGGTGTGGACCTGCATCATTTTGGCCAACAGGATTCTATGTCTGTAAACATTAAAGGTTGACATACATAGTAAAATGTTTGTAACTAATACAAGATTGCATTTCAGTCACTCACATCTTTACACAGGGATAATAACCTTAGTAGAGCAACAAGAATATCAGTAAAACTGATGAATGCTCCAAGAAAACAACTTTATTGGACACAAAATTTCAACAAAGGGCAATAACTCTGTAATTAATGGGTAGTGGGACCTAACATCAGCACACACATATTGTCTTTGAATCATCAATGTATACACCAAGTTTCATTATCCCAACTTATATGCAAGCAAAGTTATGCTCTGGACGAGATGTTTTTAACAAAGGGCAATAACTCGGTAATTAAGGGATTAAGGGCCCTGAAATTGATACACAGCAAATTGTATTTGTATCATCAATTTACACACTAAGTTTCATGATCTTTGCTTAACTTTGATCAAAGTTATGTTCTGGACAAGAAATTTTTAACCAAGGGCAATAACTCTATAAGTGAGGGAAGGAGAGCCCTGAATTTGGTACACTACAGATCTTCTTAGCATGATCAATATATCCATCAAGCTTCATTATCTTTGTTTAAATGCATGCAAGTTAATGTTTTGCTCTTAGACACAAAATATGTTAACAAAGGGTGATAACTTTCTAATTAAGAGACTGTAGGCCTTGAATTTGGCACACTTCACATTGTCTTAGCATTGGTGTATACACTAAGTTTCATAATCCTTGCTTAACTGTGGGCAAAGTGATACTCTAGACATGATGGGACAGATAGAAAGGCCGACAGATGGACAGACAGACATGGTGGTGACTATTTGCTCCCTACAAACATTTATTTTAGGTGAGCATAAAGAAAAAAAAATTAAGGTCATATCTCAATCTTTGGCATGTATATATTCTCAAAATTATTATTCTTGCAGTTTATTTTTCAGATTCTAAATCTAAGACAACACCACTAACTTTGTAACACTGTACGTACATTTGTACCTGCCCCCAGTTGATAAATTTACCATAACACTGCACATATTTGCCCCCCCGTTGATAAATTTACTCTAACAATGTACATATTTGCCCCCTGTTGATAAGTCTGCCCTAACACTGTACATATTTCCCCCTGTTGATAAGTCTGCCCTAACAGTGTACATATTTGCCCCCTGTTGATAAGTCTGCCCTAACACTGTACATATTTGCCCCTGTTGATAAGTCTGCCCTAACACTGTACATATTTGCCCCTGTTGATAACTCTGCCCTAACACTGTACATATTTGCCCCTGTTGATAACTCTGCCCCAACACTGTACATATTTGCCCCTGTTGATAAATTTACTCTAACAATGTACATATTTGCCCCTGTTAAAAAGTCTGCCCTAACACTGTACATAATTCCCCCTGTTGATATGTCTGCCCTAACACTGTACATGTTTGCCCCCTGTTGATAAGTCTGCCCTAACACTGTACATATTTACCCCTGTTGATAACTCTGCCCTAACACTGTACATATTTGCTCCTGTTGATAAGTCTGCCCTAACACTGTACATATTTGCCCCCTGTTGATAAGTCTGTCCTAACACTGTACATATTTGCCCCCCCGTTGTAATTCTGCCCTAACACTTTACATATTTCCCCCTGTTGATAAGTCTGCCCTAACACTGTACATACTTTCCCCGTTGTAACTCTACCCTAACTCTGTATGGAATTGCCACTGATGATAATCGTCTCTGTCCCCTAAAACTGTACGTACTTGCCCCCGTTGATAACAGTCATTCCTTTTTTCGACTTGGTGAAGGTTTTTTCTATTTTGTTGCTGTTCTCCTCAGAGTAGCATATCCAGCCTCCATACTCATCTCTGTATTGCCACGTAACCTTACCAGCTGTTTCATTAGTAGTATCTGTAATAAATATGTGTTATATATATTTAGGCTACTATACACTGATGTTTAATGATTAAGAGTAATCATCCTTCTAAATTGCATGAACATTTAGTAGTCAACAAATGACCTAACCATGTATATGTTTGAATGCTGGCCGGAATGGCCTGGTTTTAAAAAAAATGGTAATCCTTGGATTTCAGAATATTTATGTTTAAACATCAACTAGATATGTGTCTGAGTGACACAAAATGCTCCCCCCTCCCCTCAATAAAGATTATTAGTATTAGTTTCAAAAGATGTTATCAAATGTACAAACAACAATGACCTTGACCTTTGATATATTACAATAACAACAGACATCCTGCTTGCTAAAGACAGGAATTGTGATCCTGTTTCTACGGTCTTACCTGGTTGTGGTGTGGTACCCATGCTAGTGTTTCTGACTCCAGAATATCCCCCTGATTGGATTGAATCAAGTTTTACTACTGGGTGGGGCTGTCTGCCAAGCTGGTCTGGTTTTTCTTCTGAGTCACGGTCATCGTTTGGATTTAGTTTTACAACAGATGGGTTACATCCTACTTTAACACCTGTTACGTTGTCCTTACCACCTGTAATGTTGTCCGTAACACCTGTTACGTTGTCCTTACCACCTGTAATGTTGTCCGTAACACCTGATACGTTGTCCTTACCACCTGTAATGTTGTCTGTAACACCTGTTACGTTGTCCGTAACACCAGTTATGTTATCTGTTCTAGGTGACACACCAGCAGTGACTATACCACCTTCTGTTGATAAATAATGAAATTTATAATTACTCAGTATTGAGGATTACATGGAATTCTTATAAATTAGAAAATAATGATAATAAAAAAAATGCCTGCAAGATATGAATTCCCTTGCTCCTTCAGAAAGAAAAAATCAATTTAGGTGATGTTATGATACTATCTATTGAGAGGTTCTCAAGATATGACACTGATTTGGAACAGGATGTGATGTAATGGGACAGGACAGACAGATACTGTTAACACTGTATGGCTCACCCTTTACACCTCACCCACAAAATTGTCACGACATAAAAATCTGACACAATCTCATATTGAACATACAAAGGTCTTGAAATTTTTTCCACATGGTTATGTCAATAGAAAAAAGTTACAACGGTAGATAAACATACAGGAACTGTCAAAAAAGTATGGTTATAAGTTTGATATATATCAGACCCTAGTTATTCAATGCCAGGTTAGAGTTAATCTGCGGCTAGTGCAATATATCATTTGTTCTCTCTGAATACACAAGGAATTTTCAAAGCCAAATTGACATAAAAAAATATCAATCAGACCTGTCTCAAACAATCTACAGCTGTGAAATAATAAAATATGTTCCTAATTCTGGTTATCTATATTTGACAATTTTCACCAACCAGTGGTGAATTCTAACCAAGCTTTGATCAAGTTGGGCCTAACTGGACAGGTCTCAGCTTGTTGACATTAAGACTTAAACATGTTGACAACTATTTTATATTTCATCTTGCCTCATTAGCTGGATCATTAGATGCAGAATCCTAGGTAAACAATGATAAATCTGATAAGGTGTACCACCATATAAGGAATCTTCCTTTATTTATTGTTTATATCAAACACAGAAGAGTTCTCTAGGAAAAATATGCCAAATCACACAAATATAAAACTTATTTTAGGAAACACAGAAACATTGAATTGTCTTTGATCATTACCTGTAGGAAGAATACCATGGTCTGTTAAATGTCTGTCTGTTAGGTTAGAGTGCTCTATTTGGGAACTTTCTGATGACTTTTCTGAATGGGACAAGTCACTGGGTAAACTTTCAGCAGGTGACCGTCCTATATGATGTCTCCCAGAGGACAACCGTTTAACTGGTGCTTGTATTTCTGAAGACCTGTCTTGTGTCCTACTAGGAATGCTTTCAGTCACTTGTGATAATGCAGATTCTGATGCAGGTGGCATTTCTAATGAGGATACGTTTCTTTGGTTAAGTCTGTTCAGTTTTGCAATGTAATCATCAGTTTTTGTATCTGCAGTTTTGTCTTCCTTTTCTTTCTCTACGGAACGACTTTTCTCATCACTTCCTGTTGTCTTCAAAGTGGCTCCACCTGTTGTCCCCCATGAGGCTCCACCTGTTGCCCCCAATGAGGCTCCAGCTGTAGCACCACCATATGAGGCCTCCATCATATGAGCTAGCTGTTCTGATGGATCACTAAAATTAAATTCAGATCAAACATGAAATATATATATTTTGTGCTGTTCCCCAATTAATACAAGTCTAAAAATTAATTTTTTTTTCAATGCCATGAATATATATTTTACAGTCTTACCTAAATTTTCTTTTTTTTTCACAAAGAAACAGAATACAATTGTATATAATAAAAGCCGATATTTCAACAGATGAAATTTCATATGGCAGTATTTTCTTCCTGAAAAAGTGCTTGAAATTAAGATTTTTATTGTTATGGAACTTATAGTTCTTGAAAAGTAGATTTTTGAAAATCACTCATTTCAGTTATGAGATATGACAATTAGAATGTATGTTCATCCATGGCGGTAAATACCAGATATACAATGCAATGTTGTACCTAATTTTGTGAAATTTGTTCTGTATTTCATGACATGATTACAAAAATTCAAATATTACATTACAGAGAAAATGTTTTCAGTCTAGAGATGTTGAATTGTTACATTAAGTTAATACATACCACATTGTAACTTCGAATTTGTTGTCACAGCCGTAATTATGATCTAGTATCGCTTTACTTGGCCAACGTACCTGTCAAAATTACATTAGTTTAACTTTGGAACATATATATTTCTTATGTACATTATAGCAGCTGGTAGTCCTAGTACAGTGACTAAGGTTTGGATTCTGACTCCTATGAGGTAGCTTTAATTTCTACTATAGGAAATTCTGTCAAGTTGACAAATTGGAAAAAAAAAATCATATATTTCAATGTATGTAAACATATGGTTATATATTATACTTCAGCATTACCAAAGATAATTATGTTATCATCATTAGTGTCTTGCTGGATCAGATATGAATAACACTACAGTATACTGTTCCAGCTAATGGCTGATCAGGACAAGACATGTCAGACATATTTATCATTAGTATCTTAATGGGTCAGACATGTATCAACTTACAGTATGTTGTCCTAGTGTCTGTTCAGGAAAAGAAATGACAGACACATTAGTGTCTCATTGTATCAGACATGTGCATGTATTACACTGGATCAGACATGTACATGTATTACACTTAAATCATTACCCGAATGTTCATTAAGGATGAGGTGTCAGATATATTTACCAGAAGCCTATTGTTCGGGTAGACATGGATCACACTGCCCATTCTTCCTTCACCACCATCTACGTTTCCCTTGTCCCAGTCTGGTCCTACAAACATTTATCATATATTTTGAATCCTGTGTATTACAGGTACATGTAAAATGAAATTCTTAGCTGAAAGTAGGTTAACATTTAGATCAAAACCAAAGGTATCACTGAATGTCACTTATCCCCAAAATGTTGATTGTCCAGGGGTTAGCTAAAATATTCAGATAGACCAGTATCAGAACTCAAGTTATGGAGCAGAACTCCAGGTATTGTGTCAAAACCATTTACAGTAACTGTGACTTTGACCGAAAGTGACATTTTAATTTGAAATGAAACCCAAAAATAACAAGCACAGTGAAAAGTTCAAGTTTGATGGGGAACAAATTTTCTATTTCCAGTAACAGTGCCATCCTGTGAAAAGCCCACTCCTGACACTGATCACGACACAATATGTTGGGTCTTCAGAACTATTGCAGGATAAATGTAGGTTGATGAGTAGACAAACCTCTTTTAACCATACATCCTACTTGGATTGATTTTCCTGCAAGAGTGCGTGGCTCATCTACTGGTATAATGTCATACTTCCCTCCTCTGCCATAGCAATACTTGTTTCGGTAGCCATTGTCCCACATAACATACAGCCAACCTGAAGGTAAAAAATATGAAGGTCAAACACATATATACTGCATATATCTATTATTAAACATTAATGTTATACAGTCATCACTATGTCACCTCACCTACAACCATAACATGGCGTAAAGGTTAAAGGTCATTTATCTATACCTCAGCAGCAACCAACATAGAGGTCAAAAGATCAAAGGTCATATATCTATACCTCAACAGTAACCATCATAGAGGTCAAAAGATCAAAGGTCATATATCTATACTTCAAAATTAATGTTTTTGTCAAGAGTGCCCTCTGGGTTTCAAATGTTTCACTTAATGAATAAGCAGCTAGTATTGAGTTGTCCAGTCATAATAATATTTTACTATAGAAACTTTAATCTTCCATATTCTAAACAGGAGATATAAGAGGAATCTTAGCACCCACCAGTGTTTGGTCTTTCTGTTTTTAAAACTTTCTCCCATTCTTAATTATATATACCGTAAATTTGCGGGTATAGTGCGCAGGTACTTTTTAGGGTCAGATTCAAAAAAAAAAAAAAAAAAAAGATTTTCTACAAAAAGATTAATTGATTAGTGGTGCCGCGATAAAACAGTTGTGGTTTGATCCATTGATAATGAGGAAACCACAGTCATCGTGACCCTAACATATTTAATTACCTTATGTAAACAAATTCACACAGGTACCTAACTTAACAAGCATGAAAGGCTTGGCTAATTCGATAATTAACGGTTCTTAACAGGTAACAAACACGTTGAGTATGAGGAGATTGATGACACCCGGCTTCGGCTGAACACGTACTATTGCTAACAAAACGATGTTGTTTTAACTGTCTGAAAAGTTTCAATCATACCTTGTCCCCATATCTGTCCATACCGCGGTATCCGAAGGTACTTAGTTATAGATTGTTTACACCGACTTCGACATGAGGAAACAGCGAACGCCATTAACTTGAGTTTCGTGCCGCCGGTCGCCACTTCGACATTTCAGAGTGAAATATCAAGGCACGGAAGAAAAAAAAAGACCGTCTAAAGTCCCAACCACTGACCAGAAGGGCTGACATAGGTGCGACAGCGAAACACCCAGAGATGGAGAGAGAGCTGTTCAACTTTGTATGCGATCGCCGAGATGCCGGCATCGCTGCCAGTACAACAGAACTGTGCGTGCGGGCCATGCAGATCAAGAGAGGTCATGGGGTCACCAACTTTGGGCATCTGTGGGATGGGCTGTCCGATTTATGAACAGAACGACAATCGCACAAAAACTTCCGGACTCATTGAATTCATTTGATACATCATCAAAATGAAGCAGAAATTCAGACGCTACTACAGCCCCGACCAATAGTAAGACCGTCACTATTCGAATGACGGGAAACAAAAAAAAAAATTAGATTCACCGTAATGCTAGCATGAATGACCGATGTTTAAAATATTCGAAATTTATTTCATTTTACTTTTTTGTTGTTGTTGTTTTTATCTCCAAACTATCATATAAGACCCACAACTTTTACATATAACTATGTGAAGGGAGGTAATCCAATATGGCGAACACAGAACTGGGTTATGATAACCCCAAGAATGGCATGTTCCTGTGTATAATGCGCACCCTCTTTTTGACACGACAGTTTTAGCTTGAAAAAGTGCGCACTATACGCAAAAATCTATGGTAATTTGAAAATTCCTCCTCAGAAACAGATTTGAGAAAAATCGAGACAATACTTCTAAAGAAATAATCATAACAAACTTTCATTGTCAAAATCCAAAATGGCAGCCTGCCCGTCACTTTGTTATACTGGTCATGTCAAAAATTTAAAAGCCATTCTAGGGACCCTGGGAAAACCACATAGGAAATCTGAGAAAGGACCATCTTGTATTTTCAAGAAATAGTAATACATGTAGCAATCTTTTATTCATGGTTATAATCCAAAATGGCAACCTGTCAAGCATGGTGGTTTATTTATTTAGTTTTTTTTTCAGTCCCAAAAACAAAAGGGCACAACTAGGGACCAAGTGGACCTAGACATGAAATTTGAGGAAAATCCTTCTAAAGAAATAGAGATAACAAGAATTATTTATGGATAGATGGACAACAGAGCATGAAAGACAGATGATTTGTATACATCTTATGATGGTGGGCTTAAAATATTTATATCTGAACTAAAATCACAGATCATAGATATTCAATGTAATACTGTATGATAAAGAAATCTTTTTGGTAAATTTTCAGACATTTCTTCAAACATTCTAAATCAATATAAGAAATAAAACGTATTCAGTGTACACACCATCCAGATCAATCACTGATAAGCATTGCTCAGACATCCCTGTTTGTTTGTTTGTTTGATTGCAGGCTTTACTGCAATGTGAACAGCCTAAGTCTTTTACCAGTGGATTCTTCTTGTTGCAGCAGGAAGCTACTTCACTGAACAACATGCATGAGGCCCATCATAAGCTTTCCAAAGTAATAACTTGATAGACTAAAGTGACTTGCACAGGACACAACCATGACAACACAGACTGTCACATACCACCTAAAGCAGGCATTGAATAATACACACCATGGATCTTCACCTGAGGTCATATGCCCCAACAATTAAGTTACTGCACTGCCACCCCTTCATTCAGCCCTTTCTGACCCCTTATCACTCACCATACATCTAAATTCCTGAACAGTTTACAGACATCAAGACATCATACCATTAGTCTTATGGCTGACTACTGTCCCAGCCATGTTAGAGTCCTGATTATTCCAGGACCAATCTGGGCCTCGTCTGACTCTTGATCCTAGGGGTAGCATGTCATCTTCTAACTCATGATGACCTTCATCACCATCAGAGTCACTGTCAGATACTTTCTCAAGGTCATCAACCTTGCTCACTATCTCCAAAATCTCCTCCTATAATCAATGAAACAAAGCAACATGCCATAGTTCATTCATGTTATCTGCAGTCATCTAAAAATAGATTTTAGATAAGGCTGATGACTGAGCCAGAATGTCAATATTCTTTAGCTAAATAGATTTCCTAGTCCATGGGTCAATAAGCAAATGAGCAAGTCATTACTTTATCTTCCAACTCCTTGTCTTTTGTGACAAACAGGTTGATCCTTCACCTACCTTGTCGTCATTTGTGACGAACAGGTTGATCCTTCACCTACATGTAAATTGTCGTCATTTGTGATGAACAGGTTGATCCTTCACCTACCTTGTCGTCATTTGTGACGAACAGGTTGATCCTTCACCTACCTTGTCATCATTTGTGACAAACAAGTTGATCCTTCACATACCTGTCGTCATTTGTGACAAACAGGTTGATCCTTCGTCTACCTGTCGTCATTTGTTACACACGGGTTTGATCCTTCACCTACCTGTCATCATTTGTGACAAACAGGTTGATCCTTCACCTACCTTGTCATCATTTGTGACAAACAGGTTGATCCTTCACCTACCTTGTCATCATTTGTGACAAACAGGTTGATCCTTCACCTACCTTGTCATCATTTGTGACAAACAGGTTGATCCTTCACCTACCTTGTCATCATTTGTGACAAACAGGTTGATCCTTCACCTACCTTGTTGTCGTTTGTGACAAACAGGTTGATCCTTCACCTACCTTGTTGTCATTTGTAACAAACAGGTTGATCCTTCAGCTACCTTGTTGTCATTTGTGACAAACAGGTTGATCCTTCACCTACCTTGTTATCATTTGTGATGAACAGGTTGATCCTTCACCTACTTTGTTGTCGTTTGTGACAAACAGGTTGACGTACCACTTACCTCGTCGTCTTTCGTGACATACGGGTCGTTGCTTGCTACACTTGTTAAGACAAGTCTATTGAGATTTTCATCCTTAAGGTTGCCACCCGTTGCTTCTTTTATGTATTCCATCAACTTCACAGCAAAAGCCTGAATATATATATTGGTTTGTTTTGAGATTTTTCAGCGTTTAAATCAATTCAAGGCAGCAGATTTGTGACAATCAAACTGCAAACATATCAAATATTAAACCTGAATTAATATTTATTCTATACAAATCAAATAAATGACAAAATTTTTTCCAATAAATAAAGTATTCAATATTTCAAAGCATTCAAGAACAGATGCAGTTCCAGTTTTCTCAGAGATCATAAGAGCTGAAAAATGTAAAGATACAAAATTTCCTGAGATGATCATAAAAGGAGCTGCTTTTATATTTCAAGTTTTTCCTTTGAAAATCCCAACTCTATCACATACTAATAATAACACAAAGTTTTCACTGTGTCTAAATCCCAGCACCATTACACACCAACACTTACAAAGTTTTTACTGTGTCTAAATCCCAGCACCATTACACACCAACACTGACAAAGTTTTTACTGTGTCTAAATCCCAGCACTATTACACACCAACACTTACAAAGTTTTTATTGTGTCTGATAGCCTTATCAAGCTGGTCCAATGGATATCTCTTTCCTCCAGTCATTTCTGCAACCTGTTCCATGTACCTCTGTAATATCAATCATATGATTATTCTAGGCTTTTCGATATTTCAGAAGAAATTGTTTAAACATTTTAACACATAAGACCCCTGTGACTTTGTACTTTGTAGGACACTGTAAGAGGAACATAGTAGCCTAATATAATGATTCTATGCCTTCCGGTATTTGGGGAGAAGTTGTTTAAAAGTTTTACCATATTTGACCTCTGTGACCTTGAATATGGGTCAAGGTGATTTCTTTTTGCAAACTTTCTTGGACTTGATCAAAGGAACCTTCTAGCCAAATATAATGATTCTATGCCTTCCGGTAATTTGGAAGAAGTCATTTAAAGGATTTAATATATTTGACCTCTGTGACCTCGAATATGGCTCAAGGTCTTTTCTTTTCACAAACTTTGGTAAGCTTCATGAAAGGAACCTTCCAGCCACATATAATGATTCTAGGCCTTCCAGTATCATGGAAGAAGTCGTTCAAAGGTTTTACTATATTTGACCTCTGTGACCTTGAATATGGGTCAAGGTGATTTCTTCTTGCAAATTTTCTTGGGCTTGATCAAAGGAACCATCCAGCCAAATATAATGATTCTAGGCTTTCCGGTATTTTGGAAGAAATCATTTAAAGGTTTTAACATATTTGACCTCTGTGACCTTGAATATGGGTCAAGGACTTTTCTTTTCACAAACTTTGTTGGGCTTCATCAAAGAAACCTTCCAGCCACATATAGTGATTCTAGGCCTTCCAGTATTATGGAAGAAGTTGTTTAAAGGTTTTACCATATTTGACATCTGTGACCTTGAATATGGGTCAAGGTCATTTCTTTTTACAAAATTTGTTGGACTTTATGAAAGGAACCTTCCAGCCAAATATGATAACGACGTATGAAGACAGACGCCAGGTGACGACGGACAGACGGATGCTGGACGCCGGACGCCACGCTATGGCATAAGCTCACTTGGACCTTTGGGCCAGGTTAGCTAAAAATTGCAGACTGTAAGGTGGCACTCTGATTTCATTTGAATTTACCACAGTATGAATGCCATGGAGGATGGTCTGGTTTTGTAATCTGTTAAAATTCTACACAGTTGAACTTCCAAGTAAAATCCCATTATATACTGAATATACAATAATTGAAGTTTACGAAAATTGAATTAAATTCAGAGGTACCATGAATCCCTTCAATTTTGTAGTATTATTCTTTACTCAACCTAAGTGTACTGTACTGAACTGTACTCTTCCATACTATTTACACTACTGCTTACTAGACAAAGCAAAGCTACAATGTTTTGACCTTGTTTAAAACCATACATAAAATTTTTTAAACATTTTTCGGAGTTCTTTGTTTAATAGCTATCACCCTGGATGAGTGCTTACCTACAATACACCAGTGTTTCAACTTCCGCATAAGACTGAATTAGATATTTCAAATTTGACACCTTAATGGTGAAATTAAGGCATAGATCCCCATCAGAGAAGGCTGAACATTTTGTAGTAGCTTGGATGAAGAAATTTATATACAATGAGTTATGATGACTATACATTTGTGCTTGTAATATTAATACTCTGACCTTGGTTTCTTTGTTATTCTGATCAGAAGACATTTTGAACACAAAAGACTTATGACACCATACACTCCTATTTCCTTGACCATCTTTACACAATACTCACAGGGAAAAAATCTCCCATCGGTACATAAGAAATTGTGAGCTTCCTTCTCCTAGCATCTTCTAATACACCCAACATGTTACACAGGACCTATGAATAACAAATCAGTCTATTTGAAATCTTAATAATAAAAAGCTGGATGGCTACACAAAAATATTGCATAACCATACATCTTATAGTTTTTTTCTTTACCAAGCCTTCTTTTTCCAACATGATTTATTAAAAAAACATTTATAATGGCTGTTTTTGAGATAGAAATGACTACAAACACTTGTATTAAGCAAATCTCAAATTAAGAGTTTGTGATCTTTAATAAACCTTTTACTGTAAGTAAGTTTGAAAGTAAAGTGACATTTGGCCAAAATTTGACCCATAATTATTTTTTAAAACTTTTTTGTTACCTCACAGGAGAAATCTCCGTCAAGTGGAACATCCTCCCCAATGAGTCTGGACTCAAGAGTGGCACGGCCATCTGTGAATACTATGACTCTAGGATGCTGAGCATATCCACCTATTGTAATTCCATGTTTACCTTAGAAATAGAATGGAAATAAGTAAGAATGGCCATCACTGAAAAGAGGTCAAATAGCAGGTATATAGCAAACACAGACAGAAGGTCCTAATGGTAGGTATATAGTCAACACAGACAGGAGGTCCTAATGGTAGGTATATAGTCAACACAAACAGGAGGTCCTAATGGTAGGTATATAGTCAACACAAACAGGAGGTCCTAATGGTAGGTATATAGTCAACACAAACAGGAGGTCCTAATGGTAGGTATATAGTCAACACAGACAGGAGGTCCTAATGGTAGGTATATAGCAAACACAGACAGGAGGTCCTAATGGTAGGTATATAGTCAACACAAACAGGAGGTCCTAATGGTAGGTATATAGTCAACACAGATAGGAGGGCCTAATGGTAGGTATATAGCAAACACAGACAGGAGGTCTGAATGGTAGGTATATAGTCAACACAAACAGGAGGTCCTAATGGTAGGTATATAGCAAACACAGACAGGAGGTCCTAATGGTAGGTATATAGTCAACACAGACAGGAGGTACTAATGGTAGGTATATAGTCAACACGAACAGGAGGTCCTAATGGTAGGTATATAGCCAACACAGACAGGAGGTCCTAATGGTAGGTATATAGTCAACAAAACAGGAGGTCCTAATGTTAGGTATATAGTCAACACAGACAGGAGGTCCTAATGGTAGGTATATAGCAAACACAGACAGGAGGTCCTAATGGTAGGTATATAGTCAACACAAACAGGAGGTCCTAATGGTAGGTATATAGCAAACACAGACAGGAGGTCCTAATGGTAGGTATATAGTCAACACACACAGGAGGTCCTAATGGTAGGTATATAGCAAACACAGACAGGAGGTCCTAATGGTAGGTATATAGTCAACACAGACAGGAGGTCCTAATGGTAGGTATATAGCAAACACAGACAGGAGGTCCTAATGGTAGGTATATAGTCAACACAGACAGGAGGTCCTAATGGTAGGTATATAGTCAACACAGACAGGAGGTCCTAATGGTAGGTATATTGTAGCCAACACAGACAGGAGGTCCAAACACAGACAGGAGGTCCTAATGGTAGGTATATAGCAAACACAGACAGGAGGTCCTAATGGTAGGTATATAGCCAACACAGACAGAAGGTCCTAATGGTAGGTATATAGTCAACACAGACAGGAGGTCCTAATGGTAGGTATATAGCAAACACAGACAGGAGGTCCTAATGGTAGGTATATAGCAAACACAGACAGGAGGTCCTAATGGTAGGTATATTGTAGCCAACACAGACAGGAGGTCCTAATGGTAGGTATATTGTAGCCAACACAGACAGGAGGTCCTAATGGTAGGTATATAGCAAACACAGACAGGAGGTCCTAATGGTAGGTATATAGTCAACACAGACAGGAGGTCCTAATGGTAGGTATATAGCCAACACAGACAGGAGGTCCTAATGGTAGGTATATAGGTATAATGGTAGGTATATAGTCAACACAGACAGGAGGTCCTAATGGTAGGTATATAGTCAACACGAACAGGAGGTCCTAATGGTAGGTATATAGCCAACACAGACAGGAGGTCCTAATGGTAGGTATATAGTCAACACAGACAGGAGGTCCTAATGGTAGGTATATAGTCAACACAGACAGGAGGTCCTAATGGTAGGTATATAGCAACACAGACAGGAGGTCCTAATGGTAGGTATATAGTCAACACAGACAGGAGGTCCTAATGGTAGGTATATAGTCAACACAGACAGGAGGTCCTAATGGTAGGTATATAGCAAACACAGACAGGAGGTCCTAATGGTAGGTATATAGTCAACACAGACAGGAGGTCCTAATGGTAGGTATATAGTCAACACAGACAGGAGGTCCTAATGGTAGGTATATAGTCAACACAAACAGGAGGTCCTAATGGTAGGTATATAGTCAACACAGACAGGAGGTCCTAATGGTAGGTATATAGTCAACACAAACAGGAGGTCCTAATGGTAGGTATATAGTCAACACAAACAGGAGGTCCTAATGGTAGGTATATAGTCAACACGAACAGGAGGTCCTAATGGTAGCTATATAGTCAACACAGACAGGAGGTCCTAATGGTAGGTATATAGTCAACACAAACAGGAGGTCCTAATGGTAGGTATATATCAAACACAGACAGGAGGTCCTAATGGTAGGTATATACAACACACAGACAGGAGGTCCTAATGGTAGGTATATAGTCAACACAGACAGGAGGTCCTAATGGTAGGTATATAGTCAACACAGACAGGAGGTCCTAATGGTAGGTATATAGTCAACACAGACAGGAGGTCCTAATGGTAGGTATATAGTCAACACAGACAGGAGGTCCTAATGGTAGGTATATAGTCAACACAGACAGGAGGGCCTAATGGTAGGTATATAGTCAACACAGACAGGAGGTCCTAATGGTAGGTATATAGTCAACACAGACAGGAGGTCCTAATGGTAGGTATATTGTAGCCAACACAGACAGGAGGTCCTAATGGTAGGTATATTGTAGCCAACACAGACAGGAGGTCCTAATGGTAGGTATATTGTAGTCAACACAGACAGGAGGTCCTAATGGTAGGTATATAGTCAACACGAACAGGAGGTCCTAATGGTAGGTATATAGCCAATACAGACAGGAGGTCCTAATGGTAGGTATATAGTCAACACAGACAGGAGGTCCTAATGGTAGGTATATAGTCAACACAGACAGGAGGTCTAATGGTAGGTATAATGGTAGGTATATAGTCAACACACACAGGAGGTCATTACTGGTAGGTATATTGTAGTCAACACAGACAGGAGGTCCTAATGGTAGGTATATTGTAATCAACACAGACAGGAGGTCCTAATGGTAGGTATATAGCAAACACAGACAGGAGGTCCTAATGGTAGGTATATAGTCAACACAGACAGGAGGTCCTAATGGTAGGTATATAGTCAACACAGACAGGAGGTCCTAATGGTAGGTATATTGTAGCCAACACAGACAGGAGGTCCTAATGGTAGGTATATAGCAAACACAGACAGGAGGTCCTAATGGTAGGTATATAGTCAACACACACAGGAGGTCCTAATGGTAGGTATATTGTAGCCAACACAGACAGGAGGTCCTAATGGTAGGTATATAGTCAACACAGACAGGAGGTCCTAATGGTAGGTATATTGTAGTCAACACAGACAGGAGGTCCTAATGGTAGGTATATAGCCAACACAGACAGGAGGTCCTAATGGTAGGTATATAGTCAACACAGACAGGAGGTCCTAATGGTAGGTATATAGTCAACACAGACAGGAGGTCCTAATGGTAGGTATATAGCCAACACAGACAGGAGGTCCTAATGGTAGGTATATAGTCAACACAGACAGGAGGTCCTAATGGTAGGTATATTGTAGCCAACACAGACAGGAGGGCCTAATGGTAGGTATATTGTAGCCAACACAGACAGGAGGTCCTAATGGTAGGTATATAGTCAACACAGACAGGAGGTCTGAATGGTAGGTATATTGTAGTCAACACAGACAGGAGGTCCTAATGGTAGGTATATTGTAGTCAACACAGACAGGAGGTCCTAATGGTAGGTATATAGTCAACACAAACAGGAGGTCCTAATGGTAGGTATATAGTCAACACAAACAGGAGGTCCTAATGGTAGGTATATAGTCAACACAGACAGGAGGTCCTAATGGTAGGTATATAGTCAACACAGACAGGAGGTCCTAATGGTAGGTATATTGTAGCCAACACAGACAGGAGGGCCTAATGGTAGGTATATAGTCAACACAGACAGGAGGTCCTAATGGTAGGTATATAGTCAACACAGACAGGAGGTCCTAATGGTAGGTATATAGCCAACACAGACAGGAGGTCCTAATGGTAGGTATATAGTCAACACAGACAGGAGGTCCTAATGGTAGGTATATTGTAGCCAACACAGACAGGAGGTCCTAATGGTAGGTATATAGCAAACACAGACAGGAGGTCCTAATGGTAGGTATATAGTCAACACAGACAAGAGGTCTGAATGGTAGGTATATTGTAGTCAACACAGACAGGAGGTCCTAATGGTAGGTATATAGTCAACACAGACAGGAGGTCCTAATGGTAGGTATATTGTAGCCAACACAGACAGGAGGTCCTAATGGTAGGTATATTGTAGTCAACACAGACAGGAGGTCCTAATGGTAGGTATATTGTAGCCAAAACAGACAGGAGGGCCTAATGGTAGGTATATAGCCAACACAGACAGGAGGTCCTAATGGTAGGTATATAGCCAACATGAACAGAAGGTCCTAATGGTAGGTATATAGCCAACACAGACAGGAGGTCCTAATGGTAGGTATATAGCCAACACAGACAGGAGGTTCTAATGGTAGGTATATTGTAGCCAACAAGAGGTTCCATATTGCTATTGAAGACAAATGGTCTAGAAGGCCTGAAAAAACCATTCTGCTGATGGAGACGAGAGCTTCAAAAGTTTTGTCAAGCTAAAATTGAAGACAAGAGATCCAAATGGCTTGTCAAGCTATTATTGCTATTTTAGACATGAGATACATAAAGGCTTGTAAAACTAAATGCACCATGGCTATATAACGAGTTTCCTTCATCTTTAGTTTATTGTGGCTTCATCTTCTATGAACAGCTAAGATCATATTGAAAATAACAGGTCCAATTACCAAAAACAGTTTTTATAACAATCAAAGCCAATATTTTAGTAAATATTTCACAGTACATTAGCGAACGCAAGAAGAAAAAACATTAATTTAAACAAATTTATGATATTTCAAATTTCATTCAAGGCAATTTTGCCTCTGATAAAATTTTTCAACCAATCATACAATTAACATTTCTAGAAAAGAATCTCTGATGATAATGATACAAACGATTTTACAAACAGACAGAATGTGTTTGACTTGTAACCATGACTACCCACCTTGGCCTATTGAGGCAGCAGTAGACAGCAGAAGGCCAGCAGTAAGGGGACTTGTGCCACCTGTGGTCAGGTTTCCTGTGAAAGCAAACAGCAGAATTAGAAAACAAACATAAATATTTACTCACAGTATTGTGCTTCATACATTATAAAATATATGTATAATAATAATCATAAAAATCAAATTCATTTATTTTACAACAATAGAAAAACAATTTTTTCAACTTATTTTAATCACTCTTGTTTGTCCACATGGCAGCGTGCGGCAGGGGTACACAGGGAAAACCCACGTGGTCAGGCAGTGACCCCACCCCTTTTCACGTCTGTTCTGGGAATTGAACCCCTGACGTCTAGATGAAAGGCAAGTGCATTACCACTGCGCTACCCATCAACATTTATCTTACATAAAGTGAATTAGAAAAGAATGAAGAAGTGTTAATTTTTGCTAGTTCAACAGAATGGAAATTACTGTAATAAGACATGAGAATGATCGAAAAACACAAATTCATATTTAATCACTTGAATAGTGAATTGTTTGTATGAAAGATGCACAGAGATCTGATAAACAACATATATACAACAATGTACAGGTTTATATACTTACTAACAGTGTCACGGATAACTGAAAACTCATTTGTGAGGTGGTGAATCACTGCAGTCTTGTGACCAAATGTAACAATGGCAAGATTGATCTGTAACCCAAGAGACAGGCGTATGTTCTCCACTCCTGTAAAACAGCCAGGATGAACAATATCAGACTCAACCTGACAAAACTACTTCAACATTTATTTCAATGATTTTCTCCTTGATAACATTATAACAGGGCTATGATAAAAGTTCTTTTATTCAAGATACTGTAAGAAGATAATAGAATAGAAGCTAGTACTATTATCATTTTAAGAGAATTAAGTATTGTATTTTTAATTGTTTACTGGAATGTGGTTTACATTTCCATTTAACAGTTATCAAAAAAGATTTTGAAAAAGGAGCAATTTTGCAGTAGATTTTGCTCTGAATCTAGAGACCAAATAACAGGTTACTGAATTAGATTAGCTCACAATATTATTGTAAGAGTTTGCTGTTGATTTCTGTCAAAATTGAGAATGATCTGATGTAAAAAAAAAAAAAAAAATATGCTGGAAAAAAATACATATTTCACAGGAATACTGACCATCAATGTATTTGAGTACACCCTGGATCATGTTAAAAAACGGTGTTCCTTCCATACTCTGGGAGATGTCCAGACAAAGAACAACGTTCGGGCCATGTCCAATCGGAGAGGTTGACTCACTGCCTGTAGGAGAGTTAAGTCAAAATAGGTAAGGTAAAATCAAACCAATCACAGAGAGTCTGTCAACACAGAAATTAACAACCATCCAATCAAAAATGATGTAACAAAATCACCTTGTATGTGTTACAAAATAAATAAAATTATTAAAAAAAGTGAAGATTTTTTATCCTATTTCATCATAATCATTAATATTCCATTCTCTAATCATCTCTTAAACTAATTTCCAAAAACAAATCAAAAACACTTCTGAACCCACAATTATTATAAAAATATATAAGTTAAAAGGTTTAAAACATATTGAAATTTGAAATACTTTGTCCGTAAAACCAGTCTAATCTGGGCTAACTCAATAATTCAAATCTGTGTACAAACCTTTGATGATTTCCATATTAGCCTCATGAATCCAACTGTTGATATCCATATTAAAAGGTGTAGGAGTATTTCTGGATTCCTTTGTCAAATCTATCAATAAAAATTTTACACTGTCTTATTGTATTTAAGGATATATGAAGCTCACATAAGTGGTGTGAATCTCCTTTTTAAAAGAGCTCTAATCACTTATAAAACTTGAATTCAACAAAAATTTCCACAATAATAACTATTTTCTAATGATTAAAGTATAAAATTAGTCACTCTCTTTGTAAGGTGCTCTCTAGAAAAGTAATAATTTTGTTTTGTGCAGAAAATTACATCATATTGATATTCTAACACATGTATGTGTAACAACATGATTCTGCCAATCACCAGAAACAGTTTCAAAAACAGCAGTTAAAGGAGAGAATCATATCACATCAATATTAACTGTGGAAAATTAGATATATCCTTACTGGTGACTTCAGTCAAGGTATTTCTGAATTCATTCTGAGCTGGAACTTGTCTTGGGGATTTTTTTCTACCTCTTGGTTCCTTTGTTCTAAAACAGGAAGTTGGTTTGGCTGAAGTTTATATATTGTGGTTTCTGGTTCACATACAGTGTACAAATTTTTTATTTTGTGCTCTTCAAACTATACTGGTTTATTTTCTGTTTACACATTTTAGTTAGTTAAGATACCGGTACATCGAATGAAAAAAAAAATTGGGTACAATTATAATATATTTTGCTATACAATGTATTTCAATTAACCATTGTATAAAAGGCCTGCCTTTGATTGCAAACAATACTTTAACTTGTTGCAAAACAATTATAATCAGTTTTGGTAATGATATCAAACTATTACTACTCCAGGAGTAAACATTTCTCTTACTTCATATTAGACCTACATTGACTAAACCTTGCTTTATCTCATATTATTTTTACATTGACTAAACTTTGTCTTAATCACTTTATATTATTGATACAATGACTACACTTTGTCTTACTTTAAGTTAATATTACCTGTACTGCTATGTTGACTAAACTTAGTATTGCTGTGTATTATTGATATAATGACTAAACATTGCCTTACTCTGTAACATTAATATACTGACTATATTTTGTCTTACATAGTTTTACATGTATGTACATCGCATGTATTTTGATATTTACTGAACTTTATATTAAAAAATGTACCTTGTTTTACAGATATGTCAATTGACTCTGTATGACATTGTAATAATGATACATTGACTAACTTTGTCTTACTTTGTAATAATGATACATTGACTAACTTCGCCTTACTTTGTAATAATGATACAGTGACTAAATGTCTTTTTTTAAGTTTTTCTACATCAACTTAACTCCATCTTACTTTGGTGTTGTTACAGTGTCTTCACTTTTAGTTGCTTCCTGTTGGGCGGGCTTATCCTCCTTTTGAACATTCTGCAACTTTTGTTCCTTCTGGTGTACCATTCCTGTGTTTGAATAAGTTTCAGAAGATTTCCCAGAATTTCCTGTAATCCTTGTTTTGGATCTTTCCTTCAAGGCTCTCCTTAACACTTTTGATGATCGTGGCTCGTCGTAGTCAACCCGGTTGTCAGTTCCAGTAACGGCCTTGTCACCTTGGTAACCAGTCTGACGATGCTTAAGAGCAGTAACTGCAGTCTCTGGTTTGTCAGTCAAAGGCTTGGGCAACATGTATTTTTTTTCCAAATCCTTTAATAAGCAATTGTCACATAAAGTTATGTATGTCAGAAAAATCTTCATCCCTGTATCCATTGTTTCACAACAAATGTTGCTTATACAATCAATCATAACCATTAACACAGTTTTAACAAAATTTGAAAGTTATCTTTTATCCAGTCATGAAATTTACATACTGTCAGTGTAAGATCTGATCAAAGTCTAATACTCAAAGAATAGAGGATCATGAGTTAATCCATTACTCTATACTGACACTTAGTTCCAAACATCAGTTTATTATGTACCTCCTTTTCTTCCTCTCCATCTTCCTCCTCAGATGATAGTCCCTCATAACCTTGGCCATTGTTCCCCGGTATATCCGCAAGAGCAGAGGAGAGAAGAGAGACTTTCTGTAGAAGGACTTGTATGATACCCTTGAAATTTCTAATCTGGCCTTCTCTCTGGGTGACCCGATCTTCCAGGATTGTAACACACTCCTCCAGGTCTACAGATACCAACAAGTCATTTTATAGCAATTATATTAACAATAAAATATATCAGAAAAGACATACATATGACTGAAAAAAATTATAATGATCAATTATCATCAAAACTACATGGTTGTCAATAACCTGAGAAATAACATCTTTATTTTCATTTCCATGCAAATACACTTGTACATTATACAAGTACACATCATATTCAGCAAAGTATTACTATCATTTGACACTATCTCAACAAAAACAAGAGATCCCAGGGGTACATGCAACATGTCATCCTTTGATCTTCATTTGTTCACCAAAAGTTGGATTTTTTTCCTTCTCTTCATTTCTCTGTTTATGCTCTTAATTATATGAAATTTGAAATCATGTCAGAGAAATAGCTATGATATTTTTCCATTAATTGTCAAATACAAGATGGTATATCATGTCGTTTTTCAAATCCATCATTCAAAAGTGAAAAGAGTAAAGGTAACCAATGTGTGAAAATATCCTTACAGCATTACCCAAGAAAGTGCAATGACAATATTTCCTTGTCAAAATCTGAGATGACTTCCTGTAAGCCATTTTGCTTTTCTTTCTGATCAGTCCTATAAGCAAATAAAAAGGAACAACTATGGACCTAGTGGTGATGTGGGGGACCTACATATAAAATTTAAGAGAGATCCATCACATGCTTCCCAAAAAAATAGTGATCACAAACTTTCACTGTCAAAATCCAAGATGGCGAACTGTCAGCCATTTTTTTTTTTTTTTTTGTATGTTAGTGATATTATAGATCTATCTTACCAGATACTTTGGCTTTCGAATCCTCTGTTGTCTTTTTATATTTCCTACAAAAACAAAAGAGATCTCACCAATCAAGCTGTTAAAAGAACACAGTGAAACTTTATAGGTTTACCAACATATATGTGGAAGTTTAGTAATTTTGTATATACTACATAAGTATTTATGTATCTGCACATTTTTGTTCACTAGATCATTATGACCTCAATCTGCTTCATACACTTCAATACATCAACAATGAAACCTAAACATCTGACATTTTACAACTACATTCATCATGTAAAACTAATTTAATATCATTTTTTATAAATTTTTGAACATGATACTAATAAATATCAATATTCAGGTAAATCAGGACTTACTGTTGTTCGTCTGTTAGTCTTTTCATTATTCTTCTATTTGATAACTTCAGATCATTTACGTAACTGAAAAGATCCTGAAACTGTACAAAACATAAACTTAAACTTAAAAGAAATCTATTATGAACTTCATACACTTAAAATATTGATTGTTTGGAATCAGCTTAGTTTTGATCCTAAAACTTTCCCTTATCATTTATTCATTGTCTATGTAGATAAATGACATGTACATATTGTAAATTTAGACTATATATACTCAGAATGTACAAACTTTAGATCAGATTTTGTTTCTAGGAGTTACAATACTCCAGGATGGATATTCAAATGGCCATATATGATAACTACAGATATCACAACAGCTCAAAAAGGATTTAGCAGTTACAATAAAACCTGTTTCAGAATACAGGTTATAGCTAACGACTACAAATTGTGTGTTTCATGGTAAAATTAGGACAGCTCTTGACTGAGTTTAAACTAAGAAAAGTGTAATGCATGCATTTAAGAAAATATGATACTTATTTACCTCAGTGTAAGCCTCCTGTAATTTGGGAGAAAGGCCATTCAAGTTAGTTGATGGTTGTCCGCAATCATTTTCTGTTGTGGACGGATTATTGTTGTCATCTTCATTAACAGGATTATCTCCCTTGTCATCTTGCACACCAAGTGTAATGGTTGTGACTGGTTTAACTGGACATTCCTCAGACATCATTTTATTTTCAAAGAGTGGTTCTTCTTTGACCGGTTTGACTACAAACGTACCCTGGACTGGAGCAGTTTCTTCTGATGGAAACACATTAGAGATATTCCCATCATCATCCTGCCAGCTTTCTTTACCATCTTGACTAGGAAAGACACATTGGCCATTGTAGAGTGACTTAATGAGTGGTTCTTCTTCTTCATATGACTGCTCCTTGCTGCTGGTGTGTAATAAAGCAGGTGTATTACCATCTGTCCCTAACTGTGGCATTGCCCCTGTGTCCTTGACTACAACTTCAGTCCTTTGTTGTTCTGCTGTGTCCATTGCTACAGCTCCAGACCTTTGTGCTACCAATGTGTCTTTTTCAACAAACTGCGATCCTTGTTCTATTCCATTGTGGAATTCTTCACCTCTTACTCCATGCTGTCTTTGCTCTGTGCTATCACACTTTTCATCTGTGTCTGTCACCACTGCTGAAGTGATTGGTTTGTCTGGGTGAAACACATTACTGTTATCTTTGACCTTGAAATGCTCTGTTGACCTTGAAGATCGATCCACTGATGATCCCTGCATTTCAGACCTTTGATCTGCTTTATCTGCAGATGATACCAATAAGTCACCTTTTGTTGGTTTCTTTGAAGTTTCTTGGCCCATTCTCATCTACACCTGAGCTGGAACTGAGCATGCATACATTATTCAGAAAATATGCATGTTTGCATCACTGCATCATATATTGATTAAATTGTCATTCTGTATCTTTTTCAGATACTCACTTAAAGATTACACTGTACATCAAAAACACTAGGTTGGCTTACGTACAAAAACGATGTACTAAATTCTTCCCAACAAAAGGCCCATAAGGCATGTATCACTTACCTGGATGTTTCAGCCTTCACAGTACAAGATTTTTCACAATTATGTTGTAATATTCTTAAGTATTTCCTAACAGAAATATTTTAACGCATTAAAACAATTAAGTTAAAATACCCTCATCCAAATGATGAGGAATAGCCACTGGATGGGCCAAACCCATAATTTTTGTACGAAAATGACTCCTTTCACCTTAGGGCCCTATTGGATAAAATGGTCATATTTACAGATGCTTTGAAGAAAGGATTTTGAATTATGAAATGACAAGATATTGCTGTTAAAGAGAGAAACGTATAGTTATACAAAATCCTGTCCACAATTAATTCTTTTGTTGACTTATTGAAGCACCAAATGATAATCACTCTTACAGGGAATTGTTTCATTGGTGGCTGGCATTAAAACTTATTTTAAGGCATACATATATGTAGGTAAAGATATCAATAGACAAGGAAGTGGATATGTTTGAAATTGAATAGGTACTTGTCAAATAGTTTCACCCTTCCAAGCTTTGTCAGGACAAAGATTTCTACTTTAGCTCCCCTAAGGTAGATTACATAAAATGTTGCTTCATATCTGCTAAAAATAGTATATCTGCTATTATGATGGTATCCAATTTTGAGCTCGATAACTCATTGTATATATGTATATGTGAGTTTAACACCTTCAATTTTTACCAAATAATCCAATTCAGTGAATTTACCTATGTGATATTTTTATATGTATGTCAATAGTGTAATATATCCTGGAGTATTTTTCTTTGGCTGCACCAGCCAGAAATCAGTATCATATCATAAGGACAGACACAATGTCATGAACAGAAAGTAGCACATTAAAATGGCTGTTTCCATTTGATTTGGTCCTTGGCATTTTGCTTTTAAACTTGTAAAATGCAACTTCCATAAAATAGTTATAAAATAGAAAGTCTGTTAAATTTGTTTTCATTTCATACAAGATGAAACTAGTTTATAAAAGTTTAAAATTCTGCTTGCAAAGGCTCGCCAAAAAAAAACCAAGGCGTCCACATGAAATAAAAACTCCATTTAAGATCCCTTGTAGACAACAAAATACAAGTGACATCGATGTAAAGAATGACGTAAAAGTTCAATACGCTGTGTAACAATACCTTCTATGCGACCGTTTCTTTCCGCAGAGACATGAAAATACACCAAATCAAACGATGATTAGTGGGAAAATCTACTTTCGTTTTGACTTGGAATCAATTTCCTTATTCTATATTTAACATTATTTTTTTAAATCAATAAAAAAAATCACAATAAAATCTCAAAACAATTATCACTTTAGATATCCATTATCAGTAATGTATGTATAAATATATATATTATATATATATATATATACATATATTATTTATCATCAAATAGCAGTAGGAAATACAAACCTCTCCATGGCGGTGTTCAACATAAATGATCTCCCGATTAAAAAGTCCGCATTTGACGACTTCCGGTGAGAACGAAATTAAACATTTCTTTTCTGTTTATTTTCCTCCCTTTTGCTCTGTCTTTTTCTTCAATATATACTTGTTGAAGTAGAAAATTTCTAATTCATATCGTTTTCTTCAAATTTCGCATTTCGACATACTTTCGGTTTCCTCATTTTACTTCCTGGAATAGACGCCATTTTGCCTAACGAAAAGTATTTGTCGATTATCTGCGTTTAATGATGACATCTTTGGTTGTAACGGAGAGTCTGCCATCTTTTACTCATGGTAAGGATCGGTGTTAAGCAATATCAATTTTTAAGTCTTTTGAAATGTCATGATAAACTTAAAACCCGTTAGATAATCAGAAAATACACTAATATACTATATATATGTGTTAAAAAAGGGACTAACCTATCCGAAGAAAGCCAATTACACACTCAATACTGGAATGGGCCTTTCCATTTTCTCATTTGATAGATTAGTTCACATTATACTTGACATTGTTGATTGACTAATAAAAATTGTTGGAAGCAGCAAATTGCACTTTGCTTGTCATGATGTTTGAGGATAGCTTCATGTATTTCAGTTATTTTACCTGTAGGTATTAAATTGAATAACAGCAAATTGGTCCTAATTTTGAAGATCGTTTTGTGCAAATGCTACTGAAGTAGGTTTAATGGTCTCAAAATAATGACTGACATTTTAGCATTTGGTGTATTATTTATTGAAATGTGCTATGATATACATGTCGTGATAACATGATCAATCAATCACTACATTACATGTATATGTGCCATGGTATACCAAACTAACGAGCAAATGGCATTGCAATATGTTGCCCACACATGTATAGACACTCAGTAATCATACAGAGATCTTGAATTACTTTTTCTTGTGTATCTACCAATATACTGAAATAGAATGAAAAGAGCAAGGCTCACATTCACAAGGAGTTGGAATGAGTATCTTGTGAGTACAACTCATTTAAGATCTATCTGTCAATTAAAAGATTAAGAAAATTCTCACTAGACATGACTAGTACATAATTTAATTTTAAGGTTTTGCTACATTTTGTTATAAAATACTTCATGTTATACAATAAAAAAACAAAGAAAGTGTGAATGTCGTCGTTAATTCTGTTGTCCGAGATATTGTGATTTATCTGAAAATCACACTTTTGACTCAACAGGGATCACTTCAGTATGGGTAGCCCACATTTTTGACATCATAAATTCAATGCTGTCAAAACAGCTCCATAGAAATATACCCAGTGCCAAGAAGCTTCTATCACATGTTCAATATGCAAGTTTTTTGGTATGTGATATATTCACTTACTTATGAAGGTTATATTTAAAGTGTTACATACATATAGAAATGACTTTTGTGCATGTTATTTCAATGATTTTTTTTTCGTTTGAGTAGACAATGTTCTGTATGAAGGTATCTGAACACTAATGTGAATGCTGTCTACATTAATCTGTGTTTTTATAATTCATGAATCTAGTGACTGTCAGTATCATACTTTATTTTATTATCCAATTGATTTCTATGACAAATCCTTAATTATACAACACAAATCGACAACCTATGAAAATTTCTGTCAAATTAATGAAAGTGCATGTGCCGCCCCTTAGTTCTTAGATATACCATTGGAACTAATATACCAGTATAAAAAAATCTCTACTCATAATGGGCAGCAACACATGTATTATAAAATGCAGCTATGAAAGCTGGAAAAAAATGAAAATAAGATTGTTATATTAGTTGTAGAAGTTATTTTGAACAGGTGCTTTCATTAGAGGTATGGAGAGGAGGTCATTTTGGTTATTTTGATGCTTTACTCATTTCAGTGATTTTAAGAAATTAACATGTGTTAAATGTACCAACCAAAATTAAGGAATGTTGCTGAGGGACAGCTGTCCATTCAAGTATAATTAAGACAGCAATGCATCAATAACCCATATGACCAGGCTTATGTATTTTATTCATTGATATTTGTCTTCAGGTTGGTCCTTTATACTTTTCCTCATTATCATGACTGAGGGCATTGTTGTAAATTGTAAAATCAAAAGGAGCATAACCTACACCAATCCGATAACTAACTTCAATCCCAGGATACCCCTTTGATACCCTGACACAGGATAAAGGTGTTTATAGGGAATCTTGCTGTGACAGCATGTGACACAAGTGTGTTAAGTGTTGTTAACCTATACAAACATTTCACACCTTAGCAGACTAAGACAGTGAACCAAGATGATTTAACATTTCTTAGTTCTTATGTTTGAAGATGCTAAATCATAACTTGTGTATATCACATGTATATAGAGAAAAAATAGAACCTCATGATTCATTTATATATTTTTTTTTTAAACTATAATTACAGAACTATTTTTATTGAAGTCTGTGATATAATTAAAATTATACATAAGTACTGTAAATGAAATAAAATATTTGAGTTGGTGACCTTATATAAGGTTATGATATATACATAATATGTCATTCACCTTATCATTAATGAAAAATAGCAGACACCAACAAGGTTATTTTAAGAATAATGATATATTTCTGTATTTTTGGAACGAAGTAGTACCATGGTATATAACATGAAAGTACAGAAATTCTGGCATGAAGTCGGTACAGCAAATATATCATCAGTGATAAGAAACTGTATATATTGCTATCAGGGTTCATTACCATTGAGTCATTGGTTTGGTTTCAATTAAACTCTCTAGTAACTTTAAATAATGTTTTTTGTACTTGTGGTAATCCATATGAAAACATCTTTCACTGCCCTTTGTATGTAGTTATCTTTATTCCAATTAAAGGAATACTTCAATCAGAGATTTCACTACTTTGGTTATTGCGCCCAATTTGGATACAATTTTCTTCGATAAAATTCGTCTTTCCGTACACCTTAATTCAAATGTCTTTTGTGCAGTCCTTCAATAAGTCTAGTCACAGATTTTGATAGTAATCATTATTGTAGATATTCAATGTAGGCATATTTCCATAATAGGGATTTTTTCAATATATAAATGTCTATAACTGGCACATGCCTTATCCTTTGTTCTTAGGTTGACATTAAATGTTTAAATTGATCAGTTATGGTAAATTTCATATGACTGTTTACCGTCTACATAATGTTATCATCAGAATTATCAAATTCTTCAAAATGATTAAAACTTTCATTTGCAACTTAATTAAACACTAAATAGCATAGCTGTTCTTGATCTGGCCTATTCACTCCATAGTGGCTACTACCAGTTGTTGAACTTGTGACATCACAGCCGATAGGGTCCCATTCATCACGAGTCACCCTTTGGCGAATTAGTATTAGAAGGACAGGTGAAAATCATACACTTTACTCATCAATATCTTGGTGCGGTTTTCAACTTTTTTGATTCAGGATCATAAAAGATGATGTTATATTCAATGCTGTTTTCACTCTGGGTACACTTTAAACTGGAATACTTTGGCCTATCCAATTGTAACAAAGGTCATAATTTATCTAAATGCCTCCATTAGGATTTGAACCCAGCGATTGAACTAAAGAGAATTTCCAAGCAGTATATTGTTACTAGTATTTTATTAGTTACTCTTTTAAAACCCAAAACTTCACAAAGACTTTAATAATTTAAATTGATGGTCTTTAATACCTCAAACCAAACCTCTGATTCTCTAATAGCATTTTGATAGGTTATAACAGCAACAACAGCAAATCTGCACTGTATAGGTATATACTGAAAGGTATAAGGATATTTGATACCTGTCATATTGTTCTTAGCGGAAAGCAAAAAGAAACCTTGCTTTATCTTAGTTATTTCAATTTCCCTTTCAAATTTAAACAAATTGTTCAAGTGATTACTTTTTTTACTTTCAGATTAATTGATTGTTACATCCGTCATAATGAGTTCATCTGATTTACATACCGTTGTCATCAGGAACAAAGGTAACCAGCCGTCATTGAAGCGATTTGAAGTACGTGCTCCAGAGAGGAGGAACGGTATGTTAAGTGCTATCCTTGGCTTCAGGTGAAAAACACTCATTGTACATACTAATCCATATCATCTTTGATTGGATGTATAATTACACTACTTAATAGATTGTGTGACTTTTAACATTACTTAATAGATTGTGTGACTTTAAACTTTACTTAATAGATTGTGTGCTTTAAACATTACTTAATAGATTGTGTGCTTTAAACATTACTTAATAGATTGTGTGACTTTAAACATTACTTAATAGATTGTGTGACTTTAAACTTTACTTAATAGATTGTGTGACTTTAAACATTACTTAATAGATTGTGTGACTTTAAACTTTACTTAATAGATTGTGTGACTTTAAACATTACTTAATAGATTGTGTGACTTTAAACATTACTTAATAGATTGTGTGACTTTAAACTTTACTTAATAGATTGTGTGACTTTAAACATTACTTAATAGATTGTGTGACTTTAAAGGTTACAGGGAGAAATGTTAATTCTTCAATATTGATTTTAAAATTATTCAAGTGTGCAGGTCATTTTTCAAGGGCCTGATATGTTGTTACTCTTGTTGTTTGGCTTCAAACTGACATCAATTACCAATGTGGTGAAGCATTGACTCAAGAACAACAAAATGAAACAGTTGATTTAACTTTTAAAGATTTGTTTTCTTACTTTTTTTTCTCAGAAACATGTGCAAGACAGAGTTTCATACTACAGCTGAGAAAGAAAGTCAAAATGCGTAAGAAAAAGCACCATACAAAGAAGTGGTTTGGTAAAGGCATAAAAATCGAGGTGTTAAGGGACCTGTTAGAGAATAAAAACAATATGCTAGAAGCATATGTAAGACAACTCCTGGAAAACGACATTCGTTTCAATGAAATTGACCTCATTCAAAACCAGCTGCAGTTCGAAGTGTTGATGAAGGACGAGACAGACATTGGCTTTACAGTGAACACTTGTCTGACACCGCTCAGTGCCTGGTCAGTTGATAGTTCCAATCCCACTACAGCTTATTTTAACAGTGTAGATATAGATGAAATATCAGTTGGTCAAGGATACTTGTTTTTTGATCAAGTCTTTATCACAGAGAATCAGAAACACTGTAACAAAGAAAGTGCATTGGATCCAAAAAGCACTGATAAGGACAGTGACCCAGTGATAGGTGATGAACAGGTTAAGGACGTCCAGGAAAGGCTGGATGACAAAGGTGAAGAAAAAGATGAATCCAAAGCAAAATTTACAGCTGGAATATTCAAATTTGAAAGGTCAAGTACAAGACATAGTGGATTTGAAACTGTAAAATCGCCTAGTGAGGAAAAGCTGTTGTGTGATATGAGCTTGAATGCCTTAAAAGAACCTGTTACCCTGGCAATAGATACAAAATCTAATGAGGAAAGTGGATTGGACGATTCAAAAGTTACTGATATACAGGACTTGTTGGACCAGGAAAGGTTTGATGTAAATAGTGCAGATAAAGATAGATCTGAGGACATATATAGCACTGGAGGACTCGGGGGTTCCAGTTCTGGTACAGAAAAAACATTTAGACATGCTAGAACAGACTACGGAAGACGGGGTATTACAGACCAAGTGAGAGAATTTAGTAGCATCAACTCAATCAGTGATTCAGTAGAAAATGATGCTGATATCAAAAGAGAATTTAGCGAAAGACAAGCGACATCAAAATCAGTGATGGATGGATCTACTGAAAATAAGGTAAAATTCTTTGCATATTTGTCAAGAAATTTTGATAGCAGTATTCACAGCATATGTCACCTTATATACATCCTATGTAGAATGAAAATAAAACAATATCAGAAATCAAACAAGTCAAACTTGTATGTGCAATATTGATTTTGAATTTCAGTTCACTTGTCTGAATTCAAGTATAGCATATCATCCATCTGGTATTTTTCCGTTAAGCAAATCCTTCTCAACATCCAAGAGATGCAAGGTCATGGTATTCAGTCTGTTGAATGCTGATATGAAGAGCTGCTAATTTTATTCTAATGATTATCAAATTTTCAAATGACTACTTCTGAATTACAAAAATGTCTATGGTTATGATATTTGTCATGTAACATTTTTTTTTTCATTTTTTTTTTTTTTCGGAAGATTTTACATGGTATATACATGATGACATAAAATCACATTCACATGCTTTCACACTCACTGATTTTATGTGAAACTGTTTATCAACATCGTTATTATCATTACACATCATCATCATCATGCATAACATAATTATTATCCATACATCATTATTTATCATCATAACTAAATGACTTAAACTACATGGTGTCACTTAAAGGATTGTCATCACCATCAAACTGAACTTTAAAATTTGAGAATTATTCTCCACTCATTCACTCATTTTCTCACATCAACACACATCCCTCATCCCGAAAATGTTTAGTAAAGCCGTACCTAGATAAGCAAGAGAAATCTTACAGACTTAACATTTTTTTTAAACCTTTGAGAGAGAGAGAGAGCTAACAACAGACAGAGAGAGAGCTAACAACAGAGAGAAAGAGAGAGAGATGACAACAAAGAGAAAGAGAGATAGGTACAGTTTCCATCATGATTTATGTAACAAACAGCATTTGTCAATATCTTACTGGTATGAAGCTTTTAGTATATTTAGTTGACTCTGCGAGGTTAAGACTGTACAGCTAGCAAAATTACAAAAGATAACATACAATACAATAATGATAATAGAACCATCCTATAAATATAAGATTGGTTTCTATTTACTCCAGTTTAAACCAAAATGCCTTTTGACTTCTTCATTTATTACTAATGACAATTTTCTACCAAAAACATTATCTTTGATGGCATTCATGAGGCCATTAAGATTCATGAATTTGTGAAGACATCTAGATTTAATAAAATGTAGAGCTTGATAATTAGATTTCATTATCCACATAGCTCCAACGTTCTGAAACTATTTTAAAAAGGGAGGATTCCTTGTTATAGGCATATAGAATTAAAAATACCAAGGTAAGTCCACCAAGTGTTCGAATATCTGGATAAAATGCTTGGACCTCCCTACATTCCCATAGACAATGGACAATGGTCCACATTACAAAATGTACATAGTGGGTTAGGATGTAGTTTTACTTTATAAAGAAATGTGTTGGTATCCAGCATATGATGTATGGTTCTAATACTGTAATTTAGAAGTTTTGGTTACTGTATAAAGTAGTTTATATTTTTTAGCACTTTTCCATATCAATACCCTGGTTCCATTTTCTTGTTCCAGTAGGTATTGACACTGGTGTAATAATACAGTCATAAAAGTCTTTGGAACCTCATCTAGTGAAAAATATTTTTAAAAATGAAAGTCAAATTTTCTTTAAAAAAAAAATTCACTGCTGTCACTAGTGCATGGTAGTGTAGAAAGTTGGTGTTAATTTGAAAATGAGGCAGAAACTCATCAAATGTATAAAAGGTGAAATCATTTGGTTTTTTAATTAAGTCAGTTAATGTAAAAACTCCAGTCCTAAACGAGTTCAGATAAAAAACAAACTTATTAGTAACCAGTTCGTTATACCAAGGAAGTGTCTTCAGGACAGAACTTTGTCAAACAGTTCTCATGGATTCAGAGTTGTTCATAATACTCCAAGCTTTAAAGACAACTTTCTAAAATAAATTGCGATATTTCATTCCACATACATTGATATATTCCTTCCCACAGTTAAACATCTTATCAAAATCTGTAGTTGACCTAAGAATCAGATTCCATTTAGCGGATGACTGAACTATTCTTCTCACCCAACAGAGCTTTAGTGACTGAATGAATGCATGTAAATCAACTATTTTTTGGCCACCATCTACCTGATGACATTTACAGGTACCATTCCATATAAAGTCAAATAATAGAGAGTTGACCCGCTTATGTATGCTTCAGGTGGGTTCGGCAAAGTGATGAATAGACAAATCAACAGTAACTAGTGATTTAATGACATTAATCTTACCTATTGCAATTACACTCTGTCTTTTCCATGTATTAAGAAGTGATTTCAGTTTTACAATTTTTTTATCGAAGATGACTTTAGGAATTTGACTCAAGTCAACTGAAAATTGTATTCCCAAAAAAGTAAACTTATTTTTTCCCTACTGTAAGTTAGGTCTAGACTGAAGTAAATGTTACATCACTGTATGTACAACTCCCTAGACATAAAACTTGTGTTTTACTGGTGTTGATCTTTGAGTCAGATATTTTTGCATAACTATTCATTTAAAACCTCAACTTATTTAGTGATCTCTCTTGGCCATTTAATATTAGCCCTGTGACTTCAGCATAGAGAACATAGTATGAATGCTAAAGTTTTTCGTCCGTCAGTTTTTACGGGAGATTTGACTCTAATCCAGTATCACTGTGTATTGCTCTGGTTTCTGGTTCTTGCACTCGTCGAAGATCCTAATACAGGTTTAATAGTATCCACTAAAAAAAGATATCACTGCCTGATACAAGGATTGTATATATTTCCTCAAACATGTCACATGTATAGGGTAGTGACTAGTGGTTACCCTGGTCAGCTCAAACCATGTCTAGTGTACACATGTTCCAGAATAGTGTTTTTACCTCCGATAATTCCATAGAAATGACTTTAATAGAATTGACAAAACTACACTAGACATCCATGACAAAATCGGTGAACCTCTATATCAGAAAAATGTAATAAATTACAGTTTTCTACCAGAGCTCAGAAGACCCTGTCTGTCAATCACATCCGACCATGTGACCCACCTTGTCATGTAACATGTTGGGATGAATGATGTTTTCTTCTTTCAAATGTGATCTTTAAAGTGTACCCTGAGAGTAATTTTATATTTAGATATAATGTTAAGAATGCCGTAAAAATAATAATAATGAAAACCCCGTCAAAATCCGTCGCCCCAGTGTCGAGTTATTAAAGCTCAAAGTTGTCAATTTTAACCTGTCCACCCGGACCTAATCAGCCGAATCGTCATTTCCGCGGAATCGAGGCTCTCCTACTCGTGACGTCATAAGTTCAACATAAATGGCAGTCAACATGACTGACGGTGACAACGACACTGCAACTGAGAGCGATTTGAGCATGAGTTTTGAGGAGTCTGATTATGGTGTGAATGATATGTCTGAAGACGGAATCCAGCCCAACCGATTTGAACTGGAATTACAAGACGATGTATCCAGTGAGGAGGAAAATGACCCTTCGAAAAGTGACGATCGCTTGGGCAACATAGATTGGCACATACTTCACTGGGTCTCACCAGTAGTGGTGAAAGTAGTCGAACAGTGAATCGTCGTTTCAAAGAAACAAAATAAAATTGGGTGTGGTTTTGGACTAATTTTACTATCTTCAAGTCTCGATCAACAATTTCTGATGTCGGGAAATCGCGTTTGTGCAAGACTATGCATACATTCACGAGGTGTCGGGAATTTTCTTACTGAAGAAGTTTCGTCCGAGGGGAATTTTTCTTTCCAGGGAATTTTCATAGCACTATGGATATATATAGATAGGGTGTCAACAACCAATTATAACACCCTCCGCTGTGTTAATAATAAAAATTTGATGTTTTAGAAGTTTAAACAATTATTTGACTGGTTTTTACCCTAGCACTGGTACGCGTCTGTTGTTAGCCGACAGGCGTGTCACCTCACAGGTGTCACAATTGTTTTTTCCAGCCACAGAGGTGCTAATTACCTAGCCTGGCACAGGTGTGATTATGAGTTTAGATGACATCTCTACACTGTGAACTGTGTTTTCAAATCAAGATTGGTGATCTTATTGTTATTTTTACGATCGCAAAATTAATAACTAAACAACATCGTCTGCTGGAAGATCTAAAAACCAAATACACCTTATACAAACAACATACACACATAACCTATTCTATAAATTCTAATAATTCTATTCTATATTATATAATAGTAGTATGAAAATTCTCGGGGTGAAAATTCCCGTGACCCATTCACGACTAGGCCTTCGAGTATTAGGCGTTCACGATTACGAAGGAATAATATTCCTATGACCGCCCAAGTCATAGGCTAGCCTATCAATTTAAAATGTTTAGTTGTAGAATTAATAACAAAATATCAACCTAACAAATATACTTTTATTTAATCAACAATCAGTTTTATTTATCGACGTCATGCATCGACACCCCATCCGTGTTAGTGTTAGGACAACCATACACACCGCTTCCCTCCTCGATAGGAAGCCATTTTAGCGGATTTAAGCGCTAATTCACTGACCCCTCGTTCACTACCTTAGATATTGCGAAGATGTGAAGTACTTTCACGTAAATAAACAAAGAAATTACCACGGAAAATCCCAAAATAGATCACAATCACATGTAGCACAGTAAAGACAATATGGCTGCATCAACAAAAGCGTTGAACTTATGACGTCACAGGTTTGGGTGCCCGAAAACGAGGTCAACGCCTCTCAGCCAAAGGTGTGTTTTTCAGAAAAGTCGCAATTTCTCAGTAACGGAACATTCCACGGCATTTGCGTTTTCGGCATAGTGTATTTTATGTGCAGAACTATTTTTCAAGGTCAACATAGCTGACCTCTCAGGGTACACTTTAAAGCAACTTCCTCTTATTGACTATGATGCCCAGGGTCATGATATTGGGCAGCAGCATGCTGGAATAAAGATTTTTTAAAGTCTGTTCATATGAATGAAAATCAAACAGCCTCCTTTTTGATAATATATCCAAGATACCCAGAGTCTCTTATTTCATCTTAACATGTACTGTAAAGAAAGGTTATGACCTTTGGGATGAAAATGAAAGTATCAGAGTAAACTCTCCCAATAATTTTGTCTTTATAAGCTGTAAGTGAGCTAAATTCTTAGCTGTGAAAAGTTGCTGGGGATACACACATGCTGTCTAAAGGAGGGCCAAAGTAGCAGAAACTTAAATTTACAGGACTGATAAAATAAAACCAATGTAGATAATATGATTAACGATAAATCTACTGGAACATTATAAGCGTTATAGCCCTAGGGCAGCAAGTGAAGTCTCATACCAAATTATCAATCTAGATGAAGTGGTCTTATAATTACTGTAAACAAATTCACAAGCAACTCCAAGTCACAGCATTTTATATCTGTGCTAAACTTTATAGATTTACTGTTTTTGAGGCTTTTTAATCAACATAATAACCATATGATTCAGAACCTGGGTGAAACGATGTCCAGCAATTAATCCACGATAGATTAATGCACCTACCTATATGTACCAGATGTTGAAAATATATGTTAAGCTCAAACTGCACAGTTTTGTAATTTCCTGTCAAACATTAATGGACTGGTATGAAAATATATGTTAAGCTCAAACTGCACATTTTTTCTAATTTCCTGTCAAACAGTAATGGACCGCTATGAAAATATATAGTCTATTTTAACTCATCAAAAATATTTATGGGCAGTGATCCTTTATTATGCAGAAATTAAAAGTTTATATTCAGTCATTCATTTTGGACAGGTAAGGCTACTTGTAGCCTCCCTCAAACTGCATATGCCAATTAATATTCTGATATCCAGCTTTTGTTCTGATCTGTGCCAAGGATTTTCTCTTGCAGTATCCAATATGATACAAAAGTTTACATGGAAACAACCGACATACAAGATTTCTGTGTGAAAATGTCATTACCATTCTTGAGCAAAGTATACAGCCTTTGTTTTATTTGATCATGATTTAGCTAGTTAATACTTCTATCCAATCAGAATCAGTGACAGTTAATTTAAATTTTATTTTTTTTCTCTAGCTTGTCCCTGAGATAACTGACACATTCAATAGAGAAGACCACGTAATAGATGGTGATGTTCAGGACCAGGTAGGTACTTAACTGTTCAATACTTTGTGATAATATTACAAAACAAACTAGTTGTCACTGCTCTCTATAATAAAGAGCACAATCTTAGTCTGATAAGATCAAGGTCGTGTTCTATAGATTCAGCTCGTCTTTCTGTCTGTCTGCAGCTGTCTGTAAAAAAATTTGCTCAGGCAACTCCTCTTGAACTTGTGAACCAATTTCATTAAAAATAGAAAATATACACAAGCATATAAAGGACTATTTGTGGACATACAAATTCATACACATCATCCCTACTTGACGAATCATTTCCTGTAATCTTGTGACTTAATGACATGCTTGGAGGGATTTTGATGAAATGTTAACTGCAATAAAAGACCATTTTATCTAAATAGGGGTTAGAGTTTTAGGGTTCTAGGATTAAGGTCAAGGTCACTATCATTATTTTTATTTGCCTTTCAAAAATCTTGATGGAATATATAGTATTATCAGTACATATGTCCCTTGCATACTTTTATTTATGTAGAGATCTACAACTAAAGTTTTGATTCAAACTCTTTAAAAGTTGGTAAGCTTAAATGATATCACCTCACCATGGTTTAAAGTTGTTTTTTCTTAAATTGCAGTTTGATTAAACTAAATTTGGAAGAGCTACTGTTGTTTTTTCGTTTGATATTGATGGCTTATTTGACCTGTTACCTTTGGCGACCTACATATTGACCTTTGACATATGTTTGCCATTAAAGAATACATGTATATGCAATCATGATAACATACTATTGAATATTAAGGGCATTTGATGACCAATTCAACTTTTGACCTTTACCATGCACTTGAAAAGTATGCCATTTATAAGAATTGATAAGCAATTTAACATACCAATGACATTCAATGACCTTTACAATGTTATTTTAAACCTCAAGGTACAAGTTGAGAGTATCTTCTGCTACAGCAATAATTTCTTGGTCCATCGGCTTGATCACATGCTGTAACGGATACAGCCTATTATTTGACTCATTAGGTGTTTTCAAAACCATTATCATTGACACAAAATCGAGATTTCTGATTGATCTAAATTGAGATGTAGTCTGAATAAGCTGAAAATTGAGATATTGGTTGTCATTTGGTTGCCATAGTAACCAAAAGAGGACCAAATTGGATGAATCTTGTCTGAATATATTACTACCTGTTTTGTTGTGATTTGTGAATGATAGGTAGCAAGAAGTCAGCCATTAACATACATGTTCAGTTTTATTACATCTTTACATCTGACAGTTGAACATATCCAATCCTTGAAAGACACTGTGGTAAATTTTTGTTCTTAAAAACAATTCCAGGAAGTAAATATTTCAATGTTCAAACAGCATGTTTGAGTACATTTCTATGAAATAAATTATGTTTTATAGGAAGCTGTTACAGAAATGTTATTCAGGAATATGGCTGCTATATTGATGGGCCAGGTAATTAGTAGCCAAAGCAAGGCCATTCTTAGGATTAAGGAGGTGTTCCTTAACTTGCAATCAGATGTCTCGGCCTTCTTCTTCAAATACCATTTCTACGATGTCAGAATAACAAAGGATGAAGTTGTTCTACGGGTAAGACTTCCAGCTTTGTTGAACAATATCTTATTGTTTATACTTTAAAACATCCACCTCCTCACTTCGGGTCAGTGATTATATATCATGATGTTAGACATTCAGTTTTCCTTAGCATATTGGTATGATATTATTCTTGTTAATGGTATATGTAGAGTATACATCATTAGATTACACATGATGAACAGTGAACAGGTACTCATAAAAACTTATTCTTTCTGGAAGCATGACATGTTAAGCACCCAAAATTATCAGGGTACGAGGTCAAGCAGGCCAGTAGTGCATGTGATACGCCTCAACAAAATGGTCGTTTGGAAATATGGTCCAAAAACCAATGTACAGACAATCCTTTTTTTTTTTTTCATTCTTCTGATTTTTTTCTGTACACATAAGCTGCACCGGTATATAAGCCTCGCGCCCTACCGCCAAGGGAAAAATCTTCGACTTATATTTGAAAAATACAGTAGAAATCTAAAGAGACTTCCCTGAAATAGTCTTCATAATGTATGTAGTGTCTGTTTGGAATTGATGGAATCTTTCATTACCTTAGTGGTGAGATAGGATGATCTCAACAAGTGTTTATGATAATCCCAAAATTGAAAAAAAAACAACTAATACCGTAAAAACCCATGTAATGTCCGCACTTTTTTTCACCGAAAATCAATCCAAAAAAAGGGGTGCGGACATTACAGAGATATAGAGGAAATGACACTTTTTTCCTTCCGACAATTCATATCATATCTCCTTGAATTGTGTTCTTAAAAGCCAAGCATACCTGATATTATCGTTCTATGGTTTTTTCTATGATGTTTCCTCAACCAAACATGATTATTTATAATTATTTATTATAGTTTCCATGGTTGATTCCTTCCAATTTTTCGTTACAGGTTCGTATTGTGTCGTCCTTCGTAATAGGAAGCCATTTTGTTCGACTTTGTCACATGAATAAAGTTAGAGTTATTCCCCTTTCCCCATTGAAAAAGCATACCCATGAGCATAAACAAAATAACACATTTTCATTCTACATTTTATTTACAAAATAACAATAAATAACATGTACAAGAATATTACATAAAATAAATAATCAGACGTTTTATTGATTATGGATCGTTTATCAGAAAGTCTTAATACACAGCAGGCCGGTTTAATCGCGTTTCTCGAAACCCCAGAAGTCGTCGTCGTCACTGTGGAAGAACTCATCGGCGTTGAAGTTGTCTTCCTCTGTCTGGTCGTTGTAATAAATGGCGTTCTCGTCGTCTGATGGTGTGTCAGTAGGGTCAGTGGCGCCGTGGGTCATGGGCGGGTCATGTTACTGTATAGTTATCGTTAATTGGCTAATCACACGCTGTCATTCACTCACACTCGAGGTGAGGAGACGACCCAAGCTGTTTATAACACTGCTGGGCTAACCCTTATCAAAACACCAATTATCGAAAGGAGGACTTGTCATACTGGTAAGCTTACTGTACCATTATGGAGAATAACTGTTGTTATAAACAATTAAGTGAATTCTTGAATGGTACCTGTATGTTATACACAATGCGACATGCTCTCGGCCATTACGACATTAGCGTACGTGAAATGAAATCGGCAGCTTCAATTTGTATTTTTTACCCGCGGACATTACATGGAAGGTGGGTTTTTCCCCCAGATTTTTGTGTCAAAAAAGGGGTGCGGACATTACACAGATGCGGACATTACGTGGGTTTTTACGGTATGACCTTTCCTTGTGGGATGCATCAAATCAAGTCGACTTATTATCATTGAGAGTCTTCTTTAGACTCATTGATATATTTTGAGTAAACTTTGTGATGTTTCAAAATAAGATAACATGGATGTAAATTCTCAAAATTCTTACAGTCATCTTTCTCAATTTTAAACCTCCCAAGTTGTCTTGTTTCTTATTATCCCCCTCCCAACAAAGTTGGTAGGGGATATTCAAATTTTGATGAATATTTGTTGGTACATTTGTTACCTTAATACCTTTCCCAAGTTTGATTAACAGGGAAATCAGCACATATTTAATGAGACTGCTGTGCCTCTAACTGAATGCTTTCTGCATATTATCTTTTGAAGGAACAAATGAATTATGATGAGACTAGCTTGGTAGACTTGTTACCTTAACCCCTTGTCCAAATTTGATTATTAGCAAATGCTGCATATATTTAATGAGGCTGCTGTGACCGGAAGTAAGAATAAAAGACCTTTAAAAGATTATAAGCATATTTTTACTGATTTTAAAATTTAGACACAACAAAATCAGGGAAGAAGAAGAATAAGAAGAAGAAACAGAACAATAACAATAGGTCTCCAGTTGGTAAAATGCGCTAATAAGCCTAGGATTGTGAATCTCCAAAATGAATTTAGATGTTTAGAAGACTTATCACCAATTAAGATTTGTTTTACTTATAGTAACTTTCTTGCAGTTTTACATATCTGACTATTAGATGCTGTTTTGTATTTTATTAATGTTTAAAACCATTTCACTGTTTTGTCATACTTGAGAAGTAATAGAATCATTGATTGATCCATCATCACTGAAATTAAGAGACAAATATTCTATTCTTACCATTGAGTAAAAGAAGGGAATATGAAGGTATGATCAGGTGATTTTGACATTCACAGTACTATGCTGCTAAGTAGCTATTATATAGATCTCTTTCAACAGAAATTTAAACTGAACATAAACAAGAAAAGGTTTCAATACTTTAGCTTTCCATGTTGCTCTCTTTAAATGTACTTGGTAAATACTTTACAATTGAACATGGGCAGGGAATCTTGATGCTATGTCCTTATCAAATTTGTAACCGTTTTGAGAAGAACTTAATATTTTATGACAAGTTACTTGCATTTAAATCTTGTGTTGTTTAAAGCTGGTAGCTGGGTTAAGGAAACGTGGCTACACCAAGAAAGAGCTTGCTGCGCTCACGCTACTGAATGGTGACCAAAGACATGAGGACCGTCGAACTGATACTCACAAAACATATCGTGATAGCGACAAATGCTTTCATAATGATAGGAGCAAATCCTGGAAAGGGCAAACATCGATAAAAGATTCTCAAAAATCAGAAGGTAGAAACGACATCGGAAACGGGCAAGTACCATCAAAGACTGAAAAAGGAACAGCAGAACCAGGAGATGGACACGTAAAAGAAAGACTAATGAGCTTAGAATCACATAGGGATTCACATGGGAAAGTTGATGAAAGCCATTTCTTCCCCCATGGTCAGCCCAAAACTGATAGTGGTGACACTGAGCCAGACAATGCCACTCCAATGGATTCTCTCTCTAGCGATAATCGTGATTCCCTGGATATGTCTGGCAATCAGGGCCAACCTGATGATGCCACTCATTTACCAGATAGGACTGATCCAGAGGGAAGTGGCAGTTGTCCAAGTGATGATGTTTCAGATGACATGAGTGATGATGGAAGTGAAAATGAAGAATCTGATGAGCTTGACTTTAATAATGACTACCCTGGCATCCGCAGAGTACCTGAAGGTCATGCAGACCATGGTGGAAGGGCTGCTATGGGAACATTCAGGGGTGGACAATCACTAACAGATAGACATAAAACAGTTGTAAACTATTGGAATATAGACCTTGGAGAAAATGGTGAAAAGTGCTTGTGTTCTGCCTTGAAAGGTAATTGATAGATATGCAATTATATATATGGCACATGTACAAATGAATGGTTTATAAAAATTTAGTGACTTATTCATAGTCTACTATAAAAGTTTTACAATTACTTGAGTGCATGTTGACTTTCTTAGTTAATTCGAAACTTGAATTACATGTATTTGTCTATAGATAGTGTTTTTTCATATATTGTCCTGCTCCTAGCACCATGTGTTAACTGTTTCTTTCTGTACATACAGACTGTGTTAGTCAGGAGTATCCTGCTCCTAGCACCATGTGTTTACTGAGTCTTTCTGTACATACAGACTGTGTTAGACAGGAGTATCCTGCTCCTAGCACCATGTGTTTACTGTTTCTTTCTGTACATACAGACTGTGTTAGACAGGAGTATCCTGCTCCTAGCACCATGTGTTTACTGTTTCTTTCTGTACATACAGACTGTGTTAGACAGGAGTATCCTGCTCCTAGCACCATGTGTTTACTGAGTCTTTCTGTACATACAGACTGTGTTAGACAGGAGTATCCTGCTCCTAGCACCATGTGTTTACTGTTTCTTTCTGTACATACAGACTGTGTTAGTTAGGAGTATCCTGCTCCTAGCACCATGTGTTTACTGTTTCTTTCTGTACATACAGACTGTGTTAGACAGGAGTATCCTGCTCCTAGCACCATGTGTTTACTGTTTCTTTCTGTACATACAGACTGTGTTAGACAGGAGTATCCTGCTCCTAGCACCATGTGTTTACTGTTTCTTTCTGTACATACAGACTGTGTTAGACAGGAGTATCCTGCTCCTAGCACCATGTGTTTACTGTTTCTTTCTGTACATACAGACTGTGTTAGACAGGAGTATCCTGCTCCTAGCACCATGTGTTTACTGTTTCTTTCTGTACATACAGACTGTGTTAGTCAGGAGTATCCTGCTCCTAGCACCATGTGTTTACTGTTTCTTTCTGTACATACAGACTGTGTTAGACAGGAGTATCCTGCTCCTAGCACCATGTGTTTACTGAGTCTTTCTGTACATACAGACTGTGTTAGTCAGGAGTATCCTGCTCCTAGCACCATGTGTTTACTGTTTCTTTCTGTACATACAGACTGTGATAGTCAGGAGAGCCTTGCTCCTAGCACCATGTTCCTATTGGACTTGTCTAAGAGCATGCACCAGAGTGGCAGGATTACGCAAATGAAGGAAGCAGTCAGAAACGTACTGCAAGGTAAGTCATGTGTTCAGGTAACAAACAGACCCGTGTTCTATTGCAGTCAAGATGAGGCAATATCAGATTCATTTTCCTGTTATAGTCAAGGTTGAACAAAAACATATTCTCTGTTTTGTTACAGTCAAGGTCCAGCAAAAACAAGATCCTTGTCCTGTTATAGTCCATGTCAAACTGAATCCTTGTGCTGTCCCAATCAAGGTCAAACAAAAATACATTCTTTTATTCTGTAACAGTCAAGATCATAAACACAGATTCTGTTACAGTCCTCGTTAAAAAGAATACAAAAAAAATGTTTACTTTGCTTTCATTGTTTCCACAGAGGCCGCAAGTAAGAACCTTGGAAGTCAGATGTCAGAGACATATGGTGTGGCAGTGTTTGGGCACCGCACAGAAATTCTACAGTATCCTACCAATGATCTACATGAGGTTCAGAATGTACTAGGTAAGCTCCGATATTCTAGATCTTACAAGCTCCTCAATTGTTATGAATCATAATTTTGTAGGCCTTACCTTGTTGTTGTCCCAAGGATTTTGTAAGCCTGTTAATATAGGTCCTTGATATTTTTATAACTTTAACTCAAACAGCTTTTTCATGATTCAGAGATAATAGATATACTTGTAATTTATCCCCTTTTTATAATGTAAGTTAAGATTTTATACAGTCAAAGATGGATTTTTTATAACAACTGAAATTAACTACATCAACACTGTGGCCTTCAGGGGCTTACATGTACAAGTGACAGATATTTTCAGTTTGACAATTTCAGATTTTTCTTTATTCCAGACTTGGACAGATTTGAGGAGCCAGCAGGTCGCTCTCCACTTGGTCTTGGACTAATTCTCAGTACCTGTGTGTGGTTTTCAGAAAAAGGTAGAAATATATACTCTGATATCTTTATTGTATGTACACATATAAACATTAAATTTGTAACTTATCATCAAGTTAAAAGACATCTTGGTATACTGTATAGTTTGTAATGATTGTGGCAGTTTTCTTTCACTGTATTCATTGTCATAAATTAGACCTCTGTTTCAGAGATATAGATATAGAAATCGCCCTATCTGTCTGTCCACAAATTTAGTTCCTTGCTGATTACTGAAGTATTTATTAAACAATTTGCATGAAGTTTGGTCAAGACTTCACTTCACAATTGTTCACCCCAGGGATGAAAAACAAGGTCAAAAGTCATGGTCATCAAGGCCAAAGGTCAATGTGAAATTTGATATCTTTTCACTGATGACCATTTTGTGATGAAGCAAACATCATTGGAATCTACAGGTCAACTGACCAAAAGGCAGGGTCAGTTGGTCAAAGTCAAATTTTGTTTCTTTTTACATTTTTTGATGAAATTATGATGCGACTTTGGTCAGATGCACCCTGATACATTTTAAAAAGAACTACTTTTCAGACACATGGATAGGGTAGGATATCCAAGGAAGTATTACCTATGATATCATAATGTACTATAGAGGTCACCTGAACAAATGGTGTTATACCATTGTAACATGTAGTGCATTCTCTACACATAAATTGTTAATCTGAAAAACTGGAGATAATAGATGAGTTTATTTTGATAGGCACAGGTGGCACGGTCTGGTTACACGGGAGAAAGGTCAAACCTCGTATCGTGGTAATTACTGACCTTGAATTGAATGAAACAGCAAGTGGAGCTTGGGGAATGGCTGGAGACCAAGATATATTTGCATCAGGATCTGCCAAGGTACATGAAACAAGCGATAATATATGATGTTCTTACCTGATATGAATGCAAGAAGATAGCATGTTTGTTGAAACAAATTAAGACTTATTGGGCATTATCATGACAAAAATTGTAATATTTCTGATGATTTGTAAGGCTTCTATAGAAGTGAAAAAAATTCACCTGTTGGAGTGTTTGTAGGATTGACCATGTTTTCTTCAAAGGCACCATTGTCAATAATGGTTTTAGTCATCAATTTTACTTCCTAAAGTTCAAGACGTAAAGAATTATTGCTTATTAATCACGGAAAAGGACAGCTATCAGCTTTGTGCAAATAATTGGCTTAAATTACTATATGCCTAATATGTTCTTCAAATTTGTTCTCTTTCTCATTTTCATTAGACCATTGAGGTGAAGAATGAGCTGATAAAAATAGCTTTGAAGCTTAAAAAGTTGGGAATTCCTGTGTTTCTTATGTCAGTTGGAGACACAGCACATGTAAGTCAATGTATTATTCGTATAAGTGCTATTTGCAGACACAGAATGCAAGTTAAGTTTCTTGTTATTAATTGTGCAAAATTAAAAACTTTCATCAAAATTTCTAAAAAAAAAAAAAAAAATCATCAATCTGTACCAGCTTCATCTGAATTGAGAAAAAACTTGTAAATAAGATATATAATATAATGTTTCAGGAGAAGTTTACTTTGTAACCATTACCATATCTGAAATGTATCGGGTTCTAGTAATATTTTTGTTTCAGACTCGTCGCCATTTTGAACCGGTCATTGAAATGACAGGAGGAAAACTATTAGATATTAAATTTGGGGGACAGCTTGGCCGACAGACGTGGCAACAGGTGAATACTCAACACTCTTAGTAATGTTGTTTTTATTAGGATGTCGTTAATACTTCATGGAATCTCACTGACCTCCCACTGACCCAACAGCTTCTCTAATCCGACAGTCAACATTGTATAAAGTATCTGCTTTCAAGCGACATACTGTTTAGGTTTTACTAACTGATTTGTTAGATTTAAGAAAGTCTTGATTTCACTTGTCAAGTCACAGGTGGGGGTCCCTTGGATAAAATACAGAGGCCATTTTTTATATTTACCAAGTTTTTTTTAGGTCGCTAGAGACAAAGTCTCATGGTGACCTATTGTGATCACCTTTGTCTGGCATTGTGTGTCATTAAAAATTTTAACTTCTTAAAAATCCCTTATACAATTTCAGTGAAATTTTGCAGAAACCTGTCCCACAGGAGCAAAGGCGGTTAGGGCCTAAAGGGTCAGATTGACTCAAATTTAAAAAATCATCTACTCAACACCCAGTTATGGTAGAATCAATTGCTCTTCTTCTGAATGGAAGCATCACCAAAATTTCATCATCCCAGGATCTCACATGTGAGGAAGGAGTAAAATTTAGCGTAAATTTGCGTATATAGTGCACACTTTTTTGGGCAAAAACTGTCATGTCAAAAAGAGGGTGCATATTATATGCAGGAACATGCCATTCTAGGGGTTATTGTTCTCGAGTTCTCTGTCTGCCATATTAGATTACCTTCCTTCACATGGTTATATTTAGAGTCATCAGTTATATATGGTAGATTGAAGATAAGTTAACAAAGAATAAGTGTACTTGATAATAACCATTAATTATCAAATTAACCTTGCCTTCCATGCTTGTTAAATCAGGGACCTGAGAGAATTTGTTTACATGAGATAATTAAATGTGTTAGAGTCACGCTCATTGTGGTTTCCTAATTATCAATGAATAGAAACATCAACTATTGCACTGTGGTAACCGATAATCAATATATATATATATTTATATATATATTTTGAATCTGACCCTAAAAACATACCTGCACACTATACTCGAGTGCGCACTATACCCACAAATTTATGGTGTTATAGTGTATATAGGAAAAAAGCATTTTTGAGTGTAATTTGTTTAATTTCCTAAGAAAATATTTCAACCTTGGTTAGAATTACGCGTGAAGGATGATGGCTTGATGGTATGCACATACTGATCCTGGCTGACCCAAAGGGGCCGATGGGCGGGGCCAAAAGTGGTCAAATTGAGTTAGATTTCATAAATCTTCTTCTCAACACCCAGATATGGTAGAATCAAATACTCTTCATGGATGGAAGCATCTTCAGGTGCTTTACCGAAATGGGTCTCACATTTCTCCCTAGGGAGGAGGCTAACTTTACTATAATTTTTATTGAAAAATTGCATTTTTAAGCATAATGTTTATTTTCCACTGGAAATTACTATGTAAGAATTATTTGTATATGATGACAGTTTTGGTGGTATGCTGGTATTGACACTAATTTTTTATCATTAATTTCTTTTTCATGACATTTGAAAGCTACTTACCCTTTAACCTTTATATTCCATATTGCTTATCTCAGGTAACTGTCAAGGCCGGTATGCCTCTTGTTACTTTACTTTACTTACTGAAACAAGAGTAACTGAAGAGTTGAGACTGTGATTTTAATATTGCTATGCAATGACGATGCTGCTAAAGAAATATTTCGTGTTTGTGGAAGTTGTACATGACTACATAATTGTTTCAGATCTTAGCCTGTAACATTCTGAAACAGCTTGCTAATGAATGGGACCAAATGTCTCCAGAAGACTTCCAGAATATTATCAGGACCTTCACAGGAGATGATCCCGATGACATGGCAAGTTGTAGTTTCTTGGTTGTTTGAAATAATGACTGTATAAGTAATAGCTGGAATAATGTAGGGGGGTTTTTGGGAGATTCTTTTTGTGTGTATTTGTGTGTGTTTTTAAGGATTGAATATTGAATAAAAAGGGGAAATAATAGATACATTGAAAAATAGTGATCCTCCAAGTCAGTAGATATGTTCAAAATAAAATCAATAGTGATCCCCCAAGTCAAAAGATATGTTGAAAATAAAATCAAGTGATCCCCCAATTCAAAAGATATGATGAAAATGTAATTAGTAAAGATCACCTTAGTCAGTAGATGTGTTGGAAATAAAAATAGTAGAGAGTGCTTAAGTCAATAGATATGTTGAAAATGAAATGAGCAAAGGTCAGTAGATAAAATCTGATGTGATTACTTAGGTCAATAGATACAATGAACATAAAATTAGTAGAGAGTACTGAAGTCAGTAGATATGTTGAAAATAAAATTAGTAGAGAGTACTTAAGTCAGTAGATATGTTGAAAATAAAATTAGTAGAGAGTACTTAAGTCAGTAGATATGTTGAAAATGAAATTAGTAGAGAGTACTTAATTCAGTAGATATGTTAAAAACAAAATTAGTAGAGAGTACTTAAGTCAGTAGATATGTTGAAAATAAAATTAGTAGAGAGTACTTAAGACAGTAGATATGTTGAAAATAAAATTAGTAGAGAGTACTTAAGTCAGTAGATATGTTGAAAATAAAATTAGTAGAGAGTACTTAAGTCAGTAGATATGTTGAAAATGAAATTAGTAGAGAGTACTTAAGTCAGTAGATATGTTGAAAATAAAATTAGTAGAGAGTACTTAATTCAGTAGATATGTTAAAAGCAAAATTAGTAGAGAGTACTTAAGTCAGTAGATATGTTGAAAATAAAATTAGTAGAGAGTACTTAAGACAGTAGATATGTTGAAAATAAAATTAGTAGAGAGTACTTAAGACAGTAGATATGTTGAAAATAAAATTAGTAGAGAGTTCTTAAGTCAGTAGATATGTTGAAAATAAAATTAGTAGAGAGTACTTAAGTCAGTAGATATGTTGAAAATAAAATTAGTAGAGAGTACTTAAGTCAGTAGATATGTTGAAAATGAAATTAGTAGAGAGTACTTAAGTCAGTAGATATGTTGAAAATAAAATTAGTAGAGAGTACTTAAGTCAATACAGTAGATATGTTATGTTGAAAATAAAATTAGTAGAGAGTACTTAAGTCAGTAGATATGTTGAAAATAAAATTAGTAGAGAGTACTTAAGTCAGTAGATATGTTGAAAATAAAATTAGTAGAGAGTACTTAAGTCAGTAGATATGTTGAAAATAAAATTAGTAGAGAGTACTTAAGTCAGTAGATATGTTAAAAACAAAATTAGCAGTGAAAAGTGACTCTATTGGCTACATTCCTTGAAGGATTTTATTATTATTTACAAACTTTTTAAGCATCAGAATATCTTGGACAAGTTTCAAGGTGTTAGGTGATGTTCACTGTTACTATTTAAAAAAATCTTTGCTGTTGAAGCTTTAGCATCTTTATTTCTTGAGGGATTTTCGTCAAACTTCACACACTTATAGAGAATCAGGTTATCTTGGATAAGTTTGAATTTGATGGTTGTTAGGTTAAGGTTAAGGTCACCATTACTAATTTTAGAAAATCGTCTGGTAGAAGGTTCATTCCTGAAAGGATTCAAATTAAACCTGATACACTTACTGATAACCATCAAACATTATTACACATTGGTAATGAAAATGTATAATCAGATTGATTGCGTACTTGTGTAGTATTGCATTGTTCCATTTAAATCAATTACAGACTAATTTTATTCTTTTATTCTTTTTCCATCACCAAATAGCACCATGTTTGTAAGTCAGTACAGTGTAATTGCTTGTGGGGACCAGTGTGGAACATGTATTGCTTCAGCAATACTCAGTGTGCTTGTTTGCTTATATTTTCTTACATATAAATCATCTATAATTTTACTTTGTTGAAGAAATTGTGCAAGATGTTTTGGTACAATATAATTAGTTAACTAACTTCATTGTTCTAGGATGTTATTCGAAGGATAATGACGGAAAGGACGGAAAGAGAGAAAAAAGAAGAAGAAATTAAGTCACTCCTTAATCTGACGGGGGAACCTGGTGAACAGCTTTGGAATAATTTCCCTCTTGGTGATCGAGTAAAGGATTTACTTAATACGGATCAAACAGGCACTGTTGTTGGTCATTTACCAGATAGTGAGTATACTGACAGAATTTTACGCGGGCGGTTTGGGAATCTATAAATGTCGTATCTAAGTTTTATGCATGGGGGAAATTTACACTAAATTTGCAGAAGTAATTTGGGTGCAAAAATTTCACCCAACAATATGAATTTGTGAAATGACATACATATTTATATAAACATTAAATATGCAAAGCTACATTGATTACAAAAATAGTACAGTTTGCCTATTGAAATCACGAAACTATTACCGTGCTTGTAATCAGTTGTAATTTCTGTTTATTCAGAAAATGCTTTAGTACAGTGGGATGATAAACCAACTGGTCAGCTTGAAAGCCGTTTCATGACCTATCTGATAAGAGGTACCCCAAGAGATTGCCGTGAATATCATGGCGAGACACATTTGGTGGGGTCAAGTGTCAGAAAAAGTAAGTCGATTGTTTCTGTAGTAGTTTGCAAGCTTCGTATTGATGTATTATTTTATCATGATAGGGTGTTGATTCTTTTTTGGCCATACATAATTTGTGTGGCAATGTTTGCTGACTTTCATGGACATGAATGTTTACCATGGAATTGAATGTTGTGTTACTAGTAAACAACGCTTCCAGGTTTCTGATTTTGTTATTTTTTGTACCGGGCTTTGTGATTTGTCAATTTTATAAGATGATTTGTGTTCTCTCTTTTCATTGGTGTAAATCTGCAAAATTATTGATGAGATATTTCTCTGTATTTCACTTGCAAAAATGTATTAAGATGACTTCTGTTACACTTTCAGGATATGTGTGGTATTATGTGGTATTCAGATGTAAATGTCTTTTAGTGAATAATATGAAATACATAATTCGTAAAAAGTAGCAGTTTTGAATTGTATTTGTAGATAGGAAACAAACATAATCTTAATTACATACTTTTAATGCTCTTGAAAGTTTTCGTTAGGATAAAAGGAACTTTGTGTATAGATACATTGTTCATTAAGACAATGTGTGGTGTACCAAATTCAGGGTCCAGAACCCCTTAGTACAGTCCCTGCCCTTTCTTAAAGTTTTGTGTCTGAAGCATAACTTGGCTTGCATTTAAACTAGAATAATGAATTTTGTGTATACATTGTTCTTACTAAAAGGATTTGCAGTGTACCAAATCAGGGTCCAAAACCCTTTAATTACAGAATTATTGCCCTTTGTTACTTATTTCTAACAAATAAAGTTGTTTTCATTGAGCATTCATAAGTTTCACTGATACTCCTGGTTACTTTTTCTTTCAGTAACTCATGTTAACAGGACAGATGAACATCAGGCGCCGATTAAATTTGATACAGATGTTGGCACTGTGGTGACTTTGTCTGCACTACAGCCAAATATAATTTATGTAAGTATGGCAATTGACACAATAGTTTTGGGTTTGTAAAGGGTTTAACATTTATGATAATTTTTATCCTGTATGAAATAGTAGTGGAGAACACATATCAATCATTTTTTTCATAAATCTGTATTAACATATTAGACCATTTTATTTGCTGGTAACTTCTGCAGGTCTGAATATAATTCTGTTACAAATTAACTTGTTAAGATTAGGCGATGGTTTAATGTTATTTTAATATATCATTGTCAATAATCCTATGCCTGGTAACAAGGCTATAGTCTCTGTGGGGAAAATGTCAAATTTTTGTTGATGTAGGTCTACTTAGTTTCATTTCCCTACACATGAATTTCTGTGTTTAAGAGTACGTGATACCAGCAAATTTCACATACATTTAAAAGTGAATTTCATTAGTTGGTTGTATGTAATTTTTTCTTTCATATAAATTTTTTGATGATTGGTGTGATATGTATTGCAGGTTGCTTGGAACAGTAACAAGATATGCAGACACTCAAGTTTTGATATCTGCAGGTAAATGCCAAGTGTCCCCAGGGATGATGTAGGCTCTTTGTTTTGTGTTTTGTGTTTTGTCAATGGAGAACTAGACTATGTATGATATTTAGTCACCAAGTTCAACTCCTAGCAGAGACATTAACTGACTGGAAAAGTGATTTTGTTTTCCAGTGACAAAGTTCTTCCACCATATTGGTGATTATGAAGATCTAGATCTGCCAACATGTAATTATGTGCGTTGCTACACTTATTTCAATGTTGGTTAAATATATCCATTCAGAGTCTTGACCAAAGCTGACTGGCACACACCAGATGGGCAGCTTTTTGACCTCAACAAAGATCACCTAGTGCTCCCATCCCATATCCCATTGTCAATTCATGAGTTTAGATAATTGACCAACTAAGGTTTACTGTCTTAAAAATATCCTTATCACACACACACACACACACACACACACCCACACACCCACACACACACACACATGCCTTAAGTGGGGATGGAGGAAGGGGCTAAGGACAGATTTATTAAATATTTATGCCATGGCAACACATTATAAATTTCTACCCCTTTCTAGATTTTAGTGGCCATCAGTCAAGGTTAAGGGTCAAACGTTACCCTTGACCTCTTTTTTAATAAAAAGAATGTACAAAAAATCTCATGAACATTTGCTTGATTTAGTTTATATTCATACTGTATCATTAGGCAAAGTTCTGCACTTGATAAGATTTCACTGGTCTTCAGTTAAGGGTTAAAAGTTAAAGGTCTAAGGTCATCCTTGACCATTTGTATGAGAAAAATTCAAGCTTGTTTACATCATTTTTGGGCAAAGTCACATTTGCTTTTTGTAATGAAGACCAGTTTTGTTATCAGGTATTCAGTTTTCAAGGTCAAAGTTTGTCATTGCTGACTCTTAAGGAAGTACTGGAAAGATTATTTTCATTTTATTTTCAGATTTGTCATTTATCTCAAATTTCTCACTAAGTTCATAAATGTGAATTCTGTTCTGCCTCTTATCTGTTCATGTAAAAAACTTGATCTCATGTTTTGATTCCCTTTTTCAGGTTTCCAGAGAAAGGTAAGTATTATTTAAAATTAACATATTCAAGATTCAATGTGATTTTTCCATTTTCGTACATGGTTTTACAAGTAAATACTTTATAAATAAATTACAAATTATCTTTCAGTGAGCTGCGTTTAAATTAACTTTGATTTCTTTTTCAAGATGCCAATTACCAGTATGACTGGTATTGGTTGTTTTGTGACAGTGGACAATGGCAGCCATTTCCTTTGGCTATGTCAAGAACTATAGAAATGAGAAGAGAAGCAAATCAGAGGACTATATTGATAGAAAATCTTGGTGGGAAAAGGTCAGTTAAATTTCTACTATACATGGTTGTACTTTTCAAAACCTAACTTCATTTCAGGAATAACTAATGGTGATTACTTCAGTATGCACAGTTTAATATTATATGTCTATACTCATCTTATTGTTGTCAAAAGGAAAGCATGTAACTAATTGTCTCTAAATACATGAGGTTTCATGATACAATATTCATTAGCGACAGCAATGTGTCTAGATATGTTGAGGTGTTGGTGGCTGTCTAAAATAAATCAGTGTAGCACACTGTAGTTGTGTCTTCTGTTTATGCTTCCTGAAGGCATATAGTCGCTGCTTTGTCTGTCTGTCCATCCATTCATCCTTGCGTCCATCTGTCCATAAACAATTTTTGTTATCCCTATTTCTGTTGATGGATCTTTCTCAAATTGCATATGTAGGTTACCCTTGGTCCCTAGTTGTGCCCGTTCATTTTGTAAAACAAAATGGTCGACAGATGGACAGCTAAGATTTTGACTTTTAAAGGTTGTTATCACTAACTTGAGAACTACAGAACAGGTTTTTCTCAATTTTCATGTGTTTGTTTCCCTTGATCCTTAGTTGAGCCTGTTTGATTTTGGTTTTTATCAGAAAAAGAAAATGGCCTGCAGGTGGCCATCTTGGATTTTGACATCAAAAGTTTGAATTGCTTTTTCTTGAGAACTACTGCTGAGATCTTTCTGAAATTTCATGAACAGGTTCCTCTTGATTCCTAGTTGTGTCTGTTTAAGTTTGAGACTGATCAGAAAAATAAAATGTTTGGCAGGCAACCATCTTAGATTTCACCAAGTAAAGATTATTATCCCTATTTCTTAAGAAGTACAGAATGGATCTCTCTCAAATTTCAAATGCACATTCCCTTTGGTCTCTACTTGTGCCCATTTGATTTTGGGATTGATCAGAAGAAACAAAAAGGCTTTGAGGCGACAATTTTGGATGTGGCATGTAAAGGTTATCATGGCTATTTCTGCAAAGGAATGTTCAAATTTCTTATCATTAAGAGCAAAAACAGAGAAGAGAAAAGAAGAGAAAAGATCCAACTTTAAAATTATTGATTAATTAATAATCAATTATTGGCCTATGTTTGTAACTTATGTCTGTTTCCAATAATTGTCTTCCCTTCTGCAATACATGCTAATATGTGTAGGGAGTGTGCAGGCAATAATTTGTGTGATACCAACATTTCCAGTTCTTTACTCGATATTTTGCTACAGGCCAGCTTGAAAAACACAAATATGAAAAAGAAACAGGTTTCTTTCGGTTAGACAGGGGATAATCCTCTTTCCCTAGATCCTTTTTGTTCTTTTAGTGTGCAGTTTGATGTGGATACAGGATAGCTGATGGTTGAATTGATTGGAAATGCCACAATGCTTCCTTGTTTTCCCTTGTTTCTGATGTTTTTATTTACATAAATACTCTGAATTACTTGCTAATGTGGAAAAGAAGAATGACTTCAATTTTTCACCTTCAGTTAATTCATCCATATTCCACAAACCTACATAGCATTGTGTCACATGAAATTTAACAAAAAGTTGAATAATATTGTTTGTTTTTTAGATACAGATTGATGTTCTCAAAGAATGAGATGAGATGTATAGAAAGCTGTACTAATTATCCTGTTTTCCGACAAGGTAACATTTCAGTGCAAAATGTAAATTTTCTATATGAATTAATACATTAACTTTGGAATAATTCTCCCCTCATAACAATTGTCAGCACTTAAGTTACAGTATTCCTTTAGGGATTTTAATCAAACTTCAGAAAATCGTCTATATTATGCTTAAGTGAAGGCGGAACATTAAGGAGAATGGTATCATTTGCAAAATGTCTTGTTGCTTTAGTGAATTTTAGATACATTGAAACCTATTCTATCCTTCACAATGGCGGACATATTGTAATCCACTGTAGTAGATTTGTGGTCAAAACTGGATACAGAGGAATGTTAACACATGGTAAAGTTTTTCATCTTGTCAAGTACTTGATAAACTGTAGAGTATGTTACAGGTTGACTTTTTGAGCTCATTGGGTACAGGTGTCTGTAGCCTTATGTTGTGGTTCTGTGACTGTTGTCAACTTTTTAGGTCACTTGTGACAAAGTCTCATGGTGATCTTTTCTAATACCCTTCTCTGGCGTCATGCGTTGTGTGTCCGTTAACAATTTAACACTTTCGACTTTTTCTCAAAAACCCCTGATCCAATTTTAATGAAATTTTGCAGTAGCCTTCCCTGGCCTAAGATGAACGAAAATTGTGAATTATACAGTCCCCACCCTCCAGGGACTGAGGGATGGGACCAAAGGGCTCAAATTGACTCAGATTTCAAAAATCTTCTTTTCAAGACCTACATATGGTAGAATCAAATACTCTTTATGAATGGAAGCATCTTAAGATGTTTTACCAAAATTGTGAAATTCATGGCCCCAGGGTCTCACATATCCCCGTGGGGAAGGGGTAAAGTTTACTATAGTTTATATAGGAAAACTAGATTTTTGAACAAAATTTGTTTGAATTCCATTGAAAATATTTTAAACTTAGTTAGAATTATTAGTGAGGGATGGCGGCTTGATGGCAAGCCCATTTTGATCCTGACTGACCCCCAGGGGCTGATGGGCGGGCCAAAAGGGGTCAAATTGACTTCGATTTTAAAAATCTTCTTCTCAAGACCCTCATAGGGTAGAATCAAATACTCATTATGAAAGGAAACATCTGAAGGTGCTTTAATTACCAAAATGAGTCTCACATTTCTTCCTTGAGAGGCATATTTTTTTTAGACTTTACTGTAATTTTCATAGAAAAATTGTATTTTTGAGCATAACGTTGGTTATTTCTCACAGGAAATAACCTTTAAAGAATCATCAGTATAGGATGACAGTTTTGATGGTATGCATGTATTTACACTACCGTACTATATTCAATGTAAGAATTTCTGTTTCCTGACACTTGTTTATCCTTTAACTTTAACTGTCAAGGTCACTAGGCTTCTTGTTCCTATTAGAGGTCAGCATTAAAAGTATATTGGGTACAAGGTGTCTTTAGCCTTATTTTGTGGTTCTGTGACTTATCAACTTTTTCCTCTTAGAGGTCAACTTTTGATTTTTTTGCGATTTCATCATCTAAGAAATTTGAAAGCCTTCTTTTGAAGAATTTGAAGACTTCAGAATGGACATAGATTACATCATTGTGGATCCTAACATCAAGTGGAGATATCACTGACAAGCCCTACTATGAGACTGACTGACTGCATTTATCTATTGTAGAAGTATTCATGACTTATAATTGTTCAGGTGTATGTAGGTTTGTCAAATCTATAGATGTACTTACACTGAAATAAAGGTAACATGCAAATTTTTCTGAAGTTTTTGATGATTTTGAAAGGGTTGTAAATTCACAAAAAAAGATACACTCGAAAAAAAATTCTGATATACGATATATAAGAGTTTTAATAATTCAATATTTCTGTCTTTTTAATAGCTATAAATCCGCCATGAGACCAGACCAAAGCTTGTTGGGATGTGAGAATACTGAAGCTGTGAAGGTGATTGACTGTTATTGGGCACATAACCTGTTGTGTTTACAAATACTGGAAACATTGTCGGAATTCTTGCCAGAAATGATTCACTAGTTTTGAGGTTACCTGTACTTATCTATAGGAAGCATAAAGATTCTGCTCAAAAGACAGAAATTGACAAGGACTGCTGGCTATGTGAACTTACATATTTCTCTGCTAATGATAACCCAACCGCTGCTTCGGTTAGGCACTGATGACATGGAGCTCTGGAGCCTTCTGTTGTCAGCATCGTCAGGTGGATTCCAACCATCATCGGCCGTTTCGACCCCTATTCCACGACGTCCTCTGGTTGGCGGGTCAGCAGTGGTGATCAATCACTGCTTGCTGTTGTCTGGGCTCCAGTTTGGCTCATCTCGTCTACACCATAGCCAGCATGATGCTCTCTCAGCCCTTTCAGCCAAGGTCTTAATAGCTGCTTTCCTCTTTGCTCCTGTCAGTCCCAATTTCTGGAACATCTTCCATACTGACTGCAGGGAATCCTCTGGCACCGACCTCTACTGGAAACAGCCATGTGTTCCATCCCTTATGTCTGCACAGCTCTGCAAGCTCTTGGTATTTGCCAGCTTTCTTCTCATGTGCCTCATCACACCCTTCTTCCCATGGAACCGTCAGCTCCACCAAGATGACCTTCTGGCGCTGTTGTGACCATATCACAATGTCTGGTCTCAGAGTGGTTTGCACTACATCAGGAAAGACGAGACGCTTGTTGAGGTCTACTCTCATTTCCCAGGATGGTGCTTGGCTGAGTACATTCACATGATATGCAGTAGTAGTTGGTGGTCCCTTCTCTCCAGCTCTCACAAAGTGTGTGTGAGGTTTATGAGGTTCTATCAGTGACGCCGCTCCTTTTCCAGAATATCTGCTAGGGCAGCTAGAACCTGGTCATGACGCCATCTGTACCGTCCTTGCTGGAGGGCTATTCTACAGCCTGATAGGATATGTGCAAGTGTGCCTCTTCCACCGCACAAGGAACAAGCTGGATCTTCCAGAAGACCCCACTACACAAGTTGCTTGGAGTTGGCAGTGTGTCATACACAGACCTGAGCATGAAGGATATCCTGAGAGGTTCCATTTTCCACAAGTCTGTCCATGTAATCTTGCGTTCCGGAAGATTCCACAGCATCCATGATCCTTGCTGTCCTAACTCAACTGATCTACTTTTGCGCTGCTGTTCCTCCTCTGATCTCACCACAGATACAATTCTGTCTCTCTTTTCCTTTCCTTCTGCTATATAGATACTGCTACCTTCATTGTTACACTAACTGTATATATCAAAGTAGAAGAAAGAGCACAACAGCTGAGGCCAGGTGTGGTGATACTGTGATTGAGCCAGGTGTGGCGATACTGTGACTGAGGCCAGGTGTGGCAATACTGTTACTGAGGCCAGGTGTGGTGATACTGTTACTGAGGCCAGGTGTGGTGATACTGTGACTGAGGCCAGGTGTGGTGATTTTGTGACTGAGGCCAGGTGTGGCGATACTGTTACCGAGGCCAGGTGTGGCGATACTGTGACCGAGGCCAGGTGTGGCGATACTGTGACCGAGGCCAGGTGTGGCGATACTGTGACCGAGGCCAGGTGTGGCGATACTGTGACTGAGGCCAGGTGTGGCGATACTGTGACTGAGGCCAGGTGTGGCGATACTGTTACTGAGGCCAGGTGTGGTGATACTGTGACCGAGGCCAGGTGTGGCGATACTGTGACCGAGGCCAGGTGTGGCAATACTGTTACTGAGGCCAGGTGTGGTGATACTGTGACTGAGGCCAGGTGTGGCGATACTGTGACCGAGGCCAGGTGTGGTGATACTGTTACTGAGGCCAAGTGTGGTGATACTGTTACTGAGGCCAGGTGTGGTGATTTTGTGACTGAGGCCAGGTGTGGCAATACTGTGACTGAGGCCAGGTGTGGCGATACTGTGACTGAGGCCAGGTGTGGCGATACTGTGACTGAGGCCAGGTGTGGCGATACTGTTACTGAGGCCAGGTGTGGCGATACTGTGACTGAGGCCAGGTGTGGCGATACTGTGACTGAGGCCAGGTGTGGCGATACTGTTACTGAGGCCAGGTGTGGCGATACTGTGACTGAGGCCAGGTGTGGTGATACTGTTACTGAGGCCAGGTGTGGTGATACTGTGACTGAGGCCAGGTGTGGCGATACTGTGACTGAGGCCAGGTGTGGTGATACTGTGACTGAGGCCAGGTGTGGCGATACTGTGACTGAAGCCAGGTGTGGCGATACTGTGACCGAGGCCAGGTGTGGCGATACTGTTACTGAGGCCAGGTGTGGTGATACTGTGACTGAGGCCAGGTTCTAAATGTTCAGTAAGGATATGACCCTAAGAAGGAAATGTCCTTGCATCAGATAGTTCCATAGGATATCCTGAGAATGAGTATGGTTGGTAATGTGAGGAATCGGGCACTTTTCACTTTTTAACATTATCACTTATCATTGTTCTTATCATGTCTTTTTATGCTTATGTTTGATCTATTTGAAGAGCGCCCTGCATACCTTTGGTATCCACTGGGACCTAGAAAATTAACTTTTCCTTATCTACACCATAATGGATGTTAGTTCTTGGGGGTTTTCCCCTCTTATTTATTTAACTGTATATATATGTATAGTGAAGAGATTATATTGTTTTGTATAAACAGTTTATATTGTCATGTTCATACATATTGAAACTTATTTTTTTATCAGTTGGACCAGAATATTCAAAATATTTGCAAGCTTGTTTCATTGGTTACAGCCTTAAAGAGGTCAAAGGCCTTATATACCACAGGTTCTCTCAATGTGATATTGTTGTGATGATGCCATTGTGTTTATGATATTGTTACTGTGTAATGTTGTACACAGTGTATGCGAAAATGTGATGAAAATGAATATACTAATGGTTGACATTTGATGTTCTCAAGATAGATCTGTGATACTTTGGTGTAGCAGGGATAATTCTGGGTGGTAACTTTGTGGGATGATTTCAGGATTTTGGAGAAATTGGGTGGAATTCTCCTATATATTAGAAGCGTTTGAAAAATTTCATTGAAATTTTCAGTAAAAACATTGATAAAAAATCCCTAAATGTTGCCCCAGAGTAATTCCTGTGTAAGCTAGTTGTTAAGATTTACATTTTAGTAAATCCTTTTTGTTTGTAATTGCTGTAAGTTGTTTGAAGGTGCTTAAGGGTGTAATACTCAATAATTCTGTTACTTTGTTAATATTGTGTACTTACTATATATATATTTAGAATAATGTTTCACATCCGCCTGCAAGCAAGAATATAAATCAGGCAGAATTTTGAAGAATTTTTTATTAACATGAAACTACATCAAAATTACCAAATCATAATTGTAAATTTTTTTGATGTTTTGTGTACATTGTTTTGCATAGATAAAATTAATCTCTTTACATGTGCGTCCTCTCTTAAAACTTTGTTGTTTTGTACAATGAGTTTCTTAATAGTATATATTCATGTCATTTACGTTCTTCATGTCATTTACATTCTTCATGTTATTTACGTTCTTCATGTCATTTACGTTCTTTATGTCATTTACGGTCTTCATGTCATTTATGTTCTTCATGTCATTTACGTTCTTCATGTCATTTACATTCTTCATGTTATTTACGTTCTTCATGTCATTTACGTTCTTTATGTCATTTACGGTCTTCATGTCATTTATGTTCTTCATGTCATTTACGTTCTTCATGTCATTTACGTTCTTCATGTCATTTACGTTCTTCATGTGATTTACGGTCTTCATGTCATTTATGTTCTTCTGTTATTTACGTTCTTCATGTTGTTTACGTTCTTCATGTCGTTTAAGTTCTTCATGTCATTTACATTCTTCATGTTATTTACGGTCTTCATGTCATTTATGTTCTTCTGTTATTTACGTTCTTCATGTTATTTACGTTCTTCATGTTATTTACGTTCTTCATGTTGTTTAAGTTCTTCATGTCATTTACGTTCTTCATGTTATTTACGTTCTTCATGTCATTTATGTTCTTCTGTTATTTACGTTCTTCATGTTGTTTAAGTTCTTCATGTCATTTACGTTCTTCATGTCATGTACATTCTTCATGTTATTTACGGTCTTCATGTCATTTATGTTCTTCTGTTATTTACGTTCTTCATGTTATTTACGTTCTTCATGTTATTTACGTTCTTCATGTTGTTTAAGTTCTTCATGTCATTTACGTTCTTTATGTCATTTACGGTCTTCATGTCATTTATGTTCTTCATGTCATTTACGTTCTTCATGTCATTTATGTTCTTCTGTTATTTACGTTCTTCATGTTGTTTAAGTTCTTCATGTCGTTTAAGTTCTTCATGTCATTTACATTATTCATGTTATTTACGGTCTTCATGTCATTTATGTTATTCTGTTATTTACGTTCTTCATGTTATTTAAGTTCTTCATGTTATTTACGTTCTTCATGTTGTTTATGTTCTTCATGTCATTTACGTTCTTCATGTCATTTATGTTCTTCTGTTATTTACGTTCTTCATGTTGTTTAAGTTCTTCATGTCATTTACGTTCTTCATGTCATGTACATTCTTCATGTTATTTACGGTCTTCATGTCATTTATGTTCTTCTGTTATTTACGTTCTTCATGTTATTTACGTTCTTCATGTTATTTACGTTCTTCATGTTGTTTAAGTTCTTCATGTCATTTACGTTCTTCATGTTATTTACGTTCTTCATGTCATTTATGTTCTTCTGTTATTTACGTTCTTCATGTTGTTTAAGTTCTTCATGTCATTTACGTTCTTCATGTCATGTACATTCTTCATGTCATTTACGGTCTTCATGTCATTTATGTTCTTCATGTTATTTACGTTCTTCATGTTATTTACGTTCTTCCTGTCGTTTAAGTTCTTCATGTCATTTACGTTCTTCATGTCATTTACGTTCTTCATGTCATTTACGTTCTTCATGTCATGTACATTCTTCATGTCATTTACGGTCTTCATGTCGTTTAAGTTCTTCATGTCATTTACGTTCTTCATGTTATTTACGTTCTTCATGTCATTTACGTTCTTCATGTCATTTATGTTCTTCATGTCATTTACGGTCTTCATGTCATTTATGTTCTTCATGTTATTTACGTTCTTCATGTTATTTACGTTCTTCATGTTGTTTAGGCTGTTCATGTCATTTACGTTCTTCATGTTATTTGTTCTTCATGTCATTTACGTCATGTTATTTACGTTGTTCTTCATGTTATTAACGTTCTTCATGTTGTTTAAGTTCTTCATGTCATTTACGGTCTTCATGTCATTTACGTTCTTCATGTCATTAACATTCTTCATGTCCTTGATATTCTTCATATCCTTAATATTCTTCATGTCATTAATATTCTTCTGTAATATATATATCAGATACAATGTATATAAAAATGACAAAATCACTTTATTATGGGGCTAATAAGATAAAACATGTTAATGACAACATTCCTATCAGCTCTATGGCTGTGCTTTCAATTCGTAGCCTTCCCGTCTTCAGATCTCAGCACTAAGTGTATTCTTCATCAAATTATTTCTCATTGCTCAAAATATTCTATATACATATACAATACATCTTATTTTAAAAATTACCTTTCTGGCGAAAGCAAACAACAGTATGAAATGTTTTTTTAATTTTTCATTATATCACTCTAGGCTTATAAAAAACATTAATCTTCCTTACACAAACACAATTACATAATACACTCACTTATAAAGGAATGCAGTCAATCCACAGCTATCAGTGCCTCATTTGTTAAAGACTTAATAGATTTTTTTTTCAATTATCATATTTCAGAAAATTAGAAATAAAAGTTGTTTATTTAAGACACGGCAAAAGACACACAAAAGTAGAGCCAAAAAATTGAATTAAACACCATCATACAGTTGTTTTGTCGCTCTAGGACTGGTCAGTGATGCTATGAGCCTAAATGTTAAACCTAGAAGGTGACTGAGGAGAATCAAACTGACCAATATAAATGTCAAAACTTAAATGGGAAGACACACATTAAATTTTCACCTGAGGTTACATAAGCCAAAGCCTTTACAAGCTTATCATAGCTCCCTCCCTATGGGCCTCTTGTTGATGTTTGAACTTTTATCAAGTAAATCAAGGCCCGAATGTTTTCCCAGTGAAAAGGATAGGGTAATTAATTAGATTGTTTAATCATTGTATATATATTTTATTGTGGGAAGGTTTCTCTTCAGTAATAGTATGACTCTTCTGATGATTAACTCAGGCTTTGGAAACGGCCTTTTGATAAAATGTACTGCGTAAAACTGCTTGTTACAAAGTGCTTTCTAAGCAAAGGCTTACTTTTAAGCTGCATCTGAAATCTAGAATCATTATATATGGCTGGAAGGTTCCTCTGATGAAGCCCAACATTGTTTGCAAAAAGAAATGACCTTAACCCATATTCAAGGTTGCAGAAGTCAAATGTGTTAAAACCTTTAAACAACTTCTCCCCAAATACCGGAAGGCCTAGAATCATTATATTAGGCTACTATGTTCCTCTTACAGTGTCCTGCAAAGTTTGCTTAAAGAAATGACCTTGACCAATCTTCAAGGTCACAGGGGTCAAATGCGTTAAAACCTTTAAACAATTTATTCTGAAATATCGAAAAGCCTGGAATCATTATATTTGTCAAGTATGTTCCTTTTATGACGTCCAAGAAAGGTTGGCAAAAAGAAATGACCTTAACCCATAGTCAAAGTCACAGGGGTCAAATGTGTTAAACGTGGAGCATATGCACAGATATAGTAATGTTGGTCATAAAGATCCAGGTGAGCGATACAGGCCCTCTGGGCCTCAACCTTGGATACTTATCTGTCTCAATTTAATCTCTTTTGCTGTTGGTTTGGCAGGTGGCACATCCATTTCTGTTCTTGTTTGCCATTTTAAAAAAAGTGGGGAAGGACAAATAGAAGGATGGGTATGTGGTATACATAGCAGAAAAGAGAGAGAGAGAGAGCTACTTTAGGAATACATTGTACATTGCACATGCATGTTCTGTAAAAATAAAAAATAAAAAAAATCAAAGAAATATCGAAAAAGAAAATCTTTCCATGTCTTTGTGAACTTATCGGTGTTGAATAATGTCATCAAATTTACCAGGGTGATACAAGATACTCATGTTGAAAACTAGTGAAATAGTCAGTTTTCAAGGAAAGGACAAGAAAGAGGCTGTTGAAGATGTCAGAGAAATTGTTCGGCTGTCTCTTGTTGAGGAGAGAGGTCGGAGTTTGTAGCCATCTACAGACGGTGATGTGGCCAATCTCATTTGACCTCCTGTGAGGCCATTCCATGTTACGACTAAAAATGCCTAATGAGAGGAGGCTATGTGGTGTTTATATTTTAGTTAATGTTTCATGAATGAGTAATTATTGGCATCGGAAAAAAGTTGACAACTAGGAACAGACTAGAACAAGGACTTAAGGAGTAGCAACTAAAAACACATGTCGGTGAGGCTACCATCTATAAGCTGTCACAAGAAGAAAGAATATATATAAACCATCTGGAGATTCTCAGCAAGGAGATCCACTACCATATTAAGGATCACTCGCGGCTGTGTTATCACAGAGATGGTACCAGTTCGTCAGACTAGTTGGAGGAGATTGACGGACCTAGAACTGAAAGGAGGAGGTAGGTGAAATCGCCACCAACAGGAGTGCGTCGAATCAACATTAAAATGATTATCTGATAAGTTGTAAGAAGACAGGCTCCTTGACAACGAATCTATACTTATTGAAATGTGAAGGAATTTAGCAGAGGAAAAGGAAAGAAACTGACCTAGCAAATGAAAGGTAACAGTCGATCAGGAGTCTGGGACTAAAATGTTGAAGAATTGGTTTTTAAATGGCTACCATGCTAGAGAAAACCTGATTACAGTAACTATGAGAAACATCTAGAGTTCCTCCAAAACGTGAAAAGTGAGAGGAAAAGAAGACGAGAAGCAACAAGATAAACAGAGGACTTCACAAAGTCCCGTCACCACTCGCTGGAGAAGAAAGGTCGGGGAAGCTGGCGACTACAAAGTCCCGTCACCACTCGCTGGAGAAGAAAGGTCGGGGAAGCTGGCGACTACAAAGAGGAAATCTAAGTATATGTAGGATACTCCTCCGATGAAGAGAGAACAACTCGCTCAGAGAGCCACTAGTGTATCGTCGGTATAAGAACTCTCAAATCTTTTGGATTCGGAGGAAGCAATATAAAATGAGATCGCGGATGTGGTGAAAAAAGCAAAGGACAGTGATAACACAGGACTCTGTAGTATCCAACACAAGATCTATAAGTTGTATTATTATAAAGTATTTAAAGCGGCTCTTAAAACTACTTCGAGGCAGTGGAGGTATGCCAAAATACCTGGCAGATAGCAGAGAGATCAGCCATTCTAGACAATATTTCTGTTAGGTGCTTCTTTGCCAAATATGACAAACGAATGACTATAAGTTCATAGATGGAAACGAGCACATGGAGGATATATCTTTACAGAATTCTCAGCATTCTCGGGGTGCATTTAACATAAGCGCCGTCTCCTAACTCATCAGGCTATTATCAGCCACGATGACTTCGAAGTCATTTGGCTAGAGCTCCAATAGGTCTGAGCCACACCAGCTGATCAACGAAACACGAAGCATACATGGGGACATCGCTACGGAATGGCAAACGTTTAGAAAATGATTCGTTACTGGATGTCCACGTCTTTGATGAATCTTATCGTCAACGCGACAAAGAGAGAAAATAGGGAACTGAAAACAGCATCGAGAATCCGGCTACTTCACAACGAAAGCTTCATGGATGGTTTAACTGATGACCACAGTATATGCCCAGTCGCGGTAGATATCAACACCGTTGAGAGAAATAGCGGTGTGGGCGAGAATGCAGTTCAACCAAAGACGTCGAGAAGTTTCTTGTTATCAGAAGGGGAAAGGTAAGGAAAAATTTGATTCACTATGAATATCTATGGCGGCGACATTCCTTCCATAGTAAAAGGCCAACCCAATAAATAACTTGGGAAAGAAAAAAAGAAGTATTAACGCCAATAATATCAAGAGACTACAAAACGCATCTCCGGGAAAGAAGAAATACGATATACGAGACCAGGCCCCACTTGAATAAAACATCTCAACTTGAGATTTCCTCAAGTCGAGATTTTCCTCAGCTGATATCTCCTCAAAAACGGCTTGTATAAAATTTTCTCAAGGAACAGGAGGAAGTCATCGGCTAGGATGTCCTGAAATTCCTTGAGGAATTTTCATACAAGATATTTTCAAGGAGATATTAGCTGAGGAAAATCTCGACTTGAGGAAATCTCAAGTTGAGATATTTTATACAAGTGGGGCCAGATTATCACGGATATTCGAAGCAAGATCCATTGCACCTCACTATCAAGACTTCAACGTTTCTTTCGATGATTTTTTTGTAAAGCCTCCTTGGCTTGATAATCTAAGCATATATCATCAATGACGAGCCAAAGGAGGACGAGACACCTGTATGACGCAATTTTATTCATTGCTTGACTTTGTATTAACTAAATTTGTATGAAAAGGTGCTATTCACATGAGTGTACTTTGTACAATTTTCGAGCATGGGCCACGACAAATATGACCTCTCCCACTTATATGAAATAACCAAGACAAAATGAAATGAAAGCTCTGGAATGGACATAAAGCATGTCACTGTGTTGATGGTTACACTTTTCGGACTGATTCCCAGATACTGACTTTTTTCATCTCATCAGCCACATTACTGCTCTTTTCTTCTCATCATTGGTGGATGGGTTCAAGGTGACAAAGGCAAGACTGATTATGACTCTTAGAGACTAACGATAAGATCAGAATGCTGGCATAAAAATGAGAGATGCAAGAAGTGCAATGAACTAAGCAGAAAGTCACATGGAACATCGGGAGATTTTGTGTGCAATGTGTGGAGGACGACAGAGATTGACAATGGCGTCGGTACAACTATAACAAAACTGAAAAGAGGAAGTTGGATCAGGATAATACATGAAAAATGGAGGAAGAGGTCAGGAAGGCAAAAGTGGTGGATTAGGGTCTCAAGGAAACTATGGAAAAAAAATTCATTTGTCATCTGGCTTCCCAGAACATGTCGAATTCATTTCTTTGTGAGATCAGCGAACAGTAAAATATATTTTCTCAGAGATCAAATTTTTCCGGGAAATTGTTATTTCGTTTGAACTTGATTAGGTGAAGGGTAACGCATAGTGTTATGCTTTTCAAGGTTAGTGTCACTGTCGACATTTGGGACTCAGTCCGGTCGTTGTAAATCCAACTTTCAGGTCAGCGCGTTTCCTTCTGGTCGGGGTTAAGAAGATATTCATTTTACCGTCTCTTTCCGGTCGGCGTTATGTCAACACTGGGGTCACTGTCTCTCGCCATCTCATTGCCGTCGGCGTTACGTCGACACTCGGGTCACCGTCTCTCACCGTCTCTGCCGGTCGGCGTTATGTAAACAATGAGGTCACCGTCTCTCAACGTCTCATTCCCGTCAGTGTTATGTCGACATTCGGGACACCGCCTCGCATCGTCCTATTACGGTCGTAGTGACGTCGACAGTCGGGTCACAATTTCATTCCAGTCCGTGTTACGTCGACATTCAGGTCACCGTCCCTTACCGTCTCTGCCGGTCGGCGTTATGTAAACAATGAGGTCACCGTCTCTCACCGTTTCATTCCCAAAAGTGTTATGCCGACATTCGGGACACCGCCTCGCATCGTCCTATTACGGTCGTAGTGACGTCGACAGTCGGGTCACAATTTCATTCCAGTCCGTGTTACGTCGACATTCAGGTCACCGTCCCTTACCGTCACATCCCGGTCGGCGTTATGTCAACACTGGGGTCACCGTCTCTCACCGTCTCATTCCCGTCAGTGTTATGTCGACATTCGGGACACCGCCTCGCATCGTCCTATTACGGTCGTAGTGACGTCGACAGTCGGGTCACAATTTCATTCCAGTCCATGTTACGTCGACATTCAGGTCACCGTCCCTTACCGTCACATCCCGGTCGGCGTTATGTCAACACTGGGGTCACCGTCTCTCACCGTCTCATTCCCGTCAGTGTTATGTCGACGTTCGGGACACCGCCTCGCATCGTCCTATTACGGTCATAGTGACGTTGACAGTCGGGTCACAATTTCATTCCAGTCCGTGTCACGTCGACATTCAGGTCACCGTCCCTTACCGTCACATCCCGGTCGGCGTTATGTCAACACTGGGGTCACCGTCTCTCACCGTCTCATTCCGGTCAGTTTTACGTCGACGTTCGGGACACCGCATCGCAGCGTCCTATTACGGTCGTATTACGTCGACATTCGGGTTACCGTCCCTTAGCGTCACATTCCGGTCGGCGTTATGTCAACACTGGGGTCACCGTCTCTCACCGTTTCATTCCGGTTGGCGTTACGTCAACACTGGGGTCACTGACTCTCAAAGTCGGCGTGTCGTTGACTCGCGGGTCACCCTATCTCAAAGTCTCATTACTGTCGGCGTTTCGTGGACACTCGGGTCATCGACTCTGACCATCTTATTCCAATCGACGTTACGTCGACACCTGGGTCACCGTCTAACTCTGATCGGCGTTACGTCGGCACTCGTGTCACCCTCTCTAATCGTCTCATTCCGGTCGGCGTTATTTCGACACTCGGGTCAACATCTTTCTCTGTCTGATTCTGCCTTACTCTGTCTGATTCTGCCTGACTTCACAATTAACTTATGTGATATTTCTTTCCTTTAAGGATGAGATTTGATTATCTCAAGCCGAGGGGAAAGTTTCTAAGTTGGCAAACACGAGGTTTGCCAAATGATTGCTAACTTAATAATCTTTCCTCGTTGTTGAGGTTACTCTTTTGCACCCTGATGGTTAGATATGATTATTTTTCCTTATCCTTCTTATTTGATATACGCTAGATACAATTTTATTGTTATGTGTATACTTGGCATTTTTCAGGTGGGCACTTGAAATTGCTGATATGACGTCATTGAATTCTTATTGTGACGTCATAATACCATTATTCAGATAGAGTAACCTCACTGTCTCGTACTTTTACGTAATTTTGGGGCTTAGTAATGCTTATAATTAAGATGGCGCAATTTCTCATTGTCTCTCTGATGTTAAACGGCAAAGAAATCGGAAATAAGATTAGCAGAGAAATTCTGATGTAGTAATGAGAAAGCATTGCCTAAAACCTACACACAGTTTGACGACTTTCCGCAAAGCGAGGAAGAGATGGTCTACAACGTATATGTAAATTTGGCAACAAGCGAAAAACGCGTGGGCGTTGTTCGGATTTCGTACAGAACATGAAAATCAATATTTGTTATTCTTTAAATAGTTTCCTTTTACCCGCAGAGTAGGAGTCGAAATGTCGGTCACTTTAAAATGTTTTTATGACATTTTAAGATATTTTCACCTAAAAGAAGGGTGTGATACATATAGTTGAAATTGTATACTTCCCTGCTTATTTATGTAAAATGCTTCTTCCTGACAACCACCTATTATGTTTCCATGTTGGTTTTCGAAACTTTATCATTGCAGTTTTTTTTTTTAATATAGCTGTTTTGGAAGACTGCATTTTCTCCAGTCTGGATGTTGTTAATATGGGTAAACAGATGTCGCGGTGAGGGATGTTTTACAGAAATAAATGAAAAAAATGATAAATAAACAAAACAAATTCACTGCGTTAGGAAATGACATTTTTTATGGTTTGGTATTTAGATTTTAACAAGAATTGGGAAAAAGTGCTTTTAAAAATTTAAAGGTTCCGGCTGACCTTCGAACCGCTTGATTAGAATTAGCATGAGAAAAAGCGGAGATGTCTATTATCCGAAATAGGTAATTTGTATATCTGTAAACGATTATAAAATATCTTCTAACTCTGTAATGACACAATTGTCCCCAGAAAATCAATAATTTGGAATCCGACTAGTGATAATCAATCCCCTACACACACACAGTGTATATAAATAACCATCGATCTGGTGCCTGCCCACGCTTCCTGAAGCAGAATCGATTTTGGCTTCCGTCCCTATGGCAACTTGTCGCTGATAACTGCGCGTCATCAAAGCGGAATTATTATGCTAATACAACGGTGTTGATGATTTTAGAACTTAAGATATTGGACGTGTTCGTTATCAAGGAGGACACACACCTGTGAGGATACAAACAGGTGTACACGCATTGGTCCTAACATACGTTAGTCATGTAGTGATCACACAGGCACCTGTCTTCTCTCAGCTCAATACATCAACACTGATTACAAACCGAGTAAGAAACGGTATCTCCGGAATGGATCGTGTCGTTATAAGTGCCGTGTTATTTCTGGTGGTACTTGCCTATGGAGTAAGGGCACGACCCTCTCGGGGCTACGAGGAATACATATGGGAACACCTACCGGAATTACTGGACAGACTTCAGGTAATGAATAGACTCGTGCTTGATAAACATTGATATTCACGTCGACATACCAGCACTATATTTCATCATTAATAGTTCTAGATAGGTAATTTACAAAAATATTAGCCTTTTCTCATGTTTCTGTATAAATTTCGCTTATATATCACGAGAGTAATTGTAGAGACTCGTTTGGGAAGACCATATGTTATTGTCTTGTAGTTTCGCCCCAGGTCATCGCCATATTGTGACGTCGCTTTCTTCTCAAAACATGACCTGTCTTTTTATTATCTATTACCGCCTGCCATAAGGAGGGATGGCTTGATGTTCAGTTCATGGAATCAATTTCTCGTCAATAATATTTGATGATCAGCGAAAATTAAAAATACGTATCACACATGTAGATATAACTGGAAATAAAAAGAAATAATGACCGACTTGAAGAGTGAAAGCCATTAATACAATACAGCCGTTTATATATCGATATTTCTATATAGATTATATACCTCCTGTGGCAGATATATACGTATAAAGGTGGTGGATCCGAGGTGAAAATAGGTGGATTCCACATACAAATACTCGAAATCTATACCTGCAATTAAGTATCAATGAAGAAAATAGAAAAGGAAACAGATATCCATTTATAGTCGTCTACTTTCAAAAGTAGGCAGGTTAAAATGTGGTAATCGAAGTTCGCCTTAAAACACATAAATTTCAAAAAAAATTCTTTGGACCGATTCAAGTTGGTGAAATAAAGTAGTTTTACGCGGTAACCAGATCTCATCGCAGTATTCCAACTGGCTTTTAACTAAACTGATATATAATGACCTTATCACAGAAACATTTTTGATATGTTTGAATACAAGAACGCTTTAAAAATCCAAGCATTTGTATTGCTTTCGACACAACTTCTTTGACATGGTATGAAAAGTAAAAATTGTCAGAGATCCAGACTCCTAGGTCTTTAACATGAGTGACTTTGGATAAATTATGTCCCCCACCCATCATGTTAGAGTAGTGAAGACAAGAACGTTTTAAGGAGAAGCTTCTGGTACATTATTTGTCAATACTGACTTGTAAACGCCATTTTTAACACCAGTCAAACACTACCAATGTCGTCCTGTAATTGCTTACATATTTATATAGATGTTATTTTTTGCAAAATTTACTGTCATCAGCAAACATAAAGCAGGTGGAATGTTTCATATTTTGGGCGCATAAAAAACCTTGGGAGACACGGGAAAAACATTACACCACCCATATGTCGCTCCATTTACTGTTACTCTATGTCGCCTGTCGTTACGAAAACAGGTGAACTAGTTAAGAATGCTACCTTTAACACCGTAAGTATGTAGTTTGTACAATAATTTGTGACTGACTTTGTCGAACGCTTTAGAAAAATTAGTATACACAGCATGAACATCCATCTTTTTGTCAAGCCTTCAGACACAAACTCAGAAAGCATGTACGATTTGTAACTGTTGATCTATTAGGCATAAACCCAAGTTGCTAAAATCACAGGATTAATGAAGGATGAAAAGTGATAATCAACAGCTTTTTTCAGAAAGTTTGAACAGTAATGGCAATAATGACACTGGTCTATAGTTTTTAACACAGAGTCTGAGACCAGACTTAAACATAGGCATTGCATTTGCTTTTTTAAGACAATCAGGAAAAATACCATCGCGAAGTGTATCATAAAACATCTATATATTTAAGTATAACTGGATGTTGTGTATATATATAAAAAAATACATAAATTTGATTGGTGCGAATGGCAAACGAAGAAAATATATCTTGCATATCTCGTGTATATTGTTACATCGTTTAAGTATATATTTATTTTGGATGTCGATTTACAGCGCCTCGACTACGCCGACGAGCCCATTATAAATAGTCTAGAGCCCCGCGTCGTGCCTCATTGGCCTAATGGCGTCAAAGTTGGACAAGTAGGGGGTGTGGCAGTTGACCCTATCAACGGAGACGTACTAATTTTCCACCGAGGAGAGAGAGAATGGGGTTACAAGTGAGTACCATGTCATATCTAATTATATGAACAATTCTCTAGGATCTTGTGTCAGGGAATTTGTCTGGATATTAGTCGGGAATTACCTTACTTGTAACTAACAAATAAAGTTTTCAATGTAATGATTTGATAACATAAGTAGCAATTATGTGTAGATACATTTTTGGTAAATTTATTTCTTATTTCTCTTAAATAAACAAAGGTATCTTGAATATCCATTGATGGTATACAACATTCGAATTGTGATAATTAGTATGAAATACTTGTAGAAACTAGGGCGCTCTACATCGACAACCTGTGGTTTACAGGTGTACTGTCAAGTAAATCAGTGACGTCATCCTATGTAAACATAGGTAAATGTTTTCCATACTTTTTTTGTCACTTTTTACATCTGACCATGACAAAATAATTATCGACGAATTTGTTTCGTTCGCTAACTTGAGATATTAGTGAAATTATTCAAAAGGACAATAGTTGCTGATGTGTTGTCATGACAACAGTTACTGATGTGTTGTCATGACAATAGTTACTGATGTGTTGTCATGACTCCTGACCGTGGTCACTTTGTTATGACTATAATTCCTCTTGTTTATTATCGTTACTGGTTTGTAGAACATTTTTACATCTGATGTGAGTATGATGATTGATGTCCTATAAATATAGCGTCGATGTATTTATTGATGAAGGGGGAGACAGTAGACCATTTAGCTGAAATAAGCGAGGATATTCGACCTGTCTTTTTAATATTCCTTTCTTCTTTGATATGATTGGAAACATTGCCATGACTTGGAGACCACTGAAATAACGTATATTTCTAGAGCTACTTTTAAATGGACTTTAACACAACAACATATGGTTGGCTGAATTGTTGAAAAGGAACACAGCTATTTTCTGGTAGACTATAGATAAACATGTCATTAAATTGAAGCTGACACGTAATGTTAAAGCCCTAACTCTCTTGTACGTTTGACAGCGCACGGTATGAGTCACAGCTCCCGTGGGCCCGACTCTGTCAGAACGGAACCTCTAACACACTTGTTTTACGCCAGAGGGAACGGGGTTTGCTACCAATATTACTGAAGCGACATCGCTTTGTCCATAAACACTTTATCTAAATAGGAGCCACTTTACATAAACGTACATTCGAACCAATTTAATTTCATGTTTACTGTTTCCTTACCGAAATATTTCAAAACACAGAGAGGTTACAAATTGTGGTGGTGACCCTTTTCCTAAATGTGTCTTTGCCAGTCTCGTAGTGTTGTGATAACACCAGAATTACATTTTAGACTTGACTCCTGTCAGTGATATGCCCGTGTATCTAATAGGCTTGAGCTCTTACAGACGCCCTCCCACGCGAACAGCAATGCCAGAACAGCTCCAGCGGCTAGCACGCTCAACATTAGATTATGATGGAAAAATAGCTTCTCGTTTCTGTCTGGTAAATTGGATTGGCGTTTTGTGTGTGACACATTATCAAAGACTTGTACACATTACCTAGCAAGTTTTACACTGTAGTGTTTATAATTATCAAACAAGAAGTTAGTTAACATATGTAGAAGTTTTAAATGATTTATCGCCATCAATGATATTCTGGTACTTTGATTCTGCTATATATTTCACAGCTCTTTCGTCGGGGATGAATTCGCACCCGGCCAATCCACCATTAAGAATGACACTATCCTCCGTCTGGACAGAACAACAGGACAGATCCTGGACAGCTTCGGAGCTGACAGGTACTGTCTGATCGTCCGAGCGTTCAGAGATATCACTCTTCATACAAGTAGTACATTATCAGGCAATGTGTTGATAGTTTATGCAAAATTGAAAATGGTCAGAAAAAAAAGAAAACAATTGTTATTAAATTAAAATCTTTATCAAACATTTAGGGTGACAATTTCAGTAAAATGTAATTAAAGCGTGTGTGCTAAAGTTACATGTCCAGAAATATAAATGTAATATAACAGTTGTATAAAAAAAAAATGAAGGGAAAGAGTTTAAAGAGACATGCCTCGGGTCAGTTATGTCTCAAACTGAGTTTGTCTATCGCTTTCTTAGGTTTTATATGCCCCATGGACTGACTGTTGACAACGCCGGCAATATATGGGTGACAGATGTGGCTCTCCATCAGGTAAAATGTTTTGTCCAAGAAAATACCAACATGAATGGGAAACAGAAAATACCGATTTGAGTTGGAATGTGTTTTTGATTTATTTCAAACTGATAATTAATGTGTAAATGGTTGGAGTTTTTTAATAATAGATTGTTTAGTACACGTAATTCAATATGAACTTGTTTAATAATTTAATATGATTTTTTTAATAATTCAATATGAATCTGTGTAATTAATCAATATTAATTTGTTTAACATTTCAATCTGAATCTGTTTGATAATTCAATACGAATTATTTTCGTTTAAAATTTTCGTTAATAATATTTTGGTTGATATGTACATCTGACTTTGTGGTTTCAAAATAGGATACCGGAAAAATCCCTTAATGAAACCAGGTATAGCTTTATCATTATTTTCAGAAAATTTTCTCACTTTTTGACAGGTGATGATGTTCCCTAGGGGTAGTCATGAACCTTCAGACATTGTCTTGGGCACAGCTATGACTCCTGGAAGTGACGATGACCATTTTTGCAAACCGACAGACGTTGCTGTTGCATCTAATGGCGATTTCTTCGTGTCTGACGGGTATGGGAAGAAAGTTAATCAATGTTGGATGTTGGCTTATTAGATGTAATTATATTCCAGTCTTTGTTCCTAGTTGTTACTTCTATCTTATATTTGTATGGGTGTTTTTTTTTAATTATTTATTTATTTTATTTTTCAATTTTTTATTTTCATTTTTTTTTTTTTTAATTTTTCATTACTTTTTTCTTTATTTTTTCTTTATTTTCTTTTATTTATTGTTGTTTGCGTTTCTTTCCACAACATTTGTTCCTTCATTAACATCTCAGTCACTCTTCTTCAGCTATTGCAATGGCAGAATCATGAAATTTTCCAAGGATGGAAATCTCTTAAAGCAATGGGGAAAACGATCCACAGGTAAGCCCAATAAGCGTAACAGAAAAGATTATGAAAATAGAAACAGAAAAATTCATATAAAATATAGGTCTACAGACGAAGTATTTCACTCTACTAACCTTTAAGAAACAATTATAAAGCTGTGAATTAATGAAAGCTCTTTGGCAAGTGATTAATGTAGATTTTTTCACCACTGGTACTGCCTTTGTGTTGGCATGTCATGTATACATTACACGGCCGTAACTGTGTAAATATGCAATGCGTATTGTACGTACTGTTGTGTTATCATGGATCTTTTGTACGTTTAACATGGGATAATTTCTGTTTATGCAATTTATAAATCTTAGACTTTTATCAAGAATCTTATAATGAGACGATGTTTGTGGTATAGTAAATAATAAGAAAAAATATATTGTAAGAAAGTACAAACTGTATAAAGAATATACATTCAGAATTTAGTTGACTATTGTTTGACTTGAAATTTCGCACCTTTACCGACATCGGATACCGAGAGGGTGTGCTGCTGTTATGTTTTTTTTATACCATTCTATTTCAGTAAGTACTGGCCCGTTGAGTGAGGATGAGTTTTTTGTGCCACACAGCCTTGCTTTGATCGAGGCTAGAAATATTATCTGTGTAGCTGATCGAGAACATGGCAGGTAGGTAGTAGATCGAATTTATTTTTCGTTTTTTCTTGTCGTTTTTTCACAGATTACGAAAATTATTGGTTGTTTGAAAATATCTGATCTTGTCTTCCAGAATCCAATGCTTCTCAGCTGGAATGAACGGAACAGAAGCTGGACAGTTTGTACGCTCATTTGACAACAAAGAATTTGGGAAAGTGTTCGCTATTGCATATGACAACAACGGTATAACACTTTAATCAAAAGTAACCAATGCATGCTTTTTGGTCTATTGTATACACGTGAATCTATACTGTATATTGTATACACGTGTATCTATACTGTATATTGTATACACGTGTATCTATACTGTATATTGTATACACGTGTATATTGTATATTGTATACACGTGTATCTATACTGTATATTGTATACACGTGTATCTATACTGTATATTGTATACACGTGTATCTATACTGTATATTGTATACACGTGTATCTATACTGTATATTGTATACACGTGAATCTATACTGTATATTGTATACACGTGAATCTATACTGTATATTGTATACACGTGTATCTATACTGTATATTGTATACACGTGAATCTATACTGTATATTGTATACAAGTGTATCTATACTGTATATTGTATACAAGTGTATCTATACTGTATATTGTATACAAGTGTATCTATACTGTATATTGTATACACGTGTATCTATACTGTATATTGTATACAAGTGTATCTATACTGTATATTGTATACAGGTGTAACTGTACTACACGTGTATCTATACTGTATATTGTATACACGTGTATCTGTACTGTATATTGTATACACGTGTATCTTTACTGTATATTGTATACACGTGTATCTATACTGTATATTGTATACACGTGTATCTATACTGTATATTGTATACACGTGTATCTATACTGTATATTGTATACACGTGTATCTATACTGTATATTGTATACACGTGTATCTATACTGTATATTGTATACACGTGTATCTATACTGTATATTGTATACACATGTATCTATACTGTATATTGTATACACGTGTATCTATACTGTATATTGTATACACGTGTGTCTATACTGTATATTGTATACACGTGAATCTATACTGTATATTGTATACACGTGAATCTATACTGTATATTGTATACACGTGTATCTATACTGTATATTGTATACACGTGAATCTATACTGTATATTGTATACACGTGTATCTATACTGTATATTGTATACACGTGTGTCTATACTGTATATTGTATACACGTGTATCTATACTGTATATTGTATACACGTGTATCTATACTGTATATTGTATATACGTGTATATTAACGGTGTATTAATTAAACGTGTAGTTATCAGGAGCCACGTATGCTTTCTGTATTTTGTTTATTGACGTTCTTAGGGATTAGGGAGAAGATTTGATATTAAGAGGGTTTACGATGTGACATGTGTAAGTTAGAGTGGGACTTGTGTATTGTTCTCGGCATACATGAACCATTGTGTGATGTGACATGTGTAAGTTAGAGTGGGACTTGTGTATTGTTCTCGGTGTACATGAACCATTGTGTGATGTGACATGTGTAAGTTAGAGTGGGACTTGTGTATTGTTCTCGGCGTACATGAACCATTGTGTGATGTGACATGTGTAAGTTAGAGTGGGACTTGTGTATTGTTCTCGGCGTACATGAACCATTGTGTGACGTAACATGTATAAGTTAGGCTGGGACTTGTGTATTGTTCTCGGCATACATGAACCATTGTGTGATGTGACATGTATAAGTTAGAGTGGGACTTGTGTATTGTTCTCGGCGTACATGAACCATTGTGTGATGTGACATGTGTAAGTTAGAGTGGGACTTGTGTATTGTTCTCGGTGTACATGAACCATTGTGTGATGTGACATCTATAAGTTAGGCTGGGACTTGTGTGTTGTTCTCGGCGTGCATGAACCCATTGTGTGATGTGACATGTGTAAGTTAGAGTGGGACTTGTGTATTGTTCTCGGTGTACATGAACCATTGTGTGACGTAACATATATAAGTTAGAGTGGGACTTGTGTATTGTTCTCGGCGTACATGAACCTTTCTCCTTTATAAGCTAAAATGTGTACGTGATCATATTGTAAGTGTTGTATTTTATAGAAGATTGACAACAAAGTCTTAAAATTGGGAGGCAGTAATGATCAGGCCCCACTTGTATTAAACATCTCAACTTGAGATTTCCTCAAGTCGAGATTTTCCTCAGCTAATATCTCCTTGAAAATATCTTGTATGAAAATTCCTCAGGGAATTTCAGGACATCCTAGCCGATGACTTCCTCCTGTTCCTTGAGAAAATTTTATACAAGCCGTTTTTGAGGAGATATCAGCTGAGGAAAATCTCGACTTGAGGAAATCTCAAGTTGAGATGTTTTATAAAAGTGGGGCCAGGGGAGATAAGTTACAAATTGATGTTGTCAAATATAATATGTAATGTACACTCTATTAAACTTACAGGCCCTGAGGAGGCGATATACCTAGTAAGTGGACCAATTCCCAACGCTTATCTCTTCAAAATTAATCTGAATGGTCAGATTTTATACAGAACAGAACCACCGAACCGGATGTTGGGGGATAACTTTGAGGTAGGTATATAAAAAAGTAATCTAGGACACGTGATTAGCATCTATTCATCTGATTTGCTAATGGCGTCTGAAGTGTTTATTATCCGAGTAACATATCTTATATCATGTGGTAACTTTTTTTCTTTAGGGATTCGGACAGCCTCATGACATAGCAGTGTCACACGACGGCCGAGATATTTACACTGGAGAGATTGTTCCTAAACGGATCCTGAAGTTCCGGCAGATGTAGACATAAGTAAGGCCAGGAACCAGAGGGCGCTCAACACCATACTGGCAAAATGTACTTAAGTCAAGCGTAGTCACCTTGTCGACAAATTGTTCATATATTTATGTGTTTATTTATTGGTTACAAAAGTCAAAAAATCATATCAGAAAACAATAGAGGAAAAATATCACTTCAATTTATACATGCATTAGCGGTTAACCTTTTATATCTATTTTCTTAAATTGAATCCTACTATTGAAATGATACATTTATAAAATTCACGTATACAAACATTGGGTCATTCTAAATTTGTATTATCATTCAGCTTGAAATCGATTATTTCATGTTTTTATTGTTGATAAAGGTATGTTGTTATTTACGTCCATGTCCGTTCACATTCTATGTTTTCATATTGTGTCATCATATACCAACTTACAAATATAAATTACTTACATAGCACTTCTTTCATAATTAATATAACCGAAAGGATTTTCAATCGATACTATTCAAATGCTATCTGCCATAAAATTGTATTTGCAACATTATAAAACTTCTCCCATTTAAAACAGAAAGACAAAGCGTCGCTTCGAACTATTATTAATTAAACGTTTGATCTTTTAAAGCGTTAAGAAAGTTACTTAATTGTAGTTAATATTGATCATTGTTGGGTTTCGTTATAACATTTGTGATTTGTTTCAATAAAGATGAAAAAATCGCTCCTCGTTGTTTATATCGATATCTTGTTATGTAGCTGAGTAAATGGTTGTGGTAGTGTTTACCTTGCATATTTCGTCGCGGATGATTGCATTTATTTTCTTTCATGTTTTTTGTCCGTATAATGATGATTTTATTGGCTTTCTCCAAGGTATTATCTTCTGTCAGTTGTCTGACTTAGATATCGGCATTGAAGAAAATGATTAACACATTTGTCCCCAGTGACGTTGAATCTGGGCTAAGGTCATTTACATATGTACTTGAACAATAAATGTGCCTGCTACTGACCAAACAAGACAAATGACGTGAATCAAGGGTCATTTAGTTTGAAGACAAAAATGGTGCCGACGAAGATAACAGCCCAACCCAAGAGTGGTTTGTTCGTGATGTGACCTAGTAAACACGTTACCCACTTAGAATAAAAAGGTTCAGTGACAAAAATAAATTATTAAAAGTAGCCAACACCAAACAGCTTCATATATACACCCTTATTTAATGAATTTCGTCAAATATCACCAATCATTATCGGAAAAATAAATTTATGTAAGTATTTATGAAAAGCGTATAAATCTGACAAATCATCATGGAACACGGTCTTTGTTTTCCTGTGTGGTGGCCAACGTTTTAGCAGTTTTGTTTAGCAAGAAAGTTATGTATCTGTATTTCAGGAATCAACACAAAGTAATCACTGCACGTGACCAGAGATAAATTGATCTCTATAAAATATGTACAAACCTTACCAGTAAGCACAAACAAAAGGAAAGTTCCTATTTATACTGAGTATAAACAGCTTGGTGGAGAGTCAGCACAAACAAAAGGAAAGTTCCTATTTATACCGAGTATAAACAGCTTGGTGGAGAGTCAGCACAAACAAAAGGAAAGTTCCTATTTATACCGAGTATAAACAGCTTGGTGGAGAGTCAGCACAAACAAAAGGAAAGTTCCTATTTATACCGAGTATAAACAGCTTGGTGGAGAGTCAGCACAAACAAAAGGAAAGTTCCTATTTATACCGAGTATAAACAGCTTGGTGGAGAGTCAGCACAAACAAAAGGAAAGTTCCTATTTATACCGAGTATAAACAGCTTGGTGGAGAGTCAGCACAAACAAAAGGAAAGTTCCTATTTATACCGAGTATAAACAGCTTGGTGGAGAGTCAGCACAAACAAAAGGAAAGTTCCTATTTATACCGAGTATAAACAGCTTGGTGGAGAGTCAGCACAAACAAAAGGAAAGTTCCTATTTATACTGAGTATAAACAGCTTGGTGGAGAGTCAGCACAAACAAAAGGAAAGTTCCTATTTATACTGAGTATAAACAGCTTGGTGGAGAGTCAGCACAAACAAAAGGAAAGTTCCTATTTATACTGAGTATAAACAGCTTGGTGGAGAGTCAGCACAAACAAAAGGAAAGTTCCTATTTATACTGAGTATAAACAGCTTGGTGGAGAGTCAACACAAACAAAAGGAAAGTTCCTATTTATACTGAGTATAAACAGCTTGGTGGACGGATCTGCACAGACCAAAGACAGGATTGTCCCTTTTATACTGAGTATAAACAGCTTGGTGGAGAGTCGGGTCTGCACAGACCAAAAAGACAGGATTGTCCCTTTTATACTCGGTATAAACAGCTTGGTGGACGGATCTGCACAGACCAAAGACAGGATTGTCCCTTTTATACTGAGTATAAACAGCTTGGTAGACGGGTCTGCACAGACCAAAGACAGGATTGTCCCTTTTATACTCGGTATAAACAGCTTGGTGGACGGATCTGCACAGACCAAAGACAGGATTGTCCCTTTTATACTGAGTATAAACAGCTTGGTAGACGGGTCTGCACAGACCAAAGACAGGATTGTCCCTTTTATACTCGGTATAAACAGCTTGATGGACGGTCTCCACCGACAAAAGAAAGGAATGTTCCTTTTTATACTGAGTATAAACAGCTTGGTGGAGAGTCTGCACAGACAAAAGAAAGAATCCGTTTATACTTCATGCTTCGTATAAACAACTGATTGGACAGTCTCCACAACCACATAGAGTATTGTCCCGTTTGCACCGTACAAGTCTGGAATTGACAGTCTGTTTTATACTTCATGCTTCGTATAAACACTGAGTGGACAACACAACCACGCCATCTTGTGTGTGTGTGTGTGTGTGTGTGTGTGCGTGTGCGTGCGCGTGTGTGCGCGAGGGCGAGTGTTGTTGGGTCTTTTAATACATGGACATTCTTGTCAGCATCTTCTGGTCTTTATTAAGGAACTTTAGCGTTTTGGAATCAAGTTCGGTTAAATTTTGGGGTCACGGCTCGTTTTCGAGTAGGATGGTATGATAGTGTCAATTTTAGGGTCTGACTTGTATAGAAGCTGTGATTTGTTGTCCTGTTTGGTAGTCTAGACAGGAGGAACGAAAAAGTAAAACAATAACTACACTTGATCTGTGTTTATTTAGTCAAATATCGCCAATTATTAACAAAAATATAAATATTTATGAAATATGTATAGATCTGATAGTGACTTGGTGTGTTCTACATGCTACATTTGGTGGACAGCCTTCAAACATAATAGACGGTCTTTCCTTTATGATGTACAAGTCAGAATGAGCACATGAATGTTTGCCTCTGTATCAGTTATTTCGCAGGGACTGTTGAGGGGTTAGTTGCCGTCCCTTTTGGAGGTTGTTTACACACATTTTTGTTTTTATCCTCTACAAGCGGCCCGGTTGTAAGTGTTTTCTGGTCCTTTCTGGGGGACTTTGATATCTTGGAATCTAGCTTGGCTGAATTTTGGGACCTTTGGTCTGGTTTTGGCGATGCTTGTATCTTTGGGTCAATTTTGATATCGGGTTTAGATGGAAGTGGTGGTTTGTCTTCTTGTTTGGTTACTTTCTGGTCGGTTTTGGGTTCCGCTGGTGTCTTGTCATCCGGTTTCAATGGATATTGTCCATCCTATAACACAGAATGCAGTGTCATAAAATATGCATGGCTATCATAAATGTTGAATAATAATAGAGATCGTGATTTGAACCTAATGGTCAACACGCTTCTACAAAACATGTCTGAGATCATGTGAATATATAACCTGATGGACGGTCTCCACAGAGAAAAGAAAGGAATGTTCCTTTTTATACTTGGTATAAACAACTTGATGGACGGGTCTCAACAGACAAAAGACAGAAACATCCCTTTTTATATTTAGTATAAACAGCTTGGTAGACGGTCCGACAAAAGAAAGGAATGCTTCTTTTTATACTTGGTATAAAGCAGCTTGTGAACGGTCTGCACAGAACAAAGACAGGATGGTATGTTAGTGTCAATTTTACGGTCTGACTTGTATAGAAGCTGTAATTTGTAGTTCTGTTTTGTAGTCTAGACAGGAGGAACGAAAAAGTATTTAATTATCAACACAAAACAATAACTACACTTGATCTGTGTTTATTTAGTCAAATATCGCCAATTATTAACAAAAAATATAAATATTTATGAAATATGTATAGATCTGATAGTGACTTGGTGTGTTCTACATGCTACATTTGGTGGACAGCCTTCAAACATAATAGACGGTCTTTCCTTTATGATGTACAAGTCAGAATGAGCACATGAATGTTTGCCTCTGTATCAGTTATTTCGCAGGGACGGATGAGGGGTTAGTTGCCGTCCCTTTTGGAGGTTGTTTACACACATTTTTGTTTTTATCCTCTACAAGCGGCCCGGTTGTAAGTGTTTTCTGGTCCTTGCTGGGGGACTTTGATGTCTTGGAATCTAGCTTGGCTGAATTTTGGGACTTTTGGTCTGGTTTTGGCGATGCTTGTATCTTTGGGTCAATTTTGATATCGGGTTTAGATGGAAGTGGTGGTTTGTCTTCTTGTTTGGTTGCTTTCTGGTCGGTTTTGGGTTCCGCTGGTGTCTTGTCATCCGGTTTCAATGGATATTGTCCATCCTATAACACAGAATGCAGTGTCATAAAATATGCATGGCTATCATAAATGTTGAATAACCTAATGGTCAACACGCTCCTACAAAACATGTCGGTGATCATGTGAATATATGACCTTGATCATTATTCCTAAAGGTCGAAATAAACTTTACTGAAAATTGAAGGAAGTTGCAATTTTGTAGTCTGTAAAGAGATGACACCAACAATTATGTGTTTTCCCAAACAGGTTGGATAGGAATATGAGTGTTCTGATAACGAAACGATGTATATGATTTGAAGTGATAATGTAGTTTGTGACAGTGTACATAGCACATATAAGGCAGAATTAAAACCATTATCATACATTAACAGTTTGCTAAATTACTTGATAATTCTTTGTCAGTTTGAAGTAAACCTATACAGTCGAACGTATTTGTCATTTTCAGACCACAAGTAGGATTTGTGTGACTAATTTTCTCACCTTTTCCTTCAACTGATACATTTCGCCAGCCATTTTCTCCGTCTCCAATTCTCCCTCGCTCACTCCTTCTTCAGAGTCTATACTAACGTCGCTAAGGCTGCTGTCTGTCGGCTGAAACACAACTCAATATGCTGTAATTCAGTTATTATCAATATCATAATTCTGTACGTCTGTCATTCTCCCTAACAAATGTATACATTCACGCGAAACAATTTGCAAACAAGTAAACAAATGCGAAGAAATGGAGAGATTTGCGAGGCGATTTAGTAGGACTAAGTGTAGATGAGAAAATGCAACCTTAGGTAGGGCGTGTATCGACTATTCCGTAATCCGGATCTATGAACTACCTCGTAATCCGGATCTATTGACTACCTGGTAATCCGAATCTATCGTCTACCTCGTAATCCGAATCTATCAACTACCTCGTAATCCGGATCTATAGACTACCTTATAATCCGGATCTATTGACTGCCTGGTAATCCGAATCTATCGTCTACCTCGTAATCCGAATCTATCTACTACCTTGTAATTCGGATCTTTCGACTACCTCGGAATCCGGATCTATCAACTACCCCCTTAATCCGAATCTATTGACTACCTTGTAATCCGGATCTATCAATTGCCTCCTAATCTGGATCTATCGACTACCTTGTAATCCGGATCTAGACTACCTTATAATCTGGATCTATCGACTACCTTATAATCTGGATATATAGACTACCTTGTAATCCGGATCTATCGACTACCTTGTAATCCGGATCTATCGACTACCTTGTAATCCGGATCTACCGACTGGCTCGAAATACGGATTGATCGACTACCTCGTCATTTGATCTGTCGACTACCCGTCATACGGATCTATATACTACCTTGTAATCCGGATCTATCGACTGGCTCGAAATACGGATTAATTGACTACCTCGTCATTTGATCTGTCGACTACCTTGTCATCCGGATCTATAGACTACCTCGTAATCAGAATCTATCTACTACCTCGTAATCCGGATCTATCGACTACCATGTAATCCGGATCTATCGACTACCTCGTAATCCGGATCTATCGACTACCATGTAATCCGGATCTATCGACTACCTCGTAATCCGGATCTTCGTCGGATTCGTAGTCGTCCAAGTCCATGTACATCAAATCCTCATCCGTTGACACCGACCCGTCAGACATGTCGTCATGTTTTCTTTTCTTCTCTGTGTCATCTCCGTCTACCGCGGGATCAATGTTTAGTCCCCCTGCAAATTAATATATTTATCGAAACTTTTTTAAAATCAATTGGGTCTCAAACCCGTCAGAAAGGTTAAAATCAAGGAATTAATTTAGCCCCAGTTTTTTTCCAAGTTTTCAACATTTTCTGTGTTTCAAATCTTACACAACAAAGCAATTTCATTTAAATCAATACAATTGATACCGACCACAGCATAAACTATTGAAGGTGAACATACTTACGGTGTTTGCTACACTTGATGAAATCCCTGATATCACTCTGTTTTTTAGTCGATATGTCGAAACCTAACATCTTGCACGTCACTTTCTTCAGGTTTCCCAGCAACGACGAATTAATCCGCTTTCTAGGGGATACCTACGTAACCAAATGGACAGCATAGCATCTATTTTAGCGAATTACATTTTTCAAAAATATTCCCCATTAATATCAACTTCTAAAGATTTATCTGAATCTTTTTCCAATACTTTGATCTTAGTTGGTTCGTTCTACTGTATATCTTTTTCTCCTATGATTTTATCTATTTGACCTTAATGATACATTGAAAGAACATGTGAAATAACAAAAATGAACAAAAGAAACTAAATATCTATTTTGTTATACAAAATGGCTAACTATCGGCATTTTCCTCCAAAAAGACTTCCATATTCAACACTCAATTAAGGATGATATTCCATTAATTTCTTTCATACCTTTAAAATATATTTTAATGTATAAAACCAAGAAGCCAATGGTAGTGTCGGCCATTTTGCTTTTCTAATCCGACTTAAAACTGAATGTGGAAATTACCAATCAATGAAACCTACATTAAGTAGGAAATATGAAGAAAAGACCCATTGAAATAGAAGTTCAATAAGTATATTGCTGTACGGACGGACATGTGGATGACGGACGAAGAGTGATTGACAGCCAATCATAAACATGTAACTACCTTTCGTCTTGATTCGATCTCCATCTTTTTCTCAGGAGATATGCTAGTGGTCTTAGCTTTCCGAGCAGACCTCCGGCTAGGCGCCGTCTTCGTGGAACCAGGTATGAGATCATGGACAATTCTCAAAAGCTCTACCTAAAACCAAATTTACTCATTCATTTATTCTATTTTGTTTTTTATTTTGTGTGATTTTTGTTTTGTTTTTGTTTTTGTTTTTGTTTTTTTTTGTTCACTAGATAGTTTAGAAAAAACTGTCAAGTCACAGACTATCTATTACCTTGTAATTGTTGAAAACATGTTTTCTCTGTCCTTCTCGAAGGTCCATTGCCTTCACACTTGTCGTACGTGTGACGTAGACAGAAAGTGTGACGTTATTTATGAACATTGAATGACTTCACAATCGGTCATGTTGCCTAATTTTACATGCAAACAAATTATCACTGTAAAATCATACAATAAACGCACTTTATTTCAATAAAAAAGAAATATATAATATTTTATTAGCCGTAAGGTTTCCAAAAGTAATGACTGGGAAAGCAGTGACATGAATTATTTTCCAACGCATGCCCACGCAAAAAAATCCCCGAATTTTTCCGGAAACACCCACAGTCCTTTATATTTTATAAAGTGGTTTTGCACCTAATTCAACGTAATTTTTGACAAGAAACGTGAAGCGTCACCAATTGTCACAAATTAAAAGCCAGACTCCACTATTTCATTTTGACGTGTGCCCTACTTGGGCCCAGGTCTTTGACCGTACCCCGTGACCAACGGACCAGCAAACAGCGTGTCATTGAACTGGGTTAACCAACTAAACATCAAATTAAATGAGCACGGCGATTTGCGATGAATTTACCAAATTATTAGGAGTCGTCTGCCAGCTCTCTTGACTTTCAAACATTTAAATAATTATTCCGCTGGTTTGAGTCATACTAGAACCTAGTTTTGAATTGATTTTAAAACTAATCATGTATGGGTCACTTTATTAAAACACGAAAAAAAACTAAGATTTTTGTATTTGGGTTATATGTAAATAAGGTCTGATATTCCTTCGAGAATAACTGTACCATTTCACTGAACTTGGCCAACAGATATATAAATAATAAGATCCAAACCAAATTAATTCTACCATTTTCTTATCTGTATACTAATGGGAACCACTGTAGAAAGCATGTCGTCCTTACCGTCAGCTCCAGTGGAAACAACACTATCTCCATCAGAAGTATCTGGAGTTTTGACACGGGTCCAACCTCCACCGTGGCCTCCTGTCGGTCAAATTAAGACACTTGAAACATTTGTTTAGATACAATGTTTTTAAATGTCTAATTAAAAATGTGAAGAATATTAAAAACAAGATAAATAATCACTCCTGTGTTGTCTACAGTTAGAGCTGTCATCTGTTGCTTTGTATAAAGTTATCATTTTTACTGTTGGGACGCAGAGACAAATACCAACCATTTTCTGTTGGATTAAATCTGATCCACTGATTTCTGTCTGTTGCTCTTTACTCGACACCGTCGTCACATTTTTCTCGTCTGCTCTTTTTTCCGTCCGGTCAAGCCCATCCTTCCGTTCGTCCTGTTTCCTTGGTGTCTTGCGTCCGTGCGGTTGAAGTCCATTTAGAAAATTCTCGGAAACACTGAGGGCGGCTTTGAGGCCAGACGTGAACATCTTTCCTATTCGACTGTCAAACACACTGGCAGCACCTATCTTTACTCTCTTCATGGTCTTACGCTTCGTCTTTGTCATCAGCTTTTCAATAACGTACAAAGGACACACAATGAATAATGCCTTTCAATACAAATTTAGAATTGGATACAATAGAACAAATAACGAATCAAACTACATCTTCCGACCCTTTCGTCTTTTTAGGACTCTTCAGTGATTTTATATGTAGAGCCTTAAATGTTGAAACTTTTACGGGTGACCGAAGAAAATGAAAATTGGTCAAAATATATGACCAAAGATAGATGAGGAGGGGGAGTGCACTTTTTCAAAAATAAAAAAGAACAGAAAAACAGTATTCTATGTCGAATGGCAAAGAAAATGTTAAATAATTTCATCTCTGGATATTCCACAATTTCGCCGTGGGTCGGTATCATTAAAATTACTAAAGATAAAAGTATTAATGAAATAATGACGTATATAGTAAACTCACTTTTTTCGGTGGTTTTTCCAGAATTGGAAACTGGACCTTGAGTTTCTCTATTCCGTACCCAGCGTACTCGTCTAAAGTGGAACCTGGTGACGTCAGAGTATATAGATATACAAGAGTGATATAACCGTGCACATAGTCGATTTTAACATATAATTATAAACAAAAGATCAGACACGAGTTATCTCCCGGGTTTTTAAGAGCAGTGGATAGCTAACCAAAACAAGGGAGACCGGCCAAAATGGTCATTTTGATCTGACTATAATATCGGGTCACCTCTTGAACAAATAAAAATAACTTTTCTAACCAAGCCCCCAATTCCTAATATAAACTACTATAGTATTATCAGTGTCATCACAACATCATGATTTCATATCAAAGATTCTCCATACTATCGAAAACTACCCCTCTCCCTACCGTCGATTTACTGTCCGTCCTTATACCGTCAATGTACCGGGTCTCTCCATACCGTCAATATACCGGGTCTCTCCATACCGTCAATGTACCGAGTCTCTCCATACCGTCAATATACCGGGTCTCTCCATACCGTCAATATACCGGGTCTCTCCATACCGTCAATGTACCGGGTCTCTCCATACCGTCAACGTACCGGGTCTCTCCATACCGTCAACGTACCGAGTCTCTCCATAGCGTCAATGTACCGAGTCTCTCCATACCGTCAATGTACCGAGTCTCTCCATACCGTCAATATACCGGGTCTCTCCATACCGTCAATATACCGGGTCTCTCCATACCGTCAATATACCGGGTCTCTCCATACCGTCAATGTACCGAGTCTCTCCATACTGTCAATGTACCGGGTCTCTCCATACCGTCAATATACCGGGTCTCTCCATACCGTCAATATACCGGGTCTCTCCATACCGTCAATGTACCGGGTCTCTCCATACCGTCAATGTACCGGGTCTCTCCATACCGTCAATGTACCGGGTCTCTCCATACCGTCAATGTACCGAGTCTCTCCATACCGTCAATGTACCGGGTCTCTCCATACCGTCAATGTACCGGGTCTCTCCATACCGTCAATATACCGGGTCTCTCCATACCGTCAATATACCGGGTCTCTCCATACCGTCAATATACCGGGTCTCTCCATACCGTCAATATACCGGGTCTCTCCATACCGTCAATGTACCGAGTCTCTCCATACCGTCAATGTACCGAGTCTCTCCATACTGTCAATGTACCGGGTCTCTCCATACTGTCAATATACCGAGTCTCTCCATACCGTCAATATACCGAGTCTCTCCATACCGTCAATGTACCAGGTCTCTCCGTACCGTCAATGTACCGAGTCTCTCCATACTGTCCGTCATCATACCGTCAATGTACCGTATATCCCCATTCCGTCCGTCCATACACTGTCAATATACTTCTGTCTCCATACCGTCCGTCCATTCTTTCCGTCATCATACCATCAATGTACCGTATATCCCCATTCCGTCCGTCCATACACTGTTAATATACTTCTGTCTCCATACCGTCCGTCCATACCGTCCGTTATCATACCGTTAATGTACCGTATATCTCCATTCCGTCCGTCCATACACTGTCAATATACTTCTGTCTCCATACCGTCCGTCCATACCGTCCGTCATCATACCGTCAATGTACCATATATCTCCATTCCGTCCGTCCATACACTGTCAATATACTTCTGTCTCCATACCGTCCGTCCATACCGTCCGTCATCATACCGTCAATGTACCGTATATCCCCATTCCGTCCGTCCATACACTGTCAATATAATTCTGTCTCCATACCGTCCGTTCATACCGATGATGTACTTCTGTCTCCATACCGTCCGTTCATACCATCGATATACTTTCATCTCCATACCTAAGATATACTGTCAGTCTCCATACCGTCGCTATGTCTGTCTCATACAAACAATATATTGTGCTGTCGGTCTCCATCGAAAGCGTCGACATCATTGTCGATATGCTGGTTTATAACATCAGCTAAAATATATCATACGGTAGTACATGTGCATGACTGTTAAGCAATACTTTATTTAAATGAATTATCTCCCTATTTGTCCTGTAGTATATAATTATATTATAAATCTACATTATCATCCTTCTGGAGCACAGCACCAAGGCAGTAGAAACAGTTACCAGCCAAAAATTTAAAAAGTCATTTCATACAAAAGATAAAAAGTGTAGAATAACAAACAAATAAGAAGCTGTATGCTCAGATTCACACACAAGACAGTTCACATATCGAGTGCAATCTACTGATAAACCTTCAATAAAGATTTTTTTTTCAAATTTGGCCGCTATTCTATCGTGGGTTAACTTTCAATATGTCAACAGTTTCCGTTCGATTGACGACGTATGACAGCGAGTGGTCCTCCCGAACGACCTTTCGGTCAGATGACGTAAAAAATGCGGCAAAAAGCTTATTTTGAAACAAGTGACAATTGTTTATAAGGCTAACTTAACTGTCACTAATGATCGTCAAATTCAAAGGAAAAATACACAGGGCCTAGATTATGGATTGTCAGTTCTGCTTGTTGCACTCTAACACCCCAACCCACCTGAACAAGTGAAACATGCCTTAAACGTTTACAGTCTACCTATGTTTATGTCATATGTATGTTTATTATTTCTAGAGCGCCCATGAAAGGAATCATTTTAGGGCACACGAGTATCTCATTCTAAATTTGAAAAAAGTGATAAAATAGGTTGGGTGTGGGTTGCAAAACGAAGTCTTCCTATTGGGTATCCATCACGCGCGACTTACCCGCCCAGGAATGTTTCGTTACGTTACCCACGACCGTGCACACGCCCGTCTCCACGTAGGTCAGCCCCATGTCCAGAAATCTGTTGGATGTCTTGATGGTATCATAGTACCCCAGAATGGCCCTACATGCTGGAACGGTGCTGAGATTCTTGAGGAGATGTGATTCTATTGAAGGAGAGGAGCGTTCCTTGGGAGACGACATGTCGATGTCAGGTTGGCTTGTTTCGCATAGATCAAGTGGTAAGACTTGCTACGTTAAAGTTTTCTACAACCGTGGGCGAATCCATCACATAAGAAATGGGGTAAGGATGGAATTAATTGTCAAGGTAGGAAACAGAAATGATAAAACTTGGTGATAGTTTTGTCTTTTGGCTTTCATATTTTGATTTTATTGAAGATATAGAACTTCAAATCCAAAACAGTTATCGCAGTTAAAATGACAAAATTTGCGGATGTATATATATGTGTGCGTGCTCATACACGTAAGTACACAATGGAATCGTCCATAAACTGAACTATACGTGTATATCTCGTGCGACATGAATCTATTTATAAGTATTGATTGAGACAAAGTGTTTTCACCAACTGAGCACTGTTCACATAATTACACATATCGTTTACTATATTATACCAATCATCCCGTAAGGTCGACTTACGTCATTTCTTTTCTATCTCGATCCCTACGATCAGTGATTATAGATAAAGAACGACTTTGTTTCGGATATTACATGAAATATGATGTAGTGATGATATCTAGCATTGTTTCCAGTGGTAATTGTAAGGGATGTTAAATGCTGCGAGTAAGTATTAAAAGACAAAACTCTTTTTCCTTGTCATTTTTCTCTTGTTCCTATTTTAAGTGATAGTAACAAACCCGACAACCATTCATGTTTTATGGCGGAATACTTTTTTTTTGCGTAAAAATTCTTGTAACAGACTTTGGTCGTACTAACACTATCGAAGAAGTTTCGAGAAACCTTTTGATACTTTCAAAATTTCAGTCTGATTTTGATAAATTTAACATGTAAACTCAATGCAATGTATGTTTATCGTCTGAAGGGACGTAGCGTTTCCTTGTTTACTTTCATATAATATTTCAGCCTTTTTGATCTTCCGTTCGACGCTACCTACCCGTGACCGTGTCCATAGGCAAGTCGCCCTGCCCGAATTGCTCTGGATGGCACGTAACGGGCCTCTCGTATGTTGTTCAGCGAGGTAGCCATCTGCTATTACAAGGAAATCTGCCACAAACAAACAGAGTAAACACTCTGACGCGGAGCTTGATATCATAAAGTTTCAAGATATATCTTTGGAAAACAATACATGTGTTTGCTCAGCAACGCTAAGACATTTAAATGTATAAGATTGAATTTCCGTCTTGTTTTGAAACAGATATTTGAAACAGCATGGCTACACTGAATTTTCATTATCTCAAACAATATTTCATTGGTGAAATTCTGTTTGATCAGCTAATTTTTTATCTTTTTTATTTGCCGTTTGGAAACTTGTGGCAAATAAAGAAATAGAATCATCTTTTAAAGTTATGAAACTTAGGACATAAAATATCAATTTAGAGGCTTAATATTCGAAGTGTGGAATGACATACACGGGGTTTACCTACCTATAACACCGATGTCAAACGCGAATATATGTAGATTCAACCTCCTGTCAATTCGAACAGGTTTCCGAAAAATTGATGTGTTATGTGCTAAGGACAATACATTTTAGCAATATTTTCAATGAGAATTAATGTGAAAATTATTAAGAAATAAAATTTTGCAACGTGAAATATGACAAGTTATTGGATTTGACATTGGAATTATATAGTTTTACGTGTGGCTAGTGGAGTGTTTGGTTGATTTGCTAGTTTCTAGTTGTCTCCCTTCGCATGCGAGTAGAATCGGCTAAAATATGCAGTACACAGTGCATGTCTCGCTTATCTCGCTTTATTTGGTATGGTAATTTTAAGCAAAATGCAAAATATGGTTTACGCCCTCTCCCCAATACCAAATTTCCATGTTAATTTTTATTATTGATATGTAAACACCATAGACATGTGGTTGTCATGTTTAGATATTTTTATTGGTGTATTGTAAATCTGAAATGCGACAATTTATCAAAAATATTTACTCCTCCCCAGGACGGAAACAAAAAATCATCTAATATTTTACATAACTTGTTTCAATATAACTACAGTATAAACGAAATGTTTAGTGAATGAAATAAACCATACAGACTTTTTAGCAATGATCAATTTTTTTACGAAGATATTGTCCCAAAAAGAAAAAAAATCGTGTTATCTATTAGATAGGTCTTGATGTCCGTACTACTTATGAAAAATTGAAATAAAAGTTTGAAGCCCTGCTTCTCTAGATTTCAGAGTCGCTGGACCGTAAAATCGGGAAGATGTTTTGAAAACAGTGTATATGTAAAATTGCCAACTATGTTTTGTTTTGTTTCGTTGGACCTGTGCTTTCTAAGCAACGGATCTAAACACACAACTTTACAGTAAAATGTTGTCGCCGCCGATGACGTCACTGCCGCCGGAAATCTTAAACCTTAGTTTCGCTTCCGCCACTTTTAATCACAGGCGAGAAAACTAGTTGATTTTTGCAACAAGCAAATATAAAATATGATAAAAATCCATAAATTTAATAAATGAGTTATTTTTCCTTCCGATTTTACACCCAATGTTAATCACCAAAAACATGATTGTTCAATCGATTTTACGTTTCAGTCATGCCTGTACCATTTACCGTCTTTCACACGATCATGTATCTCCGGCAGTTGGTTTAAACAGGGATAATTACGATGGTGATGACGATGTGTATACTGTAGACATGGACTTTGTTTTCATTCTGATATGGAAACATACAACGATATTAAATATTGATGCCAGAGTTTTAAGTAAAATGTTCGACTACAAAACAAATAATTTAATATGAGAAAATGATTAACGAAGATACACAGTACAACTTATATCACAGATTTCATCACAGCGATTGCTTTCCTCCAATCAGCATACTTATTTCAACGTCTGTTCAGCGTACCTCTGCTGACTCTCAGTCACAGGAAAATATCTGCATTTTCACTGTCAGATTTCGTAGCAAGACATCGCTAGAAAATTGAGCACATCGAGGAAATGTTCAGCTTATGAAGATGGTAGAAATTTGAGCGATCGGAGTTATCCGCCTACAAATTGTAAAATGCTAAATCCTACCACGGTTTTAAATATAGATCTAAGTTGGTGACCCTATAGAAAATGTCGCTTCTTTCGTCTGGATCGACAAACGGAAGTTAACTTAAATTCAGAGCTAGCCTTTGTTCTTCTTCCGTCCTTTCGTACTAGCAGGAGTGGTCGGTGCCTCGTTTGATGCTGTAGATTGCTTACCGCCAGCGTTATCTTTGGAGAATTTTTCACACATATTGTCATTCTGAAATGTAGAGAAAATGTCAGAACGCATTTGTTTTGTTATTGTTGTATATTTGCGTTTTGTGTTTGAAATCAACTTCGGAATGTAGATTGAATTGATGTCATTCATATTTGTTATACACATAATGATAAAATACAAACGGTGAAGGAATATTACTAATCTTGAGTTGTCGTGCCGTATAAAGAACGACAACTCTGCGAAGATACCATGCTAACTACGTATACCGTGCTTTAAGTCAAGATGTCTGTATCATTGAATTCAAGAAAGAGAACAAACAGAAAAAAATCACAGAATTATGCATGGAATCAGAATTTTCTGGGAAAGTGTCAAGTGTCAAACAAACAAATTTAAAAAAACTAAGTTGCAAGGAATTACAAAAATGTAAAAAAAAAAAATAATAACTGTAGGGTTAGAGGCTACTGACCATAAAGCCGGTAATGGTAAACCAGAAATATAGACATGAGTAACACTCACCCAGACATAGAAGGTTGCTGCTCCGCAACTGACGGCACGGATTTTGTCTGGTGTAAATTTGGACTGTAGTTCATCCACGCGTGATGCAGTTTGATCCGTCATATTGACCGTGTCGGCGTTTTTCACTTCTCGCATCAGGCTGTCTTTCCCGTACCGACCGAGTAGACACTGAACATCTGCCCATTCCTGTAGAAATAAATCAAATTAAATACAAACTACATTTAAAGGCATGAATATTATCTTTGTTTGAAAAGTAACTATCTTTTTCTGACCGTTTTCATAAAAATTGATCAGTGAATGTTGTCTGAAGAATCTTGGTCATTTTTATTTCGTCATTTTCCCAGCTATTGTTGGAAACCATAATGAAGATTAAATAAATAACCTGTCTTATATGTTGCTACTTGATCTTGGGGGCAAAATCATATTCTTTACCGTTAGTTTGTCCTCCTCGTATCCCAATATAAGGTAGGTTGACATCATGGTCTCATGAACGCCGTCTGGTGGATGGTGGTAGGAGCGAATCTCCGAGATGGTCGACTGGTCCATCTCTAGGATGTCGTGACGGTACGTGTCCAGCTCCGTCAGGTGCTGCCTTAGTTCACGGGCCCTCTCTAAGTAGTGTTGTAAATTGGACTGATACGGAGATTCCTCTACATTTTGTATGGCCTTGTCTAGTACTCCAGGGTGACGCCTCAGGATAGCATCCCGTATCTCTGTATACCGTTATATTATAAAACATTATATAACCTGTTATTTGTGTAATAACACCTAAAACATATTGTTTATCACTATACAGATATAATATGACCTAACGTAAATTTGATTGGCTGATGATTTATGCTGTTTCCATTTGAATTTTTGTTTTCTATTACAACAATTGCGAAAAAAAGTTTTTCCAACTTATATTAATCACTCTTGTCGGCCCGGATTGAAGCGCGCAAGGGGTCTTAGTGTGGAAGGAAAACCGATTACCACATGGTAGAGCATGTGACCCCACACCTTTATCACGTTCGTTCCGGGAATCGAACCCCGGACGCCTAGGCGAAAGGTGTACCGCGCAACCTGACCACCCTGTTTTCGTTGACGTCATCGTTTCATTACATCATTTGAGTCATACGTCTTCAAAAAATAGCTTTAGAGTTTGAATGTTATAAACATTGTGAACAGATTTACACGACTTTAAAGAGGCTCAGTAGCATGCAAAATTCTAAGACTGTTTCATTTCATTTGGATGGAAGCTCCTAAAGAACCTCGATAGAAAGTCATTTCAATTAAAGAGTCTCTAACATATGTCATTCAACTGACAATGAAAAAGAAAAAATAATGTATTACCGGTAAGTTACTGGATGAAAGCAGTGACGTACGAAAATCAGACAAACGGGATCCTGCCCTGACCTTTCCTGAGAGTCAAGTCGCGAACTTTCACAATAACGCAGTTTCGAGGGTATTAAGTTGAATCGTTTATACATCTTTACTGACCTTTTCTTAACAAGAGGTAGGAGAGTTTCTCTTTGGCATCCGTTAAGTCTCCATTATCTTCCAACTTGTTCTTCTCAAATGCTGTAATGGCGTTCTCAAGCTCTATCTCATCCTTACCATCTGTGGCTTGCCAAAGCTGTTCTCTGATGCGTTTCTGGGGGGAATCGATACGATACACAGTTATTTGATATATATACACTACGCTGTTTACTGCAGATATGAGCACGATGTCTGCACGATGTGCACACGATATATGCACGACAGGAAAACTAGACGAATTGGCTATCGCACATCTGTGCGCACGTTGTGCGGTTCTATCGAACAGATGTGTGATTCTATCTTGGTTGATATAAATTTAGAAATTAATATTATAGATAAGTATGGATTAGGATAAATTTATCTTCTAAATATATGAGAGCACAGCTAAACTTATTTCCTCATTTTGCCAATCATCTATATATGTAGGTTAGACACAATAGTTATATGGTAGTACACTCGTTATTTCGAGTGTTTTATTTACAAAGTACCACACGTGACTAGTCTTTGTGTACAGCGACGGATCCTATATACATATATATGTATGTAAACAGTAAAAGGACATCTCTTTTCGTCTTGGCAATGAATCCTCTAAATTATCTTACTTACTTCCATTACTTCTGTGTTACTCACGTTTCTCTAACTTTTTGTAAACGTTTACTCACGTAAAGTTTAAGTGTCGGGTTTGTTACGGGAGCCGATACAGGTTACATATCCGAACCTGTCACGTACATACCCGTGTACAGTTATTTTTTGTTGCGTGCGTGCGGACGATGCGTGCGATGTATGTTTTTGTGCGTTACCACAACTGTATTTACAAACTGAATAAACTCACTACATTTTCGCTTTGCTATGACTTCATAATCCATGGTGTAAGTTCTTTATCGCATTTTCGTTTATCCGAAAATCAAGTCATCCATGCGTAATGGATTTCAAAGCGATTTTCTTAAAAAACCCTCCTGACACTGACCGAGCCAATCTGTCGCGAGGTGGATACATTTTGTATTGTCAGTTGCCATCCGTCATACGACATATGCGTCTTAGTTGATTTCCAAAAAATACAATTGCAATATTATTTTCATTTCGTTTAGATGTAATTAAACGGCTTTTTACCTTTTGTGTTTCCTCAGGAAATAGACCAAACCAGAATTGGCGGTTTTCGTTACACGTTTTACTGTATACTTCTTCATATGTATCTGTAACATGTATCTCTTAGTGATATTTTCTAGAAAGTTCTTCTCATCATGTCGATATCTTGCAGGTACCATTTTCGTCGGTCAAAAGCAGTCTAAAGTGATAACAATGTCTTATTTAACTTGAAAGTGCTTTGATACACATACAAACCTTGTAACCTTTCTCGTTGACTGATTGCCGGTTGCTTTTGTCACGCTTGGGCGGGGCCTGACGTCTGCCATTGCTCTTGTGTGTGTTGTTGGATTGTCCGCCCCTGCCTGTACCGGAAGTCCGGTTACTTCCCTTACTGTTGCTGGTGCTATTCACAGACCGCTTCTGTAACACCAGAACCAGTATAAGAATAAAAAAAAACTTATAAATATTTTATAGACATTACATATTTCTGCATCTTCGTTTAGTCATTATGATATCCAAAAATTACAGAAATGCAGAAGAACAGTTTGTTTACAATTTATGATGACAACAGACATGAATAAGCTTACAAAACATAGATGGAATTGGATGCAAATCTTTTCTGACAAAATCTTAAAAATAGAATCGATGTTGCTTTCCAAATAGTTATGTTATATATCAAAATCAAGGTTGTAGGATAGCATTGTAATTCCATTTTTTATCCTATCTTCGAATTATGCGTTTTGTTGTTCCGGTTGCTAAGGGACAACAGCTTCGTCATAGATTGAAAAGACAGGCAAATGTATAGCACAATTTGAAAACCATATCGTAGAGCCAAATGATGGATTAAACTGCTTCAAACAGCTTGTCTCTCCTTCTGAGACTCGTCAGTGATAAATTATGTGAACTAAATGGATATTTCGGGGCAGAAGAAATTCTCCCAAACCAATGCGGTATACGTACCTGGGCGGTGTATCTCAAGGTGGTTTATAATATAAATAAATCAAGAAATTTCGATAAAGATGGCGATACATCATAAATATATTTATATAAAGATGTGCAGATTATCTAACACACATTCTACTGCATTCTATAAATTTCCGATACGCTTGCACGTGACAGTAAACTAATACAAACCTGCCTGGATGGCTCCGGATAGTATAATCAGTATTGTGTTAGAGAACGTCTCACGAACCCATAGTCAGACAAAATATATCGATACTGAGCGAAACTGATGTCTAGAGTCACACAATTATTATAGTAACACGAATATCTACATCAAATATTCATTTACACTATTACTGATGAAATGATGCCGTATTAATTTGAAGTTTTCATAAAAATTGTCAACACCGGAAATCAGTTTAATTTCTTAAGCACTCTTTATGTGATATTTCATTAACGTATTCATAGCCTCTTTGTGACTGAAATGTCAGTAGGAATGATTTATTTTCTAAAATTAATACAACTACAATTATCTCAAAGAAGTTCAAGTTTAGCTGGGAGATCCTGCAAATTGTTCTTTTCACTTGGTACAATGAAACATCTCATGGGTTCCAAATATTTTATATTCCGGGAGTATTCAGTGAAGCTTGGACAACGAGGACACTATCCGTCACCTCACCTCTTTAACATTCATCGAATATTTCAGAATTGTATTCTTTTTAGAAACATCATTTCAATCATAAAGATTTCCGAAACAGGCTGGGACCATTTGAAGCTCAGAGTAAAAACTTTGTGTGACACATTTTTATATTAAGGTGGCTTCTTCGCCATATCATAACTTACTCAGTTTGAGGGTACAGATCGTACCATTTTAACACGACACATTGTGATGCAGTGGAAACTACACAAATTGGGTAGTTAGTTTAAACATATTTTATTAGTATATAAAATTTCAAAGGGATTAGTCAATAAGTTTTGCCAATTTGTCAGTGACTTCTCCCAAAATAAGACTTACAATTACATTTAACAATAGTCACATGATGAAAATGAGAAGAGAGTCTATTAAAATCAGTATTTTCTAATACTAAAAAAACATAAGCAAGCATTGTTCTGACGACCACGTACACAGTGCAACCATATCAACATTACGTTGTGTGGGGAAACTACGTATACTACTTACTGTACATAAAGTATTTTTTGCGGATGTGTTGTTTTCAAGGTACTGAGAATACACATTGTTTAACCAAACGGAACACTAATTCAAAACGAATTTGTCTTTCAGTAAGACTTGAAAAGAACAGCACAGAGGGAATGGGATCGATAACACTATACAGATAATTGTACTTCCGGTAACACCTGGAAACCCCCACCACGGGAACGGTAAGTAAAGTAAAGTAGGACGAGGGAAGGAAGGGTAAATGTTAATAAACGAAATGAGATAAAACCGCTATTGGTAAAGGAAAGATGATAGGAGATTAAAGGAAAGACGAGGAACATGCACTTATATGAAGTTTGACAAATTGATAATGGATGGGTAGAAACAGGTTCATGCATTTATAAACATCTTCCTTGGTAGATTTTTAGTTCTGCTGTTGCTGGAAAATCGTATCTCTGTTTACAGAAACTTGTCCATTTCTACATACACAGTCTTTGATAAGCATAGATGTTTTCTTGGGTAGGCAAGGGGGAAAGCTCATAGTACAAAGTAGGTTTCATTTTTATGTACAGAAATGACATGCGCTTTGTAGATAGATCTGGATATAGATTATATTCAAGACACACATACCCACACCAGAATTTCACGTGAACACCTGATTCCACCTTACCCGTTTCGATGAGATGTCATCAGTATTGTGATTTATGTAACTAGTTTCCTCATTTTGGTTTTCAACTATTGACACGTTGTCCTCGGAAGGCTGTAGTAATTTGGTCAATAACGTTACATGATGGTTAATACATGTTATTCATATACAGTCGAACTCCGTTATCTCGAACTCGTATAATTCAAAGGCCCCGTTTAATTTGAAGCAATTCGTCAGTCTCTGCCAAACTTTAAACAAAACATTCGAACTCACTTAAATCGAATACTCGGTTATCTGGAAGTTTTCCCATGGTCCCACCAAGTTCGAGATAACGAGGTTCGACTGAATTGGAAGTTATATCTACATATACTTTTAAAATTACAGGCAGTAATTCTGCAAACTTCATCTTGGTTTAGAATGTTTTATTCAAAGCAAATGAATAAATCGTTAGAAATATTATATCACCACAATCATGGAACAAACTCGGAAATAAAAATTCAGAACAACATTTTTAACATTCAATGTATACTTTGCGGACCTACCTGGTTTGTCCCAGTCCTACGTTTTTGCGCGGAGTCATCTGTGTCCTTAGAACCACCACATCCCATACTGGATAATGACGGATGGCGTAGGATGATGTCTCACTGTGTACTATAAGCTGTCGTCATGGTAACCTACGAAGTAATACAGGGTATAGATGAATACGAACCTGTATAAAATATCATATGAACCGAGTTCTGATCACTCTTATGTAAAATGACACGGAAATATAAACGTGTTTCACAACAAATAATTTAGACTCGGAAAATAAGGACTATATTTACGAGTTGATATGTTTGACTGCAATACTCCGAAGACAAAGAGATCATGGACCACCTGCCTGACCTCCAGCGTTGTGTTTGACAGTAAGCGGATAAAACACAATAACATTTTATATGTCTGGTTTGGTTACTTAGGAAGGGACTGTCAGGTATCTCTTTGCTGTTTAAGGTTATAGCAAGGTCAGGGGTCATTAAATATCAATAAGTATACATGTGATGTGCTTACTGGTGAAATTTATTGATCTACTCAGTCTAGATGGAGTGTTTACTTCTTTACAACTGTAAACAGCAGACACAAACTCTTCTGATTTATAACACCCCGCCCCCTCCCCTTGTACGACTTTAAAAAAACATGGGGATCATTTTTTTCGATTATGAATAATATCAATGCATTATAGAAAACAAAAGATTTCAGATAAGTGTGTTCTTATCGTATTTGAATAATCGGAAACTTAAAAGAAAATAAAAGAGGGGGGAAGGATGGCGGGAGGGGGGTTAAATGCATACATATCACTTTATTGAAAGAACCATTTTCTATCCCAAAATACTTGCACTATGTTACTACTGTGAGCGAGAAATACATAAATACATCCCAGGTTCAAGAAAGAGAAAAACAAAAAAAGAACGGACATACGTGGAAAATGAAAAATAAATATAATATAGGAAATCAAAATGCATTTTGTAAAAATAAAATCTATGCTGCTTCAAGTTTTCTACGAAACCGTGAAATTGGAAACTCCGGGTGGGGTAGGGGGAGGCATTGCAGATTTTTAAAAATAAACTGCTCAGATGATATACGTAATATGCAAACAAATTACTTGTGATTTCTAGAGCCATCCTTACAGTACTGATGCTCGTAGTTCTGAAGCTCTGGGCATCGGCTAGTATTACTTATTAGACACCTGTTGGTGTACTGCTACGGATACAGCAATCACCATTGCTTTCTTTTCTTCTTAAACATGATTTCGTTTGAATGGACACTGACCACATTGTATGTTGTGTGCTGGCTATAAAGATTATGCTGAATTTTTGAAAGGGTGAAGAGAGAACAAAGTGGCGAGTCACTCGTCCAGGTTGTGTATTCTATTTATCCAGCAACAGTGATTGAAAATTAGACTTTCGAAACTTCAACAGTTTGTTGTTAAATCTTTGTTCACCTGACTTTGACGTTACGCTGAAATTTTGCCTGATGACGTACGCCAAACTAATTGCTCAGCGCCGAAGTATAGTTTCAAACTTCTAAGGATATAAAAGCGATTTGACGAATTTCGTAGATAAACTTGTTCATTACAAAATATAAAATTGATTACATGTTAAAATGTAATATGTAAAGTATGTATAATCAGAAGGTAATTCTGTCGAATTGATGCACGTGCTAGAATGCAACTACTTTTCGTCACTGCCGAATACAGAAAAGATTTTTGTTCCAGGTGCACTCCGACAATGACAACGTCACTTGCAGAACAAACATCCATGGCCGTGCAATGGTGAGTATAGTAGCTATTTGGTGGCACTATTGCTAATGAATGTATCATTGTCATTCCACTTTATCAAGATCCCAGCCCATTCCATCCATATTTCACACAAAGTAAACGGCACAAATGGTCCCCAGCAACTGCCAGTAGAGATAACGGTATGTGAGGTATCGTTTTGTCCGATTCGATGTCCTAGCCAAGTATCACCATTAAAAATGACCGCTTTGTAGTCATTTAAATTCTATTGATCGGCCATTATGTCGCCCATAGTTCTATGTTGTGTAGAAAACCGTATTTACCGTTAAAGGACGATATGAATTTCAAGGGCTCTGTAAACAGACCAACCAAATACGGCCATCGTTTCAGGATTGAGTCGTTCGATACAACTCTAGAATCTATTACATGACGGTTTGAAATTCCGGTTCATTTAACTACAAAGAATTTGATATGATGTTTGTTGAGACATCTCTACAACGCTTTTACTGTTAAGACTTAAGGTAATGATCCGAACAATGGTTTAGTATCTTAAATGTAATTGTCACATTTCTCTCATTGCTAAGCATGAAAACTAGCTAACCATATTTAGGGGTGTGTCGGCAACTGTTTCTAAATCTTCAAATCCAATTTCATATCAAGACTAATTTCGCCCCCTGAAAGTACAACTGGAACATGATAAGTGAGTTAGGAAGGATTTTCTCACAGGTATCAAAAAGTGCGTGACAAGCTCTTTTCTATGAATTAAAATGATTCATTGACCTTGTCGAATGTATCAGACATAGACATATCCGATAATTTAGAATCCCCTTGCTGAGGACTAGCCACAAAGAATTACATAGAGGACCAATTACTTTAGATTTTTACATCATTTTAGACATAGTGATGTATATATATCAATTGCAGTTTGTAAAATACCAACAAAAGAATTGTAAGTGTGACCAGGAGACTACATCCAACTTTATATATAATTTTAGCTATGTTTCAATATCAGTTTGTACGCCCAAAATACATTTGCAGTGCCCAGTATGTTTAAACGAAAAACTGTTTCACAGCAGCCCGATGTTGACACCATTGTCTAATGTGCTATCCCTGTCTGTTAAATAGTATATTATTTCGCTAAATATGTTGAATTTCTCGACAAAGTCTCGATACACAGAGTACAATACTTAGTAGTTATTTATTTTAAGATATCTATCCTAAATTTCGTCATTGGCACTCGTACAACATGTTTACATAGAACGTTGTGCTCTTGGGGTGTAATTTACGACCTACTGAAAGTCTATAAAACACTTAAACTTTAACGTGAAAATAACTTTTTAAGGCACATTAACTAGTTGAACATTTTAAAATTATCAAGCTTTTATACAATGTTTACTGGTCCTCAACTCTGTTATTGCCAACATTCAAATTTTTGTGCGCGTCTGCTTCATTTTACTTTCAAATAACGAAAATGAATTCAGATTGTACAAAAGACACACAAATGAATACAAATTTAGACTTAGATACGGTAGAAACAAATAATTCATAGATAATCCTTTCTTACTTCTAATAAATGAATTTTACCTATCCAGTCAATACATTTACAACGAGAAAGATTAGATTGAAAGATATGAATTGAACGTTAAAAACAGGACAGACAAACTGTAGTAGATACAGGACACGTCGGACTGAAACACGTCATACAGTACAGAATGTAACTTGCGAAAATATGTAAATAACGTCTAGTTGTAAATTATGTATTAATGGATGTATTCAATATCTATTAAGTAGACTCTAATGCAGACCATAATAATCATATAAAACAATGGCGGTCGCTTACGTGATAGGGGTAGGTTCGAAATATTCAACAATGTCAGCCTGAAGGAGGGCTGTTTTACAGGCAGTCGGGTAACTATGGACCTGGTTTTCGTGCTTTGAAGTGTGTCTGATAAAGCTGGTGATATTACACGGTCCCCAACCCAGGCAAAACAGGACGTAATTTATTCTATATTTCGTATCCGTTTTATCTCCGATTCCGAAAATGTATGAAAGTGTGAATTATTTTTTTAATATTAAGATGAACATCACAAACTCATAAACACGCCCGATATGTGATTTATGGAATTCCCGTGAATACATCAACACGGATTTCTTTGATTTTGAGGTTGGCTATACACCTATATGTATACAAGTAGCTGACTTTTACAGGTGTAACGCACCTTGATACATACACCTGTATTTATATGCCACAGCACGCTATCATATTGAACATTATGTAAGCCCATGTATTACACAAAATTTAAACAGTTCCTTGTACTTTTCCACATATAAACCATGCATAAACAGAAAGGGCAATGTTTTGAACTTTTGCCAATTCAAAACATGTATATCAATTACTTAATTCTAACCGAGTACCTCGAGACATATTGATGTGACTAACTTTCCCTTTTAAGTTTCTCATTAATATATTTACTTTGCCATTAAATCCGAATTTCTATTCGATTAAATCTTGTTTGAATGACAGACAAAATCTTCATTGATTTGTTAATATGCCTTCTGCCTTAACGATTTAATTTCCATAAAGGATGGTGCTATTTTTCTTTTATATCTTGTCCAATTGATGAAATAGCATTATAATTCATGTCCTTTTGTAGGTGAAAATAAATGTAGGGTAGTTATTTGTTTGTACCCATAGCGACGTGTTATTGTTGTTGTTAATGCGATGATTCGTAATAATTTCGCTTCACATACGTGTTCACAACAATTAAAAGGGAGCATACTTGTTTTAAAGTAATTTGTCTAGTCCACAATGACGAAGATAAGAAAAAAAATGGGACGAGATCCGAGATGTAAGGTTCGATCTCAATTCGAGACAGATTTGTGTGAGTTCACGGATAGTCGTGTAACCTCCTGGTTGTGTCCTTGGACAAGAAACCAATTGCTTCAGGTAACACGATGCGAACCTATCGTATGATAATCCTTGAGCCATCGCCCAGTTACTACAAGAAGACCCCACCTCAAAATGACCCTAGCTGGCAATAAACACAGAAATCTGTAATAAAATGACATCTTTCAACATTATAACGACATTCTTGGGTCCAATTATCTTGGCTCTCTACTGTACGTCTGTTTTCTACAAATGACTTAATGGCATCACATTTTTTGCAGGATATATGATGCCATTAGGGGAGTTTTAAAAGTGAATCTTATCGAATCAACAACTCCTCATTTTGTGTAAACACCGCCATTAATCATTTCAGTAGATCTGTCAATGCAGTAATGGAGTAATGACGTAACCTTCATCGCGTGATAGTAATCTTAAGATATGTAAACAAG